ACGTGTTTTATCTTAAAGAAAAATCATTATATTACCCCATAAGGTTTTATCAACAGATTTATATAAAATAATGAGCTTCTACTTATTAATTATGAAATATTTTAATTAAAAAATAATTGCCTAATCTCTTACATTTGTGGAAGTCCCCAAGAGTAATTTATGTAGAGATTTCTATATATTACTTTGGTTGAGACAAAAACTAACACTTACCTTCATCTCTTGACCACAAACATTAGAAAAAATGAAGTTGAAATCTTAGCTTTGATGATCGCAAGATTTAAAAGTTCAATCAACCTAAATTAAACAATCTTCTAAAGGCATGGAAATACCTACAGATGAATAGAAGGGGAGAAACTTTTATCAAGAAATATCATACTATCCAAAGAAAAAAAGGGGGGGAAATTTGGAAGAATAGCTGAAGAAAAATTATGGAAGAACAAAAGAAGGGTACCATAGAAAAATAGGAAACTATTTTCTTATGTTAACATAAATTTTCTGATGTTATATTTCAGGTGTTGATGTGACAACTAACAATCTAATTTCCAGCTGCTAGTTGTAAACAACCATTGGACACCCCTAATGTCATCCTATATGAAGGAAACTTTAATCCACACCAAAGAAAAGGCGAAGGGAGACCCACAGTGTCCATATTCACAATCAATCCAAGCACATCAACAGGCAAGTTGAGGGCCTAGAAAGTCAACAAAGACAATTAATTATGATTATCTTTTAAGTAGTTCAATTTTTAGTTATAAGCAATAGAATAGGTGATAGACCAAAAGATTGTTTAGTTTATAGGGCTGTGAGTACCTAGATGTAGCCTTCATGGAAGATTAGTGGAAACCTACTGAGTGTGACTCTTGGGATTATAGAAGTAGGCTAAGGACTGAACTACTCTAAAATATGTTTACTTTTACTTTATGCGTTTGTTGTCTTCTTCCAAATCACCTAAAATAGTTTTCTTAAGAACAAGGAATTAGAATAGTTAATGTAATCATTTAATCAAATTACCTATTCTAATTCTTTACATTGTTGTCCATAGAGTATTAGTAAAGTTATGTTCACTCTAATCCCGTTGCTTGTATAAACATAGGATAGAAGTAGACCAATGATTTATCAATCCATAGAATTAGGGGGATTATAATCCCCTGAAATAGCAATCAAAATTCAGTGTTAATCATGATTGTCTATTCATCCCCTTCCATGCTACATTAACGGTCCTTACGTCCTCCAACCAGACATAAAAGAAGCAAACCGGTCACATCAAATAACATTGGCCTTAAAACTCTCTATATAGTCAGACTTGAACTCACTACACTAATGGTGTCCACATGCATCAACATAAATTCAAAGCACAGGTACAATGGCCAATAGTCATGATCTACAACAATGGTATCTAAAGAGAAATTTATCCACACCAACTTTTAGACTAGCATGTAACTTACCATGTGTAAGACGACCATCGGTAGAAAATAAATATCAAACTCTCTCTCTCTCTCTCTCTCTCTATCTATCTATCTCTCTCCCTCTCACTATATATACTATATATATATATCTCCCTCTCTCCCTCTCTCTCTCTCTGTCCCTCTCTCTCCCTCTCTCTCTCTATCTTTCTCCCTCTCTCTCTCTCCCCCTCTCTCTCCCTCTCTCTCCCTCTCTCTCTCTATCTCTCTCTCCCTCTATCTCTATCTCTCTCTCCCACCCCCTTCTCTCTCTCTCTCTCTCTCTCCCTCCCTCTCTCTATTTCTATCCCTCCCTCATTCTCTCTCTCTTGTTCTCTCCCCCTTCTCGCTCTCCCTCTCTCTCTCTCTATCTATCTCCCTCCCTCCCTCTCTCTCTCTTTATCTCTCTGTCCTTCCCTCTCTCTCTCCCTCTCTCTCTTTCTCTCTCTTGTTCCCTCCCCCTTCTCTCTCTCTCTCTCTCTCTCTCTCTGTCTCTCTCTCTCTCCCTATCTCTATCTCTATCTCTCTATCCATCTATCTATCTCTCTCTCCCTCTCTCTCTTTCTTTTCCTCTCTCTATGTCACTCTCGCTCTCTCCCTCTCTCTCTCTCCATCTATCTATCTCTCTCTCTCTCTCTCTCTCCTGTTCTCTCCCCGTCTATCTCTCCCTCCCTCTCCCTCTCTATCTCTCTCGCCTCTCTCCCCTCTCTCTCCTCTCTCTCTCCTCTCTCTCTCCTCTCCCCTTCTCTCTCTCTCGTTCTCTGCCCATTCTCTCTCCTTCTCTCTCTTGTTCTCCCCCCTTCTCTCTCTCGTTCTCTGCCCATTCTCTCTCTATATATATATTTCTCTTTCCCTCCTCTCTCTCTCTCTCGTTAAGCCAATTCTCTCTCTCTATCTCTCTCTCTCTCTCGTTCCTGCCCCTTCTTTCTCTCTCTAGTTCTCTGCCTCCTCTCTCTCTCTCTCTCTCTCTCTCTCTCTCTTTCTCGCTTCATTAGTCCGTCCTTCTCTTCTTACGCCAAGAGATAGTTGATGTGCATTATTAACTATGACCTTGCCCTTCCGCAGACTTTAGAGTTTCATCATTGCCCATTCAACATTAATGGCTAAACTCTAGATCTATCTCCTTCACGGATACTCATCATGTACTCTCTCCTACACCAAGTATCCCAATCCTATGTTTACTCCTTCACATGACTACAGCTATAAATGACTATACGATGGGCTCCCGACTGCCCTCTCGAAGAATCTCAAGAAGACGATTAAGATTCTATGAACCATTTATTATCCCGGTCTTCACCTACTTCAAACTCCACCCTGTGTGCATTGAAGAGATCCCACTGACCGTAGATGATAAGACTTCCCAATGCATAGAAATATTCTAAGTTCATTGCGAGCCCTATTGATTTCTCTACTCTCTAAAGACGATGTTGATGTATTCACGTCATGTTCAGTCGTGTAGGACCACTCGGAAATGCAAGTCGCATTGGTTGAGAAGATAGTAGTAGCTATATACGCGAACAACAAGCTTAAGAACATGTTGAGAGGGGGAGGCTTTGTTAAAGTAATGAAAGAACTTGTCATAATAATACTGGAATCCTTTTATTAAACCTGATTAGGATCTTCAAACCGGCATTCAAAGTAGCGTATTGATGGGTCAGGCTGTACTGAGGACTTGTCAGAACTGGCCTGAGACCTGGTTTTTCTTAAAAAATTAGGTCTCGGCCTGGGCTAAACCCTATGGGCCTAAGTGCAGTCTAGACAGACCCTACGCAGCCCTCTTTACGCACTCACAGAAGACGAGTGGGAGATGGGTGGGTAGACTAGGGACAGCCTGGTCACTCAAGAGAACGGCTCCGGATTTCTGGGATGAACCCCCCCCCCTTCCCCACATTGAAGACGGACAGGGTTCGGAGTTTGGAGAAGGATTGGGCCTGACCGGAGATGAAGAGGCATATTTCCTCTCTCGGGCTGATTTTTAGGGCCCACGTGCTTGGTCATAGACTTACCCATCTCATTGGCAATCCTAATAAAAACAATTCAAGTGTTTCTACTTGAAACGGTCTGATTCCATTCGAAAAGTGTGAGCATGTGTTGGTAGACGGTTTCGATGTCACCTCATGGGCACAGATGGCTAAATTCACTTCTCGTGAGTCTTCTAACACATCTTGCATGCCTTTTCTTTTCAAAAAATATGATGATTTCCACAGGAAAAAACTATCTATTCATGTAAACTTCATGAAGATAATGCTTGAAATTTTCAATCATGATTTTCATTTAGAATAAAATATCTATTTATAGCACATGCTCATAGATGGCAGTACACTAAATTATGTAGTACTTTTTATAATTAAATGCAGTAATTAACATTTGGCTGCGAATTCATAGAAGGCAATCTTAGTTTCGAAGTCATAAATCTTGTATATGACACTAAAGGTTTAGAGTCGTCACATTTAATATTTATCCGCATTATATTTACCTTTTTATTTTTGAAAACTATTTTGGGTCCAATAGAGCCTCAAATATAAAATCAAAGGTTTTGTGACTGAAATGGTAAGATAAGCATTTACAATGGTCGTTGCCAAAATCAAGTGATTATCACCTTTCTCTCTGATCTCAGTAACTTACATCAGGTTAGGTGATGCATGTTGTTATGATGACCAACTTGTGTAGATACAATAAATAGAGAATGTTAAAAGTCTATGGGTTACAATTCAATCTAGGCCTCTTCCCAACAACATTTTGGAAAAGAGAGGGTGAGAGAAAGAGACTAAGAAGAGATATAGGGAGGTAAGAGAAGGATGACCTTAATGAACCTCATCACAACAAATTCCAGAACGAAGATAGGGACTAACAGAACCTCTTGGAAAGACGTTGATGAGCTAAATCAAACATGGAGTAATAGAAGAATGTCAACCGCAGGTAGTCTTCGTGAGTTATTTCCAACTTCATGCTTACTATTTATTTCTTATACTGTATTTTTATTTTATTGCATTAGCTCTTTTAAAAACCTAGGGCTTGTATAGTCACCATAAACCAAGTTTGTTATATTCAGATTTCAACTATTAATTGAAAATGATTTGACATGCAATTTACCCTGCACCAATTCAATCAACAGAAGAAGATGGGTCATTTTTCTAATTGCACGTCCATTACTGCAAATCAAGGTATTTTCTCATGCGAGTTTCTAGGTCTCAGGGTGTCTTCCCTTCATGCAAGTGAAATCACACCATCTCAGCCCCAAGACAAAACCTTTTGGGGAGTGCTCATTATTTCTTAACAATGTATTTTCTCATGTGGGTGTCTAGGTCTCAAGGGGTGTATCTTCATGCACATGAAATCATGCATTCCAAGACCAAAACATGTTTTTTTATAAGAACATGCTTATTATTTCTAATTCTCTCATGAGGGTTTCTAGGTCTCAAGAGGGATCTTTCCTCTACGCAAATCCAAACGCGCGTCTCAAACGCTAAATCCCAAACCTCAAAGTACATTGGTAGTTTGACAAGAAGCGCACCCAAGCGAGAGCAGGATCCGAAGAAACGGGTAGTTGTGACGGGGATGGGAGTAGTTTCTGCCTTTGGAACTGACGTTGATTGCTTCTACAACAAGCTTCTGGATGGACAGAGCGGTGTCAGTTTGATTGATAGGTTTGATACCTCATCTTTGCCGGTGAAGTTCGCAGGCCAAATCCGCAGCTTCCCAGAGGAGGAACGTATGGATGAGAAGATCATTAGTTACCTTGACCCATGTTGGAGGTACTGCTTGGTGGCTGGTACAAATGCACTTGAACATGCTAACCTCGGACCAGAGGTTTTAAAGGCTGTAAGTAGTTTCTTCCCTCACTATCACGCAACTCTGCTTAAAGACGGCAGTATCTAGGATCTTGGTAGATTATTCGTTTTTATGTAATATTTCTGGAAAGTGAAAAATGAATATCATTCGCTCTTCTATTACAAGTTATGAGACGAAATGTTTTCGTGTTCTTCACATTATTGAGAATATAAAAAATATACAAAGAAGGCTGAAAACGTACCATTCTTTGTCCTTTGGCTTAGATATGACTACCTATGGTCGAAAATACGAATAGCATTCATCTTTCCATTCCACTGTATACTATTAGCGGTGATAATATATGATCTGATCAAGGTACAAACCCGGCTTTCATCCAATTTTCAGAGTGAAATATAAGATTACATGCATTAATGAATATTTTATCATATTCAAAAATAAATACATGCAAATGCGAATCATAAAAAAATTATCGAATTCATCATTTCATTGTTTGATAAAATATAAAAATTAATCGACATTCCGTATAATTCTTGAGCGCATGCAGATGGATCGATCAAGAATCGGAGTCCTGATGGGATCGAGCATGGGTGGCATGACGATGTTCAGCAGTGGGGTAGATGATTTCAGCCGAGGAGGAGGATACAAGCAGATGTCCCCATTTTTCATCCCTTGTTCAGTTACTAATATGGGAGCAGCGCTGCTAGCGTCACACTTGAATCTAACAGGGCCAGCTTACTCAATATCCACAGCCTGTTCAACGGGGAATTCTTGTCTACATGCTGCTGCCAACCACATAAAAGAGGGAGAAGTTGAGGTTATGTTGGCTGGAGGAACAGACTCTCCTGTACTTCCCTGTGTGATTGGAGGTTTCTCGGCTTGTCGAGCATTGTCACAGAGAAACAGTGAGCCGCAGAGAGCCTCAAGGCCGTGGGACAAGGAACGAGATGGTTTTGTTCTAGGAGAAGGATCTGCTGCTTTGGTAATTACCACAACTTTAAGAAAATATATTGGATAAAATATCATTTTTGAAGACCACTTAGGTGAATCTCAGGCTCGATTTGTGCTCATTGTGCTTAGATTTTACATTTTTTAAGCAAACACCAATCAATGTATTTAATGTAGCATGAACTATTGTTCAGCAGGAGAAAACAGTTCCTTTAGCTATTATTCGCATTATTAACTTTAAAATACGCAGATTATATTTAAGCTTCCTCCTGTGCAGTTATTTGGATTTCATAGATATTATTCGCATACACAACTGTGATTCGATTTATCTTTTATCTGATGTGGTATTTAATATAATTAATTATCAAAACAGCAAATTCATCACCTTTTTAACCGAGAACAAGAGAAACATCTGGCAGACCTTAGAAAGGAAAGGCATTTGAAAGGATAAGACAGAAATAACGGTGTTTTATTCTTGGTAACCTGTCTAACACCATTATAGCTATTTTGGGGATAATATAAGCCTTTGAAGTTCAAGTATGAACATGTCACTGATTATTCCAGAAATTTATTCTTCCTCAATATGTAGATGGTTCTAATTATGTGCAAGATCCACTAAGGGCTTCAACTGCCGTTATCAAACAAAATAATAATATCAGTTTCTATTTTTTACTTGCCTATATTCTATAAATTGTCATCTTCGATATTTTGAAGGTATTAGTTCTTGTCTAAAAGTTATCCACATGAAGATGTAATTGGGTTTCAATTTCTTTCTAGTTTTGAACAATATTTTGTTTTGTGCAACCTTCCATAGTGTGTGTGAGTCAGAATTAGGTCTAGAATGTGCTTCTTATACTCTACTTGGCGTAAAATGTACATTAAATTATGTAGATATCATGATTAATTATTTTCAACTACATCTTTGACCTGTACTTTCGAGCTTGAATCATGCTGATTTTCTTTTATTGAGTGAAGATCATGGAGAGCTTGGAGCACGCTAGGAAGAGGGGAGCAAGCATAATTGTAGAGTATCTAGGAGGTGCCCTAACTTGTGATGCTTATCACATGACTGACCCAAGGCCAGATGGAATGGGAATCTACTCTTGCATCCTCAAGAGCCTAGAAGATTCTGGAGTTTCTCCTGAAGAGGTTGGACCACGGCTGATCATCTAGTTACTTTCACTTTTTGGTGATATTAGTGGCAATAACTTGACCACTGAGTTTGGGCTCTAGAAGGTTTGGTTTGGGCTATATGGGGTATGACCCAGAAGTTCAAACTCTCTCTCTCTCTCTCTCTCTCAAACTTTTAAGAAAAATATGTGCACCAAATTTTAGGTGAACTACATAAATGCTCATGCAACATCGACATTAGCTGGAGATTTAATTGAAGTTAATGCAATCAAGAAGGTTTTCAAGGACACTTCTGAAATCAAGATGAATGGGACCAAGGCAAGTATTTTTCAAGTTTTTATTTCTAGCATATTATTTGTATCATATTTCCTCTTAGTAATTGCATTGAGGGAAACAAGATATTATTGTTAAAGTTCTTGTAAAATATGAATATTAGATGTTCATGAAGATTGCCTGGCATATTTCCCATGTTATAAACACATCTTTGGGGCATGGTGCATTTACGTTTTGGGCTTAGTTATACTGCCCAAAATCAAGGAAGTTGGTCCGAACCAAGATGGGGTATCAAACCTCATTGGTCCATTAAGACTCGTCTGCTTTATTCATTATTATATGCATGGATATAGTTATCACACAATATTCAAAATATTTTTTATATTGTCTCCTAATATAGGAATTTTATTTTTTAGTATTTAATAAATTAAAATTACTCGATTCTTTCTCAGTCAATGATAGGGCATTGTTTAGGGGCAGCTGGAGCAATCGAAGCCATTGCAACCATCAAGGCTATTACCACAAGCTGGCTGCACCCCACCATCAACCAAGATGTATCATTTTCTTCCAAGAATATTATGATTTATTTTATCACGATATTAATTCACTTTAATTCAAGTTTTTTTGGTCTTATCAAGAATTTGGAGCCAGAAGTCACAATTGACACAATCCCAAAATCAAAACAAGAGCATGAAGTTCATGTGGGTATGTGTAATCCCACACGATTATTATGTTTTCATTGAAATATTATTAAAATCATGATATAGTTTTATTTTTTTCAGCTATCTCAAACTCCTTTGGCTTTGGTGGTCAAAATTCTGTTGTCGTGTTTGCTCCTTTCATTTTGTAGTGGATTTATTGCTCAATGATGACCTCAGCTATTGTACCAGCTTTAAGAATACTTCTAATAATTTTATGCTTATGGAATCTTGCAATTTCTATCTCTCTCTCTCTCTCCATCTCTCTCTCCCTCTCTCTCTCTCTCTCCCTCCCTCTCTCTCTCTCTCTCTCTCCCCCTCTCTCTCTCTCTCTCTCTCTCTCTCTCTCTCTCTCTCTCTCTCTCTCTCTCTCTCTCTCTCTCTCTCTCTCTCTCTCTCTCTCTCTCTCTCTCTCTCTCTCTCTCTCTCTCTCTCTCTCCCCTCTCCTCTCTCTCTCTCTCCCTCCCTCTCTCTCTCTCTCTCTCCCTCTCCCTCTCTCTCTCTCTCCCTCCCTCTCTCTCTCTCTCTCTCTCTCTATCTCTCTATCTCTCCCTCGCTCTCTTCCTCTGTCTCCTCTCTCTCTCTCTCCCCTCCTCTCTCTCTCTCTGTTTGCCTGCCCCCCTCTCTCATTCGCTCGCTTTTTTAAATAAGCACACATTCACACTCCAGGACAGCCCAACATAGATTAATTTTGAAAACCGTCAAGTTGAAGAGTCAATGCACGAGACTATAACTGAGGCACATGTTCCCAAAAGGCCGCGCCCAAATGAAACGCCACCCCACTAAGGATGGTGGGGGTGGGGCCACTAGTCTGCTAATCTACTAGTATCTATCTACATCCCCTACTTTCTGTAATTATTCATATACATTCCAAAATCATATTAACATCCTTTTAATTCTCTTTAAAATCCAAATCAAGCCCAACTTTGTGGTGGGTTAATCTGGCCCCTTGCCCATATTATTTTCTACTATTATTTTTAGATAAGATAAATTATATTTCTATGGCTAATATTATATATATATATAATATTTAAATCATTCTACAACTTTTTATAAGACTAATTGTGCAACAAAATGCCTCTTATTCATCCCTAGTCTTCCCCTGGGTACTAGTCTATTGATTATCTAGCATATATTTATATCCCTAGAGTATCTAATTATCTATTAATTATCTAGTATCTATTTATATCTATTAATTATCTAGAATCATAAGTTGAACCTTTGAGAATCTAACCCAAACCCATTGAAATATTGGGCCAGCTCAACCCAGCCCGACGTTGTGGTGGACTAATTTGGCACGTTGACCATATTAGTTTCTACTGCTATTTTTAGATAAGATAAATTCTATTGCTATGGCTAATACAAATATATTTTTATATTTAAATCATTCTACATTTTTTAATAAGAATGGTGGTCCAAAATAATGTCTCTTATTCGTCACTAGTCTTTTCTTGGGTATTAATCAACTAAGTTATAGATTCCATTTCGGCTCTCTATGTCTATGGGAGAGAGGGAGGGAGAGAGAGATTGGGACGCCATTTAAATATTTTAACTAGAAAAAAATATGAGAAAGAGCGAGAGAGAGGAAGGCCATTTTAATATTTTAGCTAGAAAAAACTATAAGAGAGATAGAGGGGGAGAGGGAGGGAGGCCATTTAGATATTTTAACTAGAAAAAATTGAGAGAGAGAGAGCGAGAGAGACGGAGAGGGGGGTGGCCATTTAAATATTTTAATTTAAAAAAATAGAGAGAGAGAGAGAGAGAGAGAGAGAGAGAGAGAGAGAGAGAGAGGGGGAGGGAGAGGGAGAGGGAGAGGGAGTGGGAGGGAGACCATTTAAATATTTTAACTAGAAAAAATTGTGTGTGTGTGTGTGTGTGAGAGAGAGAGAGAGAGAGAGAGAGAGAGAGGGAGAGGCAGAGGGAGGGAGGCCATTTAAATATTTTAACTAGAAAAAATATAAATATTTTTTGGGATTTTTTAAAGCATAATTTAGTTCAAGATGATACAAATAAATGTAATTAAATAAATTTGGTGGAAAAGCGTAGAAAGAATGGAGGTATACAAATAACAAAGTAATAATTTTGGCGCTGGGAGTTTATTATTTACTATTTAGAGGTTCAAATGAAAAAAATAGAACCGATATCCGATTCCGATTACCCCATACTGATTGCGTTTTCCTACGCGCCTCCCCTCTTATCGGATCCGTAAATCTGGCGAGAGAGAGTCAATTGCTCACTTTTCCAGAGTCGAGGCGGAGCTGGTCGTTTCCTAGATCGCGGGCGAGCTTCCCTCGGGGAGGACGGCGATGAGGGCTACGGCGTTCGGCGTGTGGCCTTCCTCGCCTGTTTTCCTGATCGTCTCTGTTATCTTCATCTTCTTCCTCCTTCCTCCGTCTGCCGGCGCTATCTACTGTGGAGAGGACGATTGCTATGATCTACTAGGGTGATCTCCCTTTTTCCAAACTCTCGTTGCATCTGTTTCCGTTAATATTACATCATTTCTTGTGACTGATTTTAAATTGGATGATTTGCCATTATTTGAGAATTTCTTTCGATCTACTGATGCTTCAACTAGAATAGTTTCTAATTCCTTTCTGACTTGCTTCCCAGGGTCAAGCAGAACGCCAATGCCTCTGAGATAAAGAAAGCTTACTACAAGCTCTCGCTCAAACAGTACGTCTCCAGAAATTTGAATTAAAATTTTTCACCCTTCTGTTGGTCTCTTTCATGTGTTGTTTTCCCTTCATTCCTTTTTGTTTTCTCACAGACATGTTTTTTTCTTTCAAGTCACCCGGATAAAAATCCCGATCCAGAATCGAGGAAAGTGTTTCTCAAGATCGCAAATGCGTATGAGGTGCGCCATCTTCTCATTTTTTTAAAATAATTTTTGTGTAAATAGATTTATGTACCCTGCTTTTGCTCCTAATTTATTGTAATATTTATAACAAAATTAGGATGCTTCGTTGACTTTTCTCTTAATGCTATTCCCTGGGAATTTTAGTTTAAAGGATGGAGTATATTGATACTCCTCTCATTCACATTGTAACATTTATTGACTCTTTTGTGTGAAGTAAATGAATAAATGACATTTTCGCGAATGTCAATGGTTGGTGGTCAGAGTAGATGGACAAGAGAAATTGATAGTAGATGGAAATAACTTTACCGCAAATCAGGTGGTATTTATTTCCCTAATAATTGCATGAATATCAGGTAAACGCATAAAATTGAGAAATATAAAAACTAAATAAGATTGGGTACTTTTTCTCAGCAGACTTATTTTTGGATTAATTTTATTTTTTTTAAGAGCTTAAGATACCTGTGGTAGGATATATCCATGTAAGCTGTAGAGCAGCAAATTTCCGTATGCCTTTTGATTCATTCTTCCCAGTAGCTATAAGTCAATCCATCTCCATATTCTTAGATACCTCGGAAATAATTCTTGTTCATTCATCCTTCAATCAAACTCTCATAGGAGTCGGAGACATACTGACATGACATAAAAATAAATGTAGATCACTTGCAATGTGTAGTGGTATGATACTTCAGTATTCTTGTCCATCAATGTCTCTATCCTTGTTGGAAGTTATAGCGGAAAGTGTGTTATTTTGTGTTTTTTTTTATGTAATTCGTTCTTTAAAAATGTTTGCGGTCCTCTTACCTAAAACACCATCTTCTAGTGTGTCCTGCTAGAACGTTAGTTGAAATATATGATCTTGTTCATAATTCCAAAGATATTGGTAATAAGTGTATATTGTTCCATATCCCTGCAGATTTTGAAAGATGAAGAAACACGGGAGCAGTATGACTATGCAATTGCTCATCCAGAGGAGGTATGCCTTTGATTGTTTGCTCAATTTTTGACGTGAAAGCTAAATGATATGTCGTAACCAAGAGTGCTATGAAATCATTATACGTTTAATTCCATAGCTAAATGGATTGCCCTATGGTCTTTTAAGCACAAGTATTCACAATTTCAATGTTCTTTTGACTGGATATTTGTTTGACACCAACCTTTGATTTATTTTTTAGAGATCTTAGTCATCGAGGGGTTGCCCGTGAAAGAGAAAACTGGTCCTTTGTTGATATCCATACATTTATTCATGAATTTAAAATAAAAAATTAAAAAAAATCATGACTATCTTTTCGTCATATTTTACCCTTAATGGGACTGAGAAAAGACCAGGAAAAGCACGTCCTGTTAGTAACAAGAACTACAGCTCAGCTGCATCAGTAATTCTGAGCATCATCGACATGGGAGATGCAGTAAAAATTGCATTAGAAGAATGGGAAATTATGCTTTAGGAAACATTTGGACAATTAAATGCAAAAATTTAACTTTGTAACGGGAAACTCATGTGCATCTGGGATTTTGAACTTTGATTTGAAGAAGCATGTGAACCTTGACATTTTAATTTCTCTTTGTTCTTGAACTTATTCGGACTTCCCAGTTATCGTTGCTTAGTACAGAAGCAAAGCAAAGCTATTTGACTGTAGAGAGAAAAATTCAACAGGAAAATGAACTAAATATTTTATTTAGTGATTATTTTTTATTACTTGTAGAAACCTGGTAGCGGTCTGTGAATATGTTTACAACAATGTTGTGGGTTTGGAAGATGCCAAACTCTGTGGTAAGGAAATATAGTTTATTCTTAGTCCAATGTTGTTATCAGTTCCTGAATGATATTGTTTGACGGCAGCTAGGTCTATGGTATTTTAAAGGACTGAATCTCCGCTTAATCAAACATAGATGTTAGAATTGGGAGCTGTTCACTTAATTGATACCACTCAGCTGGATCCAAATCTTTTGGTCCTTCAATATTATCAAACGGGCTCTATTCTTTGAAAACACCGAGAGAACGGGTCATCTTATTGGTCACACGGTTGTATTATGATATGCTCTTGAGTTCTTAATGTATTTACATTGCTACAAGTGTCTTTTATTTCTATCAGGCCTAATACACCAATTTTTCTCCGTTCTCTCTCAGGTATTCTACAATACAGCCCGCTACTATCATGCATACTATGGGCACAAAACAGTAAGAACATATAGTATTTAATTGCACCATTTTTTCAAAGAAATTAAGTGCTGGTACTTTCGATATGTTGTTATCTGTTCATCTTCAGAGCATTACCTCCTCATATCTTTATTCCGACATCAATTGCAGGATCCTCGGGCAGTTCTGATTGGTCTTCTTTTAGTGGTTTCGGCATTACAATATCTCAACCAGTGGTCAAGGTATACGCAGGTACCAAACCCATAAAATTCGCCTCCCTTAAATTTGCATCGCGTGCTCTGCAAAATACTGTGTTTGCTCATCTACAATAACGAATCTTAGATTTCTATGCTTCATTTACTAAGTTGAGCATGCAAATTCCTGCATACAATCAAAGTCAATGAATGAAACTTTTTGCTACAAGCAGTTCTTGCTATCAGATTCCAGGAAATAAATTGTTGTTCATTTTTTCTGCAGGCTGTGGCCATGGTGAAGAGAACGCCAGCTTACAAAAACAAATTGCGGGCTTTGGAACTTGAGCGTACAGGGGGAGTAACGAACAAGAAGAAGGCTCGCAAGCCAATGGACAAGTAGGAATTGTCTTTAGCTTCTATAAGATTTCAGTTGTCAGAAGAAAAGTTATCCTAGATCGTGCTTTCTCCCTGCCTTAACTTAGTACTCCTCATACGGTTTTATAGTATGATTCCCCAACCATACGCTTTGTTGGGTCACTGGAATTTAATCTTCTGAATGCTGGTATTTTGCGAGATACTTTGGATTTATCTCCATTCAAACCAGGGGTCAGATGGCTTTATCTAGATCATTTTGTGCTATGTTTTCTATCTTTTGATAATCGGCGTCTTTGTAACGTTTGAAAAAACTGAAGCATATGTCATTTGAGCTTGGGCCTAGTCAACTACTCACCATCTGGGAAATTCTTTAGTTTCTCCTAAAGAAATCAACTTTAGATTGTTTATTCTGTTTCCTGTTGTTACACGAGTTAATTTTGCAGTTGACTTGTTTTAAGTTCTAAGTGGTAGAACCTGTTCCTCTCTCTCTCTCGCTGTCTGATGTCAAATTACAGGCCAGAATCTTGATACCCACACATTCTTCACTTATACTAGACAATCATCTAGATTCTTTACACTCCTGATTTTTCTGACATCAGTTTCATCATTGACAGTAGTAAAACGTATGTAACAGCCATCTCATTACACTCTCTCAGATACTGGGACTCTAATTATGATTCATATTTGGGCATGTCGGGATCTCAGAACCAGAGTGCTCCATGCTTCTTGCATCATGGGGCCATTCTGAATCATATTCTCTCATGTCCTTATATCAAATATCCTATTTGCCTTTTCTTTTTGAGCTTTTCTGTACTCCCTGTTCCTCTCGTTTCATTCATTCAAACATGTCTGTATATCTATATTAAGAGTTTATGAACATTATGCAGTACGTACTGTGATGGTGAATTATTTCCCAACATTCGTCCTCTTCATCTGGAATCCTTTTATGATTTCTATTGACTAAAATAGAAAATCTCGCCGATTATCTATATAATAATTTGATAGGACCACAGAAGTAAATTGATTAACGTTCTGTCCAATGGCGTGTTTAGGAAAACAGAGGAAGAACTTAGCAACGAGCTTCAATTGCAGATCCAGGGAGCTGATAAACCCTCCATCTGGAAACTTGTTGGTGTACGGTTTCTTCTCTTACCATATCTCCTCGGCAAGGTTAGTAATGCAGCTATTGGTTTTGTTAGGACCCTCACACCGGAAAAATAAATAAATAAATAAATAAACAAATCTTGCATTTTTAGTCTCTATTTATTTTTTAGTTTGACGGGTTAATAATCTTAACATTGTATCTAAGTCAATGGCTCCTCCTAAGCTATTATGTGCATGAGGGAGCTTATTGGAATAACCATTTATTGAAAAACACTGAAGTTCATTAATCTTTTCTATTTGGATGGACTACAAATATTAAGATTATATTTTTTATAATCTGTGTGCTATTGTCTTGTAATATTTGAGTCGATAATTTACAAGGATCAAAAGAAATTCGGTCCTATTTACCACTTCTCCATAAGTTGGAGCTCGTATTTGTTGTTTGTTAGGAAGTTCGTTTTGTGTTAGATGGGCTTATAATATCGATTTTTTTTTTCTTTTTCTTATCGAATATCGCTGAGTTGTAATATCTGAGTTAATAATCTAACAGGGACAAAAAGGAATCCACTCATATTTAATCGTTTCTCCCTAAGATGGCTTTTAAGCAATATATTTTCGGTTAGACCTGGACATCATTTATTCTCATAATTATATTATTCTGATTTTCCTTTTCTGTTCACATTTAGCTTTTGCTTTGGAGGTGCTGCTGGCTCTGGCGTTATCGTGTGAGGAAAGGTCCATATTCTTGGAACGATGCTTGCTACTTGACGCAGAAGTGCCTGAAAGTTTCTTCCAGTGCTTGGTTGAACATCGGTAATCATCAAAGCCTCCCCCCTTGTCTTTCTCAGACTGCCCATTCATCACTCCCTATGATCACTTTTCGTATGGTAGAATCCTTGTATAACCCAACACTGGCCCTCCTATGCACTAATCTACATAAGATAAAGAGAGAGTTCTGGGTAGCGAGAGAGAGAGAGAGAAAAGGGGGGGGGGGGTTAGAGAGAGAAAGAGAGAGAAAGAGAAAGAAAAAGAGCAAGAGGTGGGTTGCCTGCGGGAGTAAAATAGATGAGCCCTTGAATTCCACGGTAGAGGCCAAGAAAGATAATGCTCAGCCCAAAAGTACCTCTGAATGTGTGGCATAAGATGGGGTAATCATGAGATTTCTATGTTCATCTCTATTCAACTACTTAGGTTTCCTAATTCGCATGGTTAGATAAGATGCAGGCATGTTAGGATTAATGGAACATGGTTTTTTTATAAAAAAACGTATTTTTCAAACCAAAATATTTATGCCTTAATCATGTTTCAAGATGACCTTTGAATGTGTGGCATAAGATGGGGTAATCATGAAATTTCTATGTTCTTCTCTATTTCAACTACTTTTAGGTTTCCTAATTCGCATGGTTAGATAAGATGCAGGCATGTTAGGATCAATGGAACTTGCTTTTTTTTTTTTTTAATGTACTTTTCTTTCCAAGTTTAAAATTGTGTCCAAAGTCTAGAAACGAAGTGGGCTATTAATTAAATAATCAAGGAAAAATATTTTACGCCTCCAATGCATTTTATTTTCTTCCATGGGTTAATCATTCCTCCTGACAATCGTAATCACCTATCTTTCACTACCAATTATATCTATTAAAAACTAAGTTTGGGTTATTTTTCAGATGAATCTACGAAGAGCGATCTTGTCCAGAGGCGCTTGTGGGAAAATGAAAACATGGAGAACTACCTTTCAGAGTCGAGGAAAGAATCAAAGCACAGAAGATAGCTGATTTTACATGCAAGCGCTAGAAGGAAGCTAGGTAGCAAAATATAAATGAGATGGCATCTAATTGGGTCCATAAATTTCTATTTTTCCCATCTAATTTTTTTGTTTCTTGGACCAGTGAGTGAAGAAATGATGTTGAATGTTCTACAATCGAAATATTTCTTTTTAGAGGATTTTGTAACACCAATTTGTAATCGATACATAAATGTGTTTATTGCTGAACTGATTTTGGGTATTTGTTCTCTTCATTTCTTCTTTTTTAAATAAAAAAAATTATACTTACGCTGGTTGACCACTGCCATTGTCATCTCCATCTTCTTCTTAAAGTTGTATGATTCAAAGTCAGACAAGAGGGCTCTCTCTCTCTCTCTCTAACCCTAAATGATTTTTGACCAATTCATCTTGGTCAATGGCCCTTAGGTACCCCAATTTTTGATAAATAATCAAATAGAAAGTAACGTGGCAGAAATTATGGGAAGAACATGAAATGTGAACTTTTAGTAGGCAATAATTGCTTCGGATGATTCTTGAATTCACAAGTATTAGAATAAAATGTCTCTTTAATCTTATAAGAACTGTTTGAATCCATAAACAGATAAAAACTTCGCAAAATAAAGTAAGATAGCATACTATTACCCCTCATAAATTACTATGTTTAGGAATTTAAATGTCTTCTAAAAATCAAACCAGTTGAAAATAAAATAATATTTTAAGGTGAATAAAAAAGTAGAACAATCTGACGTGTTATCCACATGCTATTAGACTTAATTGCCTGGGTATTAAGAAAATAAAAATCTATTTTTCATAGATTTTCGGCCTCTCCTACATCACAGTCGGAGGGTGTTATGTGGGCTTTTTAATCGAATAAAATGGGTTCATCTTGATGCTTTCTCCTGATCACCTACTGGTTTTTTAACCTTGATAACAAGAATGTTCAAGTCCTTTTCTTCTTCGATTAGTCCCCAAAATCTCGATCAAATCTGGTAAGAACCTCAAATCTCTTCAAGAACAAATGAATTTAATGACGTTGAAATTATTTGCGGAGCTCAGATGATCGAAAAAGTTCCGTTCTTGCAGCTTTCTCGTCCGGCCACCTCGGAGAATTCGAACGGAAGAGACGGTGCGAGGTGGGTTGCAGCGGAAAAGTGGGCTTCGTGGGGAGGGGTAGAGGGCCTCGGCGAGAACCCCGTTCGTCTTCCATGTCCCTGCCGTCCCCGGTGAGTCTTCTGCCTCTGCGGAGGCCGCGGTGGACGAAGGTTTTTTTCTTACTGATCAAATCTCTCCGACGAGCAGGTGGGCTTCCTGGTCCCCCTCAGAGCGGACCTCTCCGAGGATGCCTCCGCTGAGAGGTTGCCCCTCCTTGTGGGAGCGAACTTGCTGGGACGCGGCAATCTGGCGGCGGTTGACAAGAGGGTGAGCCGCAGGCAACTCGTCTTGCATGCTTCAGACGGCGGCGGCGCCGAGCTATTCGTGGTAGGTGATCATTAGAATAATCACGTTTTAGCTGGATAGAAGCCTATGAAGTGATGGTTCTACTGCCGGTGGCTCGTTGACTTTTAGTTTCCAAGCTTTGGTGTGGCAAAATGGGTGTTTAATCGTATGTTGGGCGTCTCTTACTGCTGCTCTTCTCAGTCAAGCTCTCCATGTTTAAATTTATGTTTAACGGGATCACATTCTGCGTACTGGGTGAGCTTGTAGGAGGGAGCAAATCCTGTGGCTATCAGATCGGGAGGTCAAAGGACAAAGCTCTGCTCCGGAAGCAAGGCCTCCCTGGTTAATGGTGACGTTCTGGAGTTACTTCCCGGCTGTTATTTCTATAAATACAGTTCAGAAGGCTGCCCAGAGAGTGCCTCATCATCAAGAGCAGATGCCTGGTGTTCACAGACGGGAAAGGTGTGCCAAGAAGAGGGGGCATGGCAGCATAAGAGGAAGAGGCATATTCTAGAAGACGACTCCCCTGTGAGAACTTTGCTGGGTTTCTTGTTACATCTTCGATTGTTATGTTATGCTGGTTTCCTCATGTTAAAAGTCACTATCTTATGCATATCACTCTGTGAAAACATGGTGATATGTCTTCCCTAAGCCTATACAGTTATGGTATTTGTATTTCAATAGAGCGCTCAGGTTGAACGATCTGAGCTGTGGGTCGGGCCCATTTCAGCTTAACTAGGTGATGTTTTTCACTTCGTTGTTGAATATTCTCCAGGATTTATCATCAACGGCTATGGAGAAAATATATGATCGAGGAAAATGCGTAATGATTCGTGTATAACTTAAAATGCGCATAATGGGAATCAAAATCTCCTCTTGGAATGCAATGTACGCGGATTGGATGAACTCCTTGATGAATATTCTTCAACATAGCCTAGACTCATTGCTTGGACGTTATAAATGTTGTTAAGAAAGAAAATGTTTAATTCTGTTTTTCTCATTCTCTTGTGAGTAAGTATGCTAAGAACATGATTTCTTACTTGCTGATATCCAAGAGATCATCTACTTCGGACATTTTATTCTTGTTTACAGCCGATGACTAGATCATGTTACTGTTGTTTGAGACCATTGTTGTTCTCTAAGATGCATATTTTCAAACAATTCCATAAACCCTATCAAACGGACCATTTGGTCTATACTTTTACTTTTGCTTTTGCTTTTGTAAGTTATTGGTCGTTGAACAAGGAAATGGATTTCTTGTTTACCCTTTAGATTATGCCATTCAGGATAGCACCAGCTTAAAGCAACTTGATGGCAGCTCACTTGCAAGAAGCTGCCGTGATGTCCATTCTGAGTCAAGCAAGGGTTTTCCTTCTCGTGACGGTTTACAAGCAATCCGGCGTTTTAGGGTATCTAAGGAGAACTTGCCATCTGTATTTCGGCTTTTGCGTGTCAAAGATATTCCATCATGGGCGAATTCTTCTGCAGTTGGACTACAAGATGTTTTTCAGGTAACTTTGTCAATCCTTGATCTTATAGGGTCATATTTTAATGTTCAACATCTTTTAGTCCGCCATTATTTGCTCCATACTGATCTATCTGCTGTTTCTCCACCAGCCCCTGTGAATTAATTTTCTCATTTAGCTGAACAGTACAGATGGCCCCTGGCATATCCATTCAGTTATATTGTATTCTTTAAGTCTAATTTATCTCTTATATTTTCTATTTGAAATTATTTTACGTGGATTTTTTTGAAAATTTAAATTTTTCCACAAAAGTAATTTTACACCTATTGGATTATATTTTTTCATTTTCCAAGTCGTGATAAGATATTGTGTTGTTTAAACGTTGACGCCAGCATATTCAAGCATTATATTTATCCATCTACAGCATTGTAAACATGAGTAATAGTTTCCCCTGTGGGCATCTTCTATCAGTTAAGGGCCTAATGTGTAATATTAATTTAATTTTATTTCCTTTTCGCATCTTCCAAATTGTGAAACGTTTTCAAGGTCCTTGACTTGAAGAGAAAGCTATTCAGTTCCTATTAAAAATAAAGTTAAGTTTTGACTGATTAAGCTTGTTCTTTGGGAGATCATTCCTTTTATTCAAATCCTTGGCACCGTCTCATGGGTGGATGGATACAATATGCTACTTGATTAAAACCAATGAAAATATGGTTTTTGGCCACCTTGTATATGAAGTTGGTATCTGGAGATTTATATTTGCAAACTATTTCATGACGTTGGTATCTATCGCTAAACTCTTGTATAACATTATACTTTCTCTCATTTTTCTCTGAAAGAGAGAATTTTGATGTTTATAGCTTCAATTTTCATTAGTTCTATTTGATGGATGGTAGGGGAACGTGCTTTTTGCCATCCTTTCAAATTACATGGTGGACATTGATTGGTTGCTTTCTGGTGAGTTTGATGTGATTCTATTATAACTTTTGTGGATTTTTGTGCCTGATCTGGTGTTGTGCTTGTGGCCAGAACAAATCATCTTGTCCTTAAGGTTTTGCTGATTCTCATTACAACTACCTGAGGTTCATCATTTTTTAATCAAATCATAGTATTCTTTAGTAAAGTATATTTATGTATTGATAACACATTGTGCAAGTAATTTATGAAAGATTGGTGGAAAATTATGAAGACACGTGGTCTTAAATAATTCGTCTTCATCTTGTTCTTTATCTCTCTTCTGAATCGTTTGGGAGAAGTTCAGCAAAAGCAAATGAAACCGGCAAATTCTGCGAGTGGAAAAAGTTTTCCACTCAGTGATCACACTCAGCTGAATGAAACAGCTGCAATCTCCTCATTCAGGCTTTTGATGGTAAAGATGATTCTCTCGAAAATCTGATTTAAAATCCATACTTATCCAACCATATTTTTTTTGGTTGTCCATTTCGTATTTGATCATCCAGATACATTGAAGGAACTAAAAGAAAAACAAAGTTAGCTTGTTGGGCAGCTGTGGTGGTCTACACTTGGATGTGCTTATCAAAGAATTCAAAACCAAGATTATCCACAGAAGAATTAATGTAGTTGTAGAGGAGAACGCATAGAAAGTATAGACAACATTTTCAATGGTTAGAAAAGAAAATTAATTGTAAAAATCGAGTCCACTAAAAATTAATAACGGCTTTGCTCGGACCGACAAGTATTCTAGAACATTATTTTCTCCCGTGTGTAATGGTTTTCCCTTTTTTCCTACCAGCATATCCCCTTCTGTGCCATGGCTTCGAGTCGGAGTATTTTCTCTCAATTTATATCATTTTTTTGTGATGGATGCAGCTTGAGTAAACAGATAAGATCTATATTGAGGATAGTTGCGTGTTTTGTTGAATTTTTTTGTAGAATGTCCATTTCTGGAGAAGATACCTCGGGTGCTTGTTATTCATGGAGAATCAGGCGCTTCACTAGACCATATGAAGGTTTCTCTATTAAATTTGGATGAACTTCTTACGGTTTCATTATTTCACATTTTGCTTAGGGTTTCTCTATTATTTTTTTTATGTTTGTCCAGAAGAGCAAACCGGCAAATTGGGTTCTGCACAAGCCTCCTCTACCTATCTCATATGGCACTCACCATTCCAAGGCTATGTTCCTTGTATATCCTCACGGATTGCGAGTGATTATTCACACAGCAAACCTGATATATGTTGACTGGAACAACAAAACACAAGGTCTGTGGATGCAAGACTTCCCTTTGAAAGATGAAACTAGGCTGAAGGAAGGATGCCCATTTGAGAATGATCTAGTTGATTATCTCAATGCATTGAAGGTATGCAGTTTTCTTTGGCTGTTTTCTGATCTCACTTCCATATTTTATGTCTTAAATGAATCAAATAATTTAGATCCTGTGAACAGCCGAAAGAGTTTACGCCTTGCTTTATGAAGATTGTCTGCAGATTTATTGGTTTTTTTAATTTTCTGTTTCTTTCTGGCAATCAACGTTGTCTGGCGTTTTAGGATGGCACGAAATTCTAAGTGAAGGACATCAACCACTTAATGAAAACCAATAATACTGCAACAGAAACGTTTAGAGTAGGAATGAGGAGTTCTTTGAATTTATCCGGGGAAATGTGCATGAGAATCCATGGAGATTTTTGAGTGGATAACTACACATCCACAAGGCTTGATAAATTTATATGTATAAATTGGCTTTGATTCAGAGAGTGAATTCACCATGTGGCAGCATATTTTACTGCCAAATATGTCAGACCCTCAAGAGTCCTCAAGGAACCCAGCAGGAAAGCCAGTCTTCCCTCAAGTTAATAGGCAGTATCAGATCCTCCCTCAAGTTAGACTGGTTAAAGAACTAATTATGAAAGTGCATGAAGGACAGTATAATAAAAATGGCGAATTTAAATTTGCGTCATAATTCATAATTATGACGCAAATTTAAATACTTTTTCAAGAATGTAAATTTATTGTCACGAACATGTGCATAAAACAAGCTGAAATTATAGCCCCCCCAAAAAAAGATTCCTTCTCTGTGGAGCCTAAGCATCACTATATCAAGCTACTTTTCTATAAATACAGGTGTAGTGATTCCATTTTCCAGAAAATTTGTCCCGTGAGTGCAGAAAACACTCTGCTACCTCTGACAGTGTCCCCCTTCATTTAGTGAAATTTAGGGGTCCTTGGAGTGTATCGTCTTTGGATTGACTTGTGACTGATTTGCATTCGATCCAACTTAGTCTTTTGTTCCTCCACTGATGACGCAGATGGCTGCCTAGGGAGTTTACCATTCAATTTTCCTGTTGCTTTTTGGTTTGGTACAGTGTGAGTGTGCGTTTTTCCTCCGTCAGGTCAGCAGTTGCCCCCTCCTCAAAAAGAGGAGTTGGGGGGGCGGCTGCTGGTGTTTGGGTTCCAGTGGGAAGTTGGCAGTCTAAATGTTTACGTGGTATACCATCAATTGCTCAAACAATCTGACAAATCCCCCCCGCCTGTATGCTATTGGTAAGTTTCACAATATTATTCACGTGGATTAGTCGTCAAGGATATCATGGTATTGCTAATATGACCTTCTTCTAAACACTTTGCTTTATGGATCGTTTTTCCTACATGTATGCCTCGTAAAAATTCCGAATGCTTGCTTTCTTAGAAAGTAACCTGCTAATTGGATCTGCTTTCCAATTTATGCAGTGGCCGGAGCTCAGCATTAATCTACCTTCTATTGGACCAGCCAACATTAATCCATCATTCTTTCGAAGATTTGATTATAGCAATGCAATGGTATCCACCACGCTTTCTGAATAAATTATAAGATTCCTTTAGTTTTACTATTCCTTTGTTTTTTATTTTTGCTCTGTCTAATTATTTACAACAATTTTATTCATATATTGTGTGATGAGCTCTTATTTTCCATAAAAGAATAAATAAGTTAGGTTTTTTGTATGGCTGGCCTTCGGAGCTGACATGGACCATTTAAAATAGACTTTTCATCTCAAACATTCAGGACAACGGATAAAGATAACAATAGCAAAGGTAATAGTGCATAAGTAGATTATTTTTAGCGAGAAGTATAGAAGCGAAATTTGATCGTGTATGGTGAACATCTTCCTAAAAATGTCAAGGTAACATTTAAGGATTCTAGAGATTGTGGACGATGTCCTCTTGGACTGTATTGCAGCCTATGAAGCTCAGATCCATTAATCTAAGTTGGGAAAAATTAGTTAGCTTCAACAGGCATATTAATGCAAGGTAGATAAATCCATGTAATCAACCCAAGCCCTTTTCTTATTGTGCACAAATACGCTTCGGAGCTAATAATTGTCAGGATTAATTTGATTGGCCCAATGCAATGAGGTCCTCAATTATCTCCTGGTGGGTTCCAGTTCACCAATAAAATGGTATCTGCCTATCTAGTAATTTTTTTTTCAACCCACACCATCATGTTCTTCAACCCATTTTCATTTGACCACACATAAAATGGGTTTTCAACACCAATCAAACGGGATTGAACAAATTATCAAATGAACTTCAACCAACCATCATACAAGCTTCAATCCCATTTGAGATCCACTATCAACACGTGAGTTTCGGTCCGTTACTTAGTAGGCTTTGCCCTACCATTATGGGTGTAAGTTGTTGTTCACTCCTTAAAACTCACGTTTGCAACCTAATGGTTGTCTGGAACATTGATTTGCCAAGGCTATCGTAATATTGTTTTAATTTACTTTGTCAGGAAGTTTAAATCTTAAGTTATTGTACTAATTAAGGTTGTTGCTGACAACCGACAAGATTGGATGTTGGCAGGGGACTCTAATTATGGATAACCACGTTGGAACTGACATTTCATTGGAAACTTGCTGGGAAGGTGGTAGTCCATTGCTGACACATCGTCTGATCAGTAGGCCTCTCTTATACTGTTCTGGAATCGAACTCAAAACAGAGAACATGCTGGAGTAAGGGAGGATATTGGAATCGTATGACAGGAAAAGAGGGGGAAAAATATGGTACGAACTTGAAAAAAAATAATGGTTATCATGCTTCCATTTTTTATTGGAATGATTATCAAACTGTAATTGCTAGCTATCCCACCTCCGCTCATGAATAGTAAATTGCAATCAAAGCCAATCTGGGATAAGCCCTGGCTAATGTACTGGGGTTATAATAATATCTATTTTCCTAATTTTATAAACAAACAGGCTCCGATGGAGAAAATCAAAGTAGTACTTCGCTGCAATATTGTTTCACAAAATAGTGATCTGAAAAAATAATTAGAAATCTAGAAAATTTCTACTAGGAATAAAATTTAATGTCTTGTTTGCAAGATAGAAATTTCATGTTTGTGTTTAAACTTCATATTCCCAATATTTCAAGCAGTGTTCGTTGTTGTATTTTTCATCAAATATTATGCTTTATGTACGAATATTGAAACTTCATAATAACTTTCTGTTCGTCTTGCTCTAAATTTTGTTGCTAGGTCAGATTAGTTGCATCTGTTCCTGGATATCATACTGGTTCCAACCTTAAAAGATGGGGTCACATGAAAATAAGGAATATTCTAGAGAAGTTCACATTTGACAAAGACTTCCAGGGATCCCCTCTTGCTTACCAGGTAGAAATGAACTAATTTTCCAAGTTTTAAACGTTTCTGTTCCAAAGCAATATTAATGTATTCGAATTTTTATGTATGCGTTTCGTTGACAGTTGTGGATTGTTCTATTTGAAGATTTTCATCAGGGTAGAATATCCTGTTGTCTTTTTGGGAATGGATACGACTTGGTTTATAATTATTCATCATATAATCTTGAATCTTAGTTTTGGACTGCAGTCTGAGTTTTGTTTTGAGTAAGGCTTAACCATGCAGAAGTCAATAATGTCAAAATACCTAGCTTATTTTCTCACCTCAGAATTAAGTTCAAATCGTAATTCAGATTTTCCTACCAATGGGCATAACAATCAAGAAGAAACGGTGAAAGCACTTTGAGGATTTCTAATTCTGATTGCTTTCTCTCCAGCATGTTTATTAGCCTTTTTTGTTGGCCAGTAAGAATTATATTAGACGTAAAGTGTTTGCCATCAAACTGAATATCATCGTAGTGTTTACGGGCTTTTGTGCCTGCTCAGAAACGATGATTTTTCCTTTTTAGCATTCAAGTTTTGACGGATTCATAAGAACTAAATGCAAAGCATAAAGAATGATCTAAAATGTAAAAGATATCAATCTTGGCTATAAATTTTCGTGAACTGTGATGACGAGGTCTCTCTATGTGTGGCAAGGGGTATTTTATCTTCACAACGTGCTCTTTGGAATCATATGGTCTAAGGTTCAGATAAATGAAGGAATTATTCAGGAAATTATGTTAACTGGAGAGGCAGTGTATCAGCTTCTCCTTTACATGGATACACCAAACTCGATTCTACAGGAGCGCCATACCTTATATCCTATATATTTTGTAATAATAATTCAATGTACCAAGTTCTACTTCATCTACATAACTTCCATCATGAATTGAAAGACCATTCCATCTTAGACAAATTGTAGATTTTCGCTGGACTTATTATCAACTATGCATTGCATTGATATTGGCAACGTCATGGTCATCTACGGGCACATCTGAATGCTTTTGAAACCAATGAGAGGAGACTCAAGGGAGTCAATTTTTCTCGTCGAAAAATTATAATTTCATTTTTCTGTGAAGTTTAATTTCTTAAAATATTTGTTTTTCTTGCTTTCAAATATTGCATTTATTACTCTTGTAGTTCTCTTCACTTGGGTCCTTGGACGAGAAATGGCTGTCTGAGTTTGCCTTGTCCCTATCATCTGGTGTCTCAAGTGACAATTCACCTCTCGGCCTGGGCAAAGCTCAGATAATTTGGCCCACTGTCGAGGATGTCAGATGCTCTCTTGAGGTAATTAATTAAAGTGCTAAGGTGTGTTAATCTTATTTCTTTGGGTTATCTGTTGATTTCTTCATAATTATATTTGGTTTTCACGTTAGTTATTAACTTTTATAAGTCAATTTTCATGTTGGGCCAACCAGGAAAATTCACAATGAATGTGGTGTTTCCATGTCATCAAATGCTGAAAGGATAAAACATATACCTCAAAAGATTTGGTTCAATGAATGTCTGAGGTCTGGATGGATACACATGTCGAGTGTAAAGTTATTATATTACCTATTGTGAAATTCATGTGCAAACTCCAGCTCCTATGCTTGAGTCATCTTTACTGGAATCCGTCCAGAAGTAAAAAGCCCCTGTGTTGATCAACTTTGGAATCATAAAATGAGAATAGTTGCTTAACCAAGTAAAAAAAGAAAAAACTTTAAACTTCTAAATGGTTATCCATGTCATCGACGTGAATGTCACACTCTTGAAATATGATGTTGAAATCTTCTCTAATAGTTTCTCTACCAGTTGAATTTATTTGCAAATCCCTTTTGTTGGTCAAATCATGTGGCTCAGATAGCTACATCCTTTTATGCAGAAGTTTGGTTAATCGTTTCCTCTTTACGCTGTACCAGCTATCACCCCAGAGATTCTGAGAAAATTGTTTTTATTTTCCTATTGCACTGCCATGGGCTTATTTTTAGTTCTATGATATGAGTTTGAATAGCTTTAACTTTTGTGCGGATGCTAGATAATGTTGAATCTATTTTATCTGTAGCATTCCTCTATGAACAAGTTGTATCACATCTTAAGTGTAGTTAATTCAATTTAAATGTGCCGATTTTGATATCACATCTAGCGCGCAATCCTAACTACTCTAGGTGAGTCTTATTTATATGATCGATGATCTCTGAGTTTCTTTTAAATGCCTCAGGGATATGCTTCAGGGAGTGCCATTCCCAGCCCGCTAAAGAATGTGGAGAAAGAGTTCCTGAAGAAGTATTGGGCGAAATGGAGAGCAAACCACACTGGACGCTGGTACTTTTTACTCATTTCTTTTATACAGAAGTAACGTGCTAATGGTGTGCTATCGGTTTAAGCAATGTTCTTATGGTTTTTAACCCATAAATCGTTTCAGAATTTAAAGGCAATGGACTAATGACCATGAATTTGCTAGCACTCGAAATAAGGGTTTTTTTGGCTCTCAGATGGATATAAAATATCGAATTGTGGAAAATCTCCTTGTTCTTCCAATTTGGTTTTTAGTCCTGTGAAATTGGACATCCATTGTACCCAATGCGTGGCATGACTATCCATCACTTTGGTTCCAATCAACTGTTAAAATAGGTCTGCTACTGATCAAATGTTGAAATGATGTGGGTACCCTCCCCTGAAAGAGGTCCTTCCTGAAATAGGTTTCCCTCTCACCATCTTCTCGTGTTCTTCTGGTCTTCTCCATTCTTCTCTCTTAAACTTAATTCTCTCTCTGTCCTTCTGTGACAACATGTTCGCATCTCACTATCACATGTACCTCACTCTCCTCTTTATTCTTCTTTCCTGTTCTTACTTCTGAGCGTGAGCTGGACAGACTACTCCCCCTTTGGCCATTTTCTCTGATTTTGTTCCTTCCTGAGAGCTTATTTTGTGGCTGAACAGATATCATTTTCCCATCACCCACATATCCGTACAATTTTTTTTAGGGCTTCCTGTTATCAGTATCTAGGTCCCTTCCCTCAAACCTGTCTTTCAGAAACTGCTCTCCTTGTCTGTTTTTGGGTAGGCGAGTATGATCGTTAATATTTTATGGGTTGTAATGCTGATCTTGATATACGCTATTGTAAAGACAGTTATTTGACTATCTTTAAAGACCATGATGCTACGTTTGATTACGAAGGTGAGTGATGGTATTCAGTCTGATGGTGTATAATGCGATCCAAATAATTTGGAAAACAGTCTAAACTGTAGAAACCCCAATGCAATTTTGACAGATATTAGATTGTATGTGATTATACTTCGCCCTTGTACCGCCTATTATTTACTATGATAAATCTGTTCATAAGTATTACCATCATCACAATTATTTTAGGTAATTCAGCCTCCGCGGAATGTGTATCTTCCACCAATTTTTTTCTTAGCCATATTATCGGCTATGTAGTTCATGCAGTACCATCGCTCATGTTGACTTCAGTTTTTTTTTTCCCCCATTGTTTGTTCGTTTCAGTCATGCAATGCCTCATATAAAGTCGTACACTCGATATAATGGTCAAAAGCTTGCGTAAGCTGTGCTCCCCACACGTCCATCTTCTGTTTCCTATTAAGTCAACGAGCCCTGACTTTGCTTCATGAGCAGATGGTTCCTTCTTACTTCGGCCAATCTTAGCAAGGCAGCTTGGGGAGCACTGCAGAAGAACAATTCTCAACTCTTCATCCGTTCTTATGAGGTAATTGGATAGGTTATGCATCCTGGGCACTACTAATTCATGAACCATTTGGCCTTTGTTTTTCATTATAATCTTGGTGAAATCAATAACTTTTGACCATTCTCCTTCGAACTATATGAATTGTACCTAGTTTCCTCACCGAGGAATTCAAGTTCTATAAGAGGAACTTTCTTTCATTGTCCCCATGCCCCACCACCAATCAGGTAAAAGATCCCATCTCCTGAATGTTGTCCACTATCTGAGAGAGTCTATAATAATAAGACATAAATTTAAGTTTTGAAGATTTTAGGTTACAATGGATTATGCCCCATCTCAATTAGTCCCCATTATTGGGTATTATTATAAATGATCAGTTTAAATATTTTAGTTTGGAATTATCCAACCTCGAAAATCCTCATCATTCTACATAATTCTCCAAATAATTAAACGTTACTCAATGTTTGACTAGTCGCTTCATCATTTACTGTTCCAGTTGGGTGTTCTCTTTCTTCCATCAAAGCTCCAAGGCCACGCACTGCCAAACTTCTCGTGCACCGATGATGGCAGCCCAATGCAGGCAAATCGATTGCCGATCTCTCCTCTCCTCAGATTTTCGATCATATCATCTGAATTTTCTTACTTGCCCATGCTTTTCTTCTCCTTTCCTCCCATTCAGGTTTCACCAAAACCAAGAACCCTAGTGGGCCAGTGCAGCAACACAAGGCTGGTAACTCTCGGTGGGTTGGGGACAGGACAAGCTGATTCATCCACCAACGTGATCTCCATTCCGGTGCCATATGAGCTCCCTCCGCAGCCCTACACACCAGAGGGTCAGTCCCTCTCTCTCTCTCTCTCTCTCTCTCGCTCTCTGGCACTCTCGCTCTCACTCTAAATTTTTCCATATTTAGATGTTCCCTGGTCTTGGGAGAGAAGATACACAAAGAAAGATGTCCACGGCCAGGTCTGGCCCCGGCAAGTTGAGCTATACGTTGGCCAAGATTCCTGATTGTCTGTCTTATCTTTTCCAAAATTGTATGTTCTCCTGCTAATGTTCATATCCAGTTGTGGTCTGAGAGCTAGAACAGTTGCTAATTCCGACGAGGGCCGGGATTTCTTTAATGTGAGGAGCCTTATAATATGTCGTTCTAATCAACTTCTCAAGAAGGTGGGTTCTAATCAATTGGTCAGAAAATCGAGAAGCGAGCTGCTATAACAGGTAAAGACTCGAACTTTATTTGACGTGATCAGATTCCACAGTTGCCCAATTTGATGAAACCCCTTTGATCAGGAGGAATAGTTCTTCAAATTGCTTAGAAGAAGGGGGAGGAAAAATTGCAGCAGGGCAAAAGGAAGACTTACTCTAGAATCAACCATAGAGCATAATAGACTAGAAGGAACAGATCAGCAGACTTGAACAGGACAATGACTCAGACTCTTCACCAGACCCTCACGACATAATGATAACTTTGAGGGGATTGACCTCCAGAATTCTCTCCTCCTCCCCCTTCCTCCTACCTTTGATTATAAAGGCATTTAATCGGTAAATTGTCCTTTATAAAATTCCTTTAGCTAGCACCCTTCTAATTTTCATATGGTTCCTTTTGAATTAAGTTTTGGGGCACAGCTTACCCTGCTTTGGTTGTCCTGATGTTATCTCCCTTGTCTTTCCTTTGTGCCCAACAGCCCTTCTATGATGGGATAGAAAATCCAAGGATTGCATCAATATTCTTCCCTAGGAGAGTCACCTTGTCCTCAAGGGGAAAGTGAGGAAACTGAAGGCAGATCATCTTTCATGCATCCTCCTAAGTGGCTTTTGAGTCCAGTAGTTTGCCCCACTAAATCAGGATCTCAAGACCGTATGGCTTCTGTCACACTTAAAGGAGGTCTTTGGGGGGTCATTGCCCATGTGTTCTTGTCTAACTGTAGAGGTAGTTGAGGTTGGATTTGCGTAGCACAATTCAGAGACATGGAATATTGGATGGATCTTAGCTGAGGTTGACAGCTCCGATTGATAAGCGACGGTTGTAATGTGTTTCAGTATGTTAAAAGAGCTGAAGTATCAGGGAGATAACTTCTCATATCAGGGAGAATGTAGTTGATAGGACCTTAGATGTAAATAAATTGCATAACCCACCTTGAATTAGACATTGCAGTGCCTTTAGTTTGCATAGGCCCCCTTACAAGCTTGAGCTTGACTCAAGTGTCTCTTGAGTTGATCTAGCATAGCATCTTTGTCATTGAAGAGATGATCAATGGCATCCACCAATGACTTAGAGTGTTTATAATCCAAGGGAGAAGAATAATCCAAGGAGAGGGCCCTGACAAAGATGCCTTCTCACTAAAAGAGAAGGGGCAAGCTTGATCTGGGCCCTGGCAGCCGACCCAGTCACCACCGCTGAAACTGCCGCCACCGCCCCCCCGGCCGTAGAAGCCCAAGTCGCAGCCACCGCCCAAGCCACGGCAGACCACGTCGCTGCCGCCAAAGTCAAGACCTCGGCTGAAGTCCATGTGGTTGCCGCCCAGCTCGCCAACGTCCAAGCCTCCCTTGCCATGCTGGCCGTCCGCGCCCCCGCGTCTAGAGGATCCTCTAGGAGCTGCTAGTCACGCTCCCGCTGTGCTTCCAGCGCATCAACCTGTAACACGACCACATGCCACTCTGAGCACTGTCGGTCCAAGTCCGCGGAATGTAGGGACCCGTTGCAATCCCGCCCCTTCCCGGGCCTTCTCCTTTTGCCCACTTCAGTGCCGCTGCCCCCACCACGGGGCAGCGGGTCATCGTCGGCCATACCCGATGATTACACTATCATACCTGATGGGACGTCTTCTTGAGTGCCGTCATACTGCCCCATAGCCGACGGTCAAGCCACCATACCCAATGGGACGTCTTCCCCAGTGCCGTCATACCGCCCCATACTCAATGGTTACATCGGCCAGCCTTCTTCATCGCGGCGTCACCACTTCAGGTGGCGGGCAGTCAAACCGGTCCCGTTGGGTAACCACCAATAACCCTAATACAAATGGGCTCCGCCTTGCCCCAATTGGACCCTGGCCCATTTCCACCCCAAGTTCCTTACCTGACACCGTCCAAACCGACAGAGTGAGCAGGAGGGCCCTCCTGTGGCACAGGTCCAAGGCTGAGAAAGTCATCACGCCCCGTGTCCAACGCATCTCCACAACAATCAACCAGGGGGCCATGGATGGGGTCGTGGAGCTGAAGAACACGCACCATTCCATCACATTGGACCTTTTCTCAGGGCGTCGATGAGGGATGAGCACTAGGAGGAACACTAGGGGGGCTATGGGGAGGATTGGGGTATTGAGCACATCACTGGCCCTCGCAAACCCCCGCGGTGAAGCATGCCTGCATTGCAAGGGAGAGTTGCATGTATTCTCAGGAGGCGACCCTGAGTAGTGGCTCATGCATGTCGACTAATTCTTCGAGCTCAACCCCACCGAGGAATGAGACCGGTTGCATCTCATCATGACCCACCTCGAGGGTACGGCATTATCATGGTTCAATTATTGAAGCCACTTTGAAGGGTTCACTAGGTGGCGCGACTTCATCGAGCAGCTCTCCGAATGGTTTGGTCCCTCCACGACTGCCCCCCTAGCTCGACTGATGGCTCTTAAGTAGATGGGTATGGTCGAGGAGCTAATCATCCGGTTGGAAGAGGTGGCGGGCTTCCTGGCCCACATGGACTGGGAGGTGCACAAAACGGCATTCATCAACATGCTTCGGGAGGACATCTGTGCCGAAGTGTACGAAGCCGAGCCTGCCTCTATCAAGGCGGCCTTGAAGTGCACCCGGTAAGCTGAAGCCAAGTTGCGACAACGAAGGGACAGTCATTGTCCAATTCCTGTCCACTCCCAAGGCCAAGGGGCTGCCCCCAAGGTCTCGGGCACTCCGAAAGTGCATGAAGGGCATCCACTAAGGGTGCACAGCGAAGCTTGACCCTCACAGACGCTGAGTTCTAGCGCCGAAAGGTGCAAGGACTCTATTTTTCTCGCTATGAGAAGTTCACTCTAGGCCATTGCTGCAAGAGGGAGATCAACCTCATAGTCATCCAAGATGACGATGTAGAGACACCGGTGGGTGACAAGGTGGACACGCCACTCAAGGTCGATGAGCTGCTGGATCTAGAGGATGACTTTGAAGGTACAAATGTCTCGCTCCATGCCATATTAGGTGTTTCATCGATTGGCACCCTCAAGATGAAAGGGAGTATCCACGGCTGTGAGTTGGCATTATGGTGGATGGCGGGGCTTCACGCAACTATATTTGGCGCCAACTCACCACCTACCTACAACTGTCAATGACCGTGGCTCAACTATACTGCATCACCTTGGGCGACAACTGCACAACCTTCAGTGATATGGTGTGACGTGACAAGCTGGTGCTAAGATCCACGGAACCTAGTCATGCAAAACTTTCTCCTGTTGGACGACGTCGGTGTGGAGATCTTCTTGGGAGTCTAGTGGCTTTGGACACTCGGGTGGATCACCACCAACTACAACCTACTCCTACTTCGTTTCTATGTCGACAATGTGAACCACACACTAAGGAGGGACTCATCGACGAACATGCGACCACTACAAGGGAAGGCTACATGCCTTTTGAAGAAGGCCCATACAGGGGATCTCCATTATACATCACTGTTGATGATGTTGGTGCTGGCGACTGAGGCATATGGAGTGGCCGTCGCGGCCTTATGATATGAATTCCCTAAGATTTTCTCTAACAAGTTTGTCTTTTCACTACCCAGGCCCCTCAACCATACCATCATCTTGTGACTGAGTTCAATACTAGTGAACTAGTGGCTATATTGATACTCGCATCCCCAAAAAGATGTCTTGGAGCAGCTCATGGCAGAGCAATTGGTGCAAGAGATTATTCAACACTCATACAACCCTTTCACCAGCCCACCCTCTTGGTGAAGAAGAAAGATGGCTTATGGTGGTTCTGCATGAACTAATGCAACCTCAATAGACTCACCGTCCCTAACAATTTTCCTATCTCGATTGTCGATGAGTTACTTGAGGAACTCTACAGTGTCACCCTCTTCTCCAAGCTGGACCTCAAGTCTGGTTATCATCAGATCCGTATGTGTGAGGAAGACATCTAAAAAATTACATTATGAATGTACAAAGGCCACTATGAGTATTTGGTGATGCCATTTGGGTTGACTAACGTACCTTCTACATTTTAGGCTTTGATGAACCTTATTTTTCAGTCATACTTAGAACGTTCGGTTCTGGTCTTCTTCGATGATATCTTAGTTTTCAGTCAATCAAAGGCCAATCATGAGGCTCACCTTTAAATCGTGTTGGTGTTCCTCCAAAACCATCAATTGACGGTTAACTTCAAAAAGTGTTATTTCTATCAAGAGTAGTTGAAATATTTAAGACATTAGATATCAATAGGTAGCATGGCAATCAACCACAACAAAGTCTAAGATGTGTAAAATTAGCTCCCACCAATAAGTCTAAGATAATTGTAGAGATTCTTGGGACTGACTAAGTATTACAGATATTTTGTAGAGGACTATGAAAAGATAGTTTGACCACTCACTTAGCTCCTAAAGAAAGATACTTTCTCATGGTCGATAAGAACTCAACGATCTTTTGAAGAGTTAAAGCAAGGCCTATATTTGACCTTGGTGTTGATACTCCCTAACTTCACCCCACCTTTTATTCTTGATATTAATGTTTCAAGTGTCAAGGTTGATGTGCTTCTGATGCTACAAGGGTGCCATTTATTCTCCCTCCCACGGCCTGCACCTAATCGATTTATAAGGAGTAACTTATGACAATCATGATAATAGTATAAAAATTGAAGCACTACTTGATGTTTTAAACTTTTATCATCCGAATAGATTAGTATAATTTGAAATATTTGATTGAGCAAAAGAAGGTACATGTGCAATACCACTGGTGGATTGTAAAACTTATGAGTTACTAGTTTGCAATCTACTACAAAAAAGGGCAATAGAATCTAGTGGCGAATGCATTGTCTCGGCTGCCAGCTAAGAAGGCGGTGGTGTTGTGTGTCATGTCCATTTTCATGTGACTAGACTTAGAGATATTGCAACAAGATGTTCAGGTTGACTCTAAGCTATCTAAGATTATCCAAGAGGTTTAAGGGAGAGTTTCTGACAATCAGTAGTATGCACTTCACAATGAATTGTTGATGTTCAAGGGCCAATTGACTTTGTCTTATTCATCCATGGTCATTCTAAATTTACTTGAGAAATTTCATGATCGAGCTTTGGGGGGCACAACAAGTTTCTACAGCCCTATTGTCACATCTCACAATAATTTTATTAGCCAAGGATGAAATGAGACATCAAGATACATATGAACCAATGCCCCACCTACCTCCATTTCAAGTCTAGCTCTCTCTCTCTATTAGGTATTCCTCAATTACTGCCCATCTTGAACTGAATCTAAGAAGATATATTTATGGACTTCATCTAGGGTCTTCCAAAGTCTAGAGGATTTGATTCAATCCTAGTGGTCATGGACTGTCTAAATAAGTACAATCATTTTGTTCTCATTAAGCACCCATTTTATACAGCATATGTGCCCATCGTTTTCATCTAAGATATTGTGCGTTTGCATGATTTTTCATTATTCATCATCACCAGCCGAGAGAGTGTCTTCACTAGCACATTTTGGAGGGAGTTACATTCTTTGTAAGGGACCCCACTTAGAATGAGTTCCATGCATCATTTAGAGATAAATGGTCAAACAAAAGTCGTCAACTAGAGCCTAAGGAGCTTTTTGTGTTGCTTTGTAGGAGAAAAATTGAAGAATTAGGGCGAGCATTTGCATTGGGTTGAGTTGAGTTATAGCACGTCATTCCACCTAATGATCAAGACGTTGTCATTCTAATAGTGTATGGGAGAGAGCCTCAACCATCAACCACTATGGGTCAGGCACGTCTCTTTTGGAAGACGTGGACCATATGTTGGCATACTAGGACATTAGCTTGGAGCTGTTGAAAAGTCACTTGGCTTGGGCACAAGCATACATGAAAAAGGACACTGATCAGCATTGATGTGGTGTACAATTTGAAGTTGGCGATCAAGTATTTTTGAAGCTTCACCATTATAGTACAAAGACCTTGGCCTAAAGACAGAACAAGAAACTAAGTCCAAAGTACTTTTGTCCCTATTAATTCACTGAGCAAGTAAGACTGGTGGCTCATCAACTAAACTTACCCCCTCATGCTTCGATTCATACTATCTTCCATATTTTGCAGCTCAAGTGTACTTTAGAGAAGAATGTTTCGCCTTGTCCTCATATGTTGGAAGGGACTATCAAAGAGCAAAGTGACATGGGAGGCAGCCAACACCAACACTCAACACTTCCTAGAGTTTTAGGTTGAGGGCAAGCTGGCAATCCAAGGGGAGAGCATTGATGGCATACCAAAGGAGTGGTGTGTCCACAAGCCTAGTAAGCCCAAGTGCTAGCCCAACAATGAGAGGCCCACGGGCCTACTCAATTATAGTGTAAATATCGTAATTAAAAGGTGACTGTGCAGGTAGGAATTGGCATGCAACCCCTTATCTCACCCTCCTAGGAAGGGATTTCCTAACCCCTTCCTCTCCTATTTTCATCCAAGTCTCTCTCTTGTCAGTGACGTTGTAGAGCTCCACCAGTCCTTGCCTTGGACTATTCTTCTCCCTTAGATTTTCCCTCTTTGCTTCCTCCTTCTTCGCCCCTTCTCTTTTAGTGAGAAACTATCTAAATTCTTGGTGGAGTCCTTCAAGACTCTATCATAGATCTTGGTACTGTGAGAATTTCAAAAAATTAGAAGAATTTTATTATAATTATTAAGTTACTTTTCTCAGCCATAGGTTGACTTGATATTCTATTGCTATCTATTTGAGATCAAGTAATTTTGATTGAGTAACTTTAGTTGAGAAGACCTTCTAGTCGAAAAGCTTATGTGAAAAGGTGTTGGCTACCTAATTTAAGACCCCTACTGTGAAACGGATCTCAAAAAAGTAAAGCTAATGACTTTGAATAACTAAAATTGATAGTAAGCATCACCTACCTCTATTCAAAGAGGAATTTGAGGCATGCTAGTTGGTGTTGATGATGAATTTACACCTAATGAGGTAATGCATATTTTTTAGCACTATGAGGACCATGACAATTAACTTACATTTTTAAACTGATTTCAATCGGCCTAATGTAAAAATATCTTTGTTGAAAAATGTGATAGTTTGACAATACTACATGAAAATCATCTCAACACCAATTTCTTAAGCTACTAGGGCTAGATAGAGTAAAGTTGGGCTAGAATAAGGACTAATAGTGAGGGATGATGTTAGTGCTTCACATGTCACAAATAAGTTTCTTGATTTCTGATTTTTGAACTTATGAGTAACAAAAAGCTCATACCTTGATGAGTGTGGAATTAGGCTATAGCAAATGTGATAACCAATTTTCTTATTTTGTGGCAGTCTTATGATATCATTGAAGATGTTAAAAATTTTTCTGTAAAGATGGTCTTTTCAATATTGTGTGATCACATTTTGGTCATTGAGGGTGTGCATGAGTTGGTAAAACTCAATCATTACTTTAGTCTTTTGTTAGAGCACCTTGGACAACATTTGGAGAGACATGTCTTATAATGTCAATTGGTGATTGATCTGAAGAATGTCCTTCTAATGACCTTCATGATCAAAGTTTGTCGCTCTATGTCGAAGATAACTCTACTCATAGAATTCATCTATTTCATTGAGGATGATGTTTGCATTTACTAAAGATAGAAGTAATAACTCATCGATCATGTGAACAAAAAGTTACCTATCAAACTAAAATTTAAGTATGATGGTATTGTCAACTAAGATTGTCACTATCCACCTTTGGAGAGACCATGTGAACTTGAACATTTTGGGCTAATTCTCTTATGACAATGCATTGGTCACAAGCTCAATGTTAGCAAATTCTTCATCCACTATATCTTTCAGTGGCATTGGATCATCCATAAGATTTAAATCTTACATTTACAATAGTGGTCAGGCCAATACTTCTCATTGTAGGAGAAGCAAAGTCATTGAGCATGTCAATTTTGAATTTCGATCCATGGTCTCCCAATGAGATTTCTTTCTTGATGAATGCATGTGCCCACCTTGGTTGCCTTACTATCAGATTTATGAAATGAAGAAGGCTCTAAAGATTGTCGTCAATGGAGGTGAAAGTGTTGGATGGTCGTTACCGAATTGTTATGATTGTAGTTCTTACTTTTTCTTCTTGGTTCTTTATATTTGTTCAGATCGAGTAAGCTGACTTTGGCTTTGATTTCCTACGTTAGTAACTTGAGGAAGATATCTTTAAGAATAAGCGATGATTTTTCTTCAATCATGACAGTTATTTTGTTGCAAACCCTCTTTCTTTATTGTTTAGGAAGCATTGGTATAAAGAGGTAGCCTAAACCACAGAAGAGCTCTCTATCTTCAAAACTCATGTCTATTGCCACCAATTTTTCCGTTGACAATATTTTGTTATGTTTTGTGATTTGCCCTCTCCCTTCTTCAAAGCCGTTTAAAGAATTAACTGTTATCAAGAGTGTCGAACAAGTGGATAGAGATGTTGAGGAGCTTCATCGAGATGTGAAGGAACCTAGTAGAAGGGCCCATTTTTTATCTTAGGCTTCAACGCTCAGATGGGCCATCTTCTCCAGACAAAATTGGGTCCAAAAGGCCCATCTTGAACCTTCTTCTGGTAATGTGGGTGGCGCCCACCTGCCTCCTGGTAGAGTTGCTGTCCCCGATTGTGTTCCAGGCCGGAAAAGCCCAAAGGCCCCGTCTTTTTTCTCTTCTTTCTGAGCTCAGAGAGAGAGAGAGAGAGAGAGAGAGAGAGAGAGATAAGAGGCAATGATGCCGGAGACGCCGCCAGCGAGCTCCCGACAGATATGTTTTTAACATTATATATTTTTTAATATTATCCCCCTAATATAACCATGTATAATATATATTCCAAACATAGGGAAACTCCAACGCCCGTTAGTTCACATCATTTTCTAATTTTCTCTTGAAAAATAAAACCCAAGCAAAAAGGTCCTGAGAAACAGAGGACGAGGCCGAAGAAGAATAAGAAGAAGAAGAGGAAAAAGAAACCCTAACTGGGGATGGTGAGGTAGTCTTCGTAGGAGCGGTGCCAGGAGGTGCTGCCGTCGGGGGAGAAGTAAAGGTAGACGACGGAGCCATCGCTGACGCCGTATTGCGCGAGCGCCGTCTGGTCCTCCGCCATCACGCGGCCGGCGGCGGTCACGAGAATCATCCTCTGCGCCTGCGCCGCCTCCTCCTCCGCTCCGGCGATCGCAATCTTCAAGCGGCCCACCGTCGCCTGCTCCTCGCCTTCCTCCACCTCCGCGAAGAGGAACCTCCCGGCGACGTTCTCGACGGCGACTCTCATCGTACTCCCAGTCGAAGGCGGCGGTCGTTATTTAAGGCCGCCATCGGGGAAGGGGAAGAAACCGTCGCTGGGGCCGTGGCGTGGATTCCGGCGTCCAGGCGCTCTGTTCTGCCGCTTTTCTGAGACTGCTCGTAACGGAAAGATCGGCGGAGAGGACTACGTTGACCCATCCCTGGCCACGGCTGGCGAAGATCTCCCCATTAGGAAAGGACCTGCAGGGTCAGGTCATCGTGTTGATTAACCTCTAGAGAGAGAGAGAAAGAGAGAGGGGGGGTTGCAGAGCGTGGCGCAGGCGTTGGAAACGAGAGGAAGACGCTGCACAGAGAGAGAGAGAGAGAGGAGAAACTAAGAGTTGGTCCCCCGGCGGCGCCGCTGGCGCCGATGGTCTCCCACCGCCGTCGACGGCGGTGGGAGCTGTCATCGGCGTCGTCGCCTCTCGACACCGGCTGGCCGCGGCTCCCGGCGATGCGGTTGACGACAGGGTCTGGCATTTTATTGGGGGTAAAATTCAAAAGGAAATATGGGGTCAAAGAGGGGCTCCACATCAAAAGCAAAATAATAACGAATATTATGCCTCACAATGGAAAATATGAAATTTTACTCGGCCGAGGGTAGAGTGTCCCCCCGCACTGGCAAGGCGGCGACGGAGGAGAGCTCGGCAGGGTTGCTCGCCCCTCCTCCCCTCGCCCTGTGGCAGGCCACCCCTCCCCCGTGAAGGAGAGAATATAGATCGGAGTTCATCGCAGATACCAGTGGAACCAATGAGAGGAAATGTGGGACGAGAGGATTTGGCACAAAGCCTACAACGAACATCACAGTTGATATGAGCGGCGCTCCGCTTCAGAGGGGGAGGATGACAGCTGTGACAGACACGAACGGTAGATGAGTCGGGGAACAGACGGGGAGAGCGTTCAGACACCACATGAGAAGAAACTAAAGCAATGACGATAGGGGAGCGCTCGCCAGGCAGAAGAGTTCAAGGTTGCATCTTTAGCATCCACCGCGGAGACGGAGCACCAGGTGGAGGGTTGACTCCTTCTGGATGTTGTAGTCGGCGAGGGTGCGGCCGTCCTCCAGCTGCTTCCCGGCGAAGATCAGACGCTGCTGGTCCGGGGGGATCCCCTCCTTGTCCTGAATCTTAGCCTTCACGTTGTCGATGGTGTCCGAGGACTCCACCTCCAATGTGATGGTCTTGCCGGTGAGGGTCTTGACGAAGATCTGCATGCCTCCCCTGAGACGGAGAACCAGGTGGAGGGTGGACTCCTTCTGGATGTTGTAGTCGGCGAGGGTGCGGCCGTCCTCCAGCTGCTTCCCGGCGAAGATCAGACGCTGCTGGTCCGGGGGGATCCCCTCCTTGTCCTGAATCTTAGCCTTCACGTTGTCGATGGTGTCCGAGGACTCCACCTCCAACGTGATGGTCTTGCCGGTGAGGGTCTTGACGAAGATCTGCATGCCTCCCCTGAGACGGAGAACCAGGTGGAGGGTTGACTCCTTCTGGATGTTGTAGTCGGCGAGGGTGCGGCCGTCCTCCAGCTGCTTCCCGGCGAAGATCAGACGCTGCTGGTCCGGGGGGATCCCCTCCTTGTCCTGGATCTTGGCCTTCACGTTGTCGATGGTGTCCGAGGACTCCACCTCCAACGTGATGGTCTTGCCGGTGAGGGTCTTGACGAAGATCTGCATGCCTCCCCTGAGACGGAGCACCAGGTGGAGGGTTGACTCCTTCTGGATGTTGTAGTCGGCGAGGGTGCGGCCGTCCTCCAGCTGCTTCCCGGCGAAAATCAGACGCTGCTGGTCCGGGGGGATCCCCTCCTTGTCCTGAATCTTAGCCTTCACGTTGTCGATGGTGTCCGAGGACTCCACCTCCAACGTGATGGTTTTGCCGGTGAGGGTCTTGACGAAGATCTGCATGCCTCCCCTGAGACGGAGAACCAGGTGGAGGGTGGACTCCTTCTGGATGTTGTAGTCGGCGAGGGTGCGGCCGTCCTCCAGCTGCTTCCCGGCGAAGATCAGACGCTGCTGGTCCGGGGGGATCCCCTCCTTGTCCTGGATCTTGGCCTTCACGTTGTCGATGGTGTCCGAGGACTCCACCTCCAACGTGATGGTCTTGCCGGTGAGGGTCTTGACGAAGATCTGCATGCCTCCCCTGAGACGGAGAACCAGGTGGAGAGTGGACTCCTTCTGGATGTTGTAGTCGGCGAGGGTGCGGCCGTCCTCCAGCTGCTTCCCGGCGAAGATCAGACGCTGCTGGTCCGGGGGGATCCCCTCCTTGTCCTGGATCTTAGCCTTCACGTTGTCGATGGTGTCCGAGGACTCCACCTCCAACGTGATGGTCTTGCCGGTGAGGGTCTTGACGAAGATCTGCATCTGATGGAACATTTGACGATTGAAAGGTTAATACATTAATTTAAAAGAAAAGGACGCGCTCGAGATAAGTAAAATCCACGATAAAAAACACGTAAAAAGGCGACCACAAATTGATAGAACAAAATTTGTAAAGGGGGAATGAGTCCCTTACTAGAGTAAGTGTCGAAAACATAACTCTAATTCATAGAGGATCATAACAGAAAAAAAGAGGAGCAACGCATGGATCAGGTAGATCACCGTCCAGAAAAAACACAGCGAAATTTATAGAGGAATACATCTCTTTAACATGCAGGGGTCCCAAACCGAAAATCAATTTCTAGATAAAGCTGATTCAAGACTAAGAAGAACATGCACCGATATCTGAAACAGGTACCGAATATCTCATCCATATCAAGAGACATCGGGACAGATCACGATCATGGACCGAATCAACTCCAGCGAGACATCAAAACGACGGGGAACCGCGAAGAATACGTAAAAAACGGATCTAAAAAAATCGGAAAGAGTTCTCAAAACATAAATTCACAGCATGAGAGAGCACGCGCATCTGGATAAAGCCTGTAAAAGGACCTAGACAAACTTTCTCCGCCACAACAGACAGTCTTAATCATAGAAGATCGGCTTAAATCCAAAGGATGCATCCTAACCTAAGCAAACAACCAAGAGATGATGCGATCGAAGATCCGCAGAAAAAAAAACTCACAGACGAAGAAGAAAAACGATCAAGAGATCAAACGCAGTCTTAACCATAGGAGATCGCCTCAAATCCAAAGGATACATCATAACCTAAGCAAACAACCAAGGGAAGATGCGACAGAAGATCCGGAGAAGAAAAGGTAAACTAACAAACGAAGGACAGAAATGATCAAAGAGATCGAATCCTTACCTTAGGAGACGGAGGGAGTGACGACGCGCTTCTTTCACGCTGAGGAGAACAATTAGGATATGTGCGAGTGGTAAAGAGGCCTTGGGGGCGGTATTTATAGTACCACGACCGACGCAGACGGGCGGAATTACCGATGGTTGAGCCAATAACTTCTTTCCACGTCTCTGACGGCGTCAAAACTGACGGCGCCGTTTGCTTTATGTCGATGGATTCTCACGGCATCGCGAAAGGCCCATTGCTTTCGTGGCGTGGCCGCTCATCCACCGATTTTAAATCTGCGGCTGTTGGCTCATCAGGACAACGACCATGACGTCTCCTTAATTTGTCGGGTTCTGGAGGTACTTATCTAATTCGGAATAATTAAATAAGACTTATAGACAATAATTAAATAAAAAATAATTGAGGACTACTGTATAATCTGAGCAATTACATAAATGCCGGCCGTCGGGTTTCTTCTCACTGGTGCTCCTCTGTCATCAAGATGATGACGTCAGCTTTATTTGCCGGGCTCTGAAAGTGCTTATCTAATTCAGGATAATTTAAATAAAAACATATAAACAATAACTAAAAATTATGATGTGAATTAAAAAAATAAAAATATTTGAGGGCTTCTGTATAATCTGTTCAACTTCATCAATGCCCCTCTTAGGTTTCTTCTCAGTGGCGCTCTGTCGCCTCAATTTCTCGGGATAATCTACATATACAATAATTAAAAATTATATGTTAGATAAAAAATGAAAAATAAATGAGGGTTTTTATATAATCTATGCAACTTCACCAGTGCCTTCAGTTAGGGTTCTTCTTCTCAGTGGTGGTGCTCCGTCCCCGAGCGGGGGCGCCATGGCGGCGCCGGCGGGGTATCTCCGCCGTCTTCGTGAGGATCTCGGCAGGTGCTTCATGAAGACAAGATTCTACTCTTCGGGGATGGATTTGCGGAGGCTTCGGCCGATGATCCTCAAGAGAATAAAGAACAGAGCGAGCTTCTACCCCGTGGAGAGCATGATCCGTGTTGCGGAGGAAGTCCTCTCGGCGAGGCGAGTCCTCCGGAGAGGTGTCGCTTCCCTGCTCGAAATCTTCCCCGTCAAGTCTTGCAAGTAAGTCGGAAAACATTGAGGATGTCCTTGTGTCTTCATTCCCTGTGTTTGATTTATGTAAATAGGTACCCGTTTATACGAAACCCTAGACAGAGTCTAGGCTGTTGAGCGGAGTATCAAAATTTACAGAGTGAAGCTGAGGACAGTGTGCGATCTTTAAGATCGTAAGGAAAACAAAACTTCATTGATCAGTAAATAATGATTATTCTATCTTACAACATGAAGATTTTTCTCATTAATTGGTTATTACACCGTGAGAATTATATGCAATAAGGGAGTGTTTGGATTATTTTCTATGCACCATTACGGAATACGATTACCTCACAGGTATTCGTATAGCTCTTTATTAGTTTCTGTACTCCAACAGCAGGTATCATCCACTTTCAACAAGAACATTCTAAATTATATGCTAAAAATAATGATGTAGGTGTTTTCTGCTGTGGAGGTAAGGTCACATTTCGTGATATGGTTGATCCGAGGGGAACGTAGACCAAATTACGTGTCCAATAAAAATTGAAAAGATTTGGCTCTCTGCAGAGACCAGTACAATCATGGTTTAGAGCACTAGTCTTTTGGTGAATAGGTTTCCTCGGACCACAGGGAATCTAATGATGATCTTCAGCCAATAATTTACTAACATCCTAGTGATCTAGCTTATTGATATTGATAGGAGAACCAGAATTTCGTGAAATGAAGCTGAGGACAGCATGCAATCTTTAAGATCTTGGGAAAAACAGAACTTCATCCATCTGTAGATCATCCGTGTTGAATGTGGCTAATGATTAACGACCCAATAATCTTTCTTCTTCATATTCTGGGCAGTGGCTGGCTGATAAGTTCAACAGAAGCTTAAGCCATCCCATCCGTAATTAGATCACTCACGCCTTTGAAGGTGAAGTGGAGAATATCTGGGCTCAGTTTCAGCTATTGTCACACGTGGCTGTGAGAAGTATCCATGAACAGGATTTTCTGTAAAATCTGCAATGATATAAATGGAAGTATCCAACCCCTAAGGGATATATCAAGCAATGATGTTCAAATTCCTTGAATGGAAAGACATCATCCTTTTAGGGATGGTATGGCTCAGATTCAGTCTCCGGGCATTTTTCCTTTATTTGACCTCTCTCAGTAATCCGTGAACTAGATTTTATAAAAATCTGTTGTTGATATAAATTGAAGTCTGCATTCCCTGAGGCATATTATCTTCCAGTCATCTCTCAGTTATATTGGATGCAAGACATTGGCTGTTCAAAGTACATTCATCAACCAATTGAGTGGCAAATATTGGCTTCTATTAGTGCAATTTCCTTTTTTTTTATTAAAATGGTGAATTCCACTGGATACCAGATGTTGCCTTCTCATGTGACAATCATCAAAAAATGCAAGATATTTCCTTTTTCTTTTGTGGTAATTAGCCATGGAATTCAACTTTGTCTCTCGAAATATGATGAATGCTCCTTCATTTTGCCCTCCAATCCGTCTCCTTTAGGTTCTGCCCTGAAATATTCATCGGAGAGGAAGGGCACCAGATCAAGACCTGCCATGGCTTCAAGCGCATCATCAGCAATGAGCTCCACCACTGGGTTGACGGCCGGGTGGGCGACATCCTTTTCCCAGTGGAAGCCTTTCATCTGAACAAAATGTTCCAGGCAGTGATCAGGCATGAACAGAGATTCAACATAGACCGCGTCCCGGCGGTCGTCGAGCTCTGCTCCCAGGCCGGGGCCGAGGTTCCCCCAGAAGACTGGCTTCTCCACGAAGATGGTGGTGGCAGTGGCAGCGGCAGTGGCAGTGGGGCGCCACCAAATGAGGAGCAAATCAGAAGGGTGGCCGAGAGGACACTGGAAGCGTGGGAGGAGCTCAGGGCCGGTGTGCAGAGGCTGCTGCTGGTCTACCCTGCAAAGGTCTGCAAGTACTGCTCGGAGGTCCATGTTGGGCCATCGGGGCACCGGGCAAGGCTCTGCGGGGTATTCCGGTTCGAGCGGTGGCGAGGTGGCCATTTCTGGAAGAGGGCAGAGGTGGACGACCTCGTGCCGCCGAGGCTGGTCTGGCACCGCCGGCCCTACGACCCCACGGTGCTCATCGATGCCGGCAGGGGCTTCTACGGCCACGCGCCAGCAGTGATCGAGCTGTGCGGTCAGGCTGGCGCCGCCGTGCCGAAGAAGTACTTCTCCTTGATGAAGCTGAGGGGCCTCTCTGAACCCAGTCATCCTGCCAGCAGCGGCGGCAGCAACTGAGATCAGACAAAAAACTTCTCTGGGCATGTGTCGGTGGTGATCGAGCTGTGCAATCAGCCTGGTGCCACAGTGCTGAAGAACTTCTCATTGATGAGACTGAGAAGCCTCTCCAAGCCTGCTCATCCTGGCGGTGGCGGCGGTGGTGGCAGCAATTGAGATGAGATAGAAGAGTTCTATCTTTCGGGGATGAAGTAATCTATGGGCGTGTGCTGCCATGCCCAAGAAGTTTGCTCACCCTGGAGGTAGCAGCAATTGAGATAAGACCGAAGATTTCCATTTTTGGAAACCTGCCCCGGGATTGATATTGGGGAACCTGCCCCAGATGTAGAGGTGGTCTGCCAAGTGGATGGTGGAGGTGTGGCCATGTGGCGGATGGTAGTGGTGGTGGATTTTTTTTAGGTCAGATTGGAGTTTTTTTTTGGGGGACCTTCTTTCAAAAATAAAATAATAGAAATATATCAAAGAATTTTATTATTAATTCCGTATCGAAATATTATCGAAATATGGCTAAAAAAGCTCGTACCTCATTTTTCTACGGTTATTTGTAATTTTTTCAGCCAAAATTCTACAACAATTCCCTCAACCATCTGCCATAAGCAGTGTCTATTGTTCATCTCTGAGGGAGCACTCGGGCGGCATGGAGGGGAAGCGCTGGAGGTCGGTGCAGTAGTCGTAGACGACGAGGTTGCGGCGGACCCAGGCGGCGTCTTGGGCCTGGGCGGCGGAGAGGGACCAGGCGGGGTATTGGTCCCACCAGTGCTCGGTGGTAGTGGCGACGCAGGAAGGGAAGGGGTCCTCCCATTGGCAGGCGTCGGCGGCGAAGTCCTTGTAGGAAGAGATGAAGGGGGACTGGGTCCAGTCGGTCTTCTCGAGGCCTCCCCTGGTGGCCCAGTCGTCGGCGTTCCAGATGCTGGAGAAGAGGTACATGGGCTTGTCGCTGGGGAAGTAGGTCTCCCCTCCCTCCCCGTTCTTGAACACCCTGATCGCCACCTTGTCCACGAAGAACCTGGAAGAAGATGACGATGAATGCTAGAGAGAGAGAGAGAGAGAGAGGGAGGAAGGGGAGCTTACACGAGGTGGTGGGTGTTCCAGAGGAAGGAATAGGTGTGGAAGTCGGCGGTGGGGTCGAACCAGAGGCTGTGGCGCATCTCGCGGTTGCCGACGCCGCCCTTGTAGACGTTGGTCTGGATGATGTACGGCTGTCCGCTGCGGTTACCTAGGAACTCAATGTCCACCTCGTCCCTGTCCGGCGCCGCCCCCTTGTCCGAGCACATCTGCCGCCGCCGCCACCACCCCCGCCGGAGGAGGAAGAAGATAATGTCAGGAAGAATGGGGAGGAACACAGAGAGAGAGAGAGAGAGAGAGATGGGCGTTCTCACATAGAAAGCGGTCACCACTCCGGCGGAGTCGCCACCGACGAGCTTCATCTTCATGCCGAACCACCCGAAGCGGTACCTGTGCTTCGTCTGGAACCCGCATCCTGCGACGACGGCGGAGGGAATAGGCGGGCTAGTCAGGTCGACCACCATCTCGCCGTCGCCGGAGAAGGACAGGGACGAGGGCAAAGAGGAAGAAGAAGAGGAAGAGAGGGGTCTTACCTGCGTCCTTGTCGAGGTAGAGGTGCCAAGTCTGGACGTCAGGAGAGGTCTTGAAGTGATCGTCGGCGCAGGAGAGCTCGAAGGTGTCCTCGAAGGAGAAGGACCCGCCGGCGACCAAAACCCGGCCGGCGGCGATGCAGCAGAGGAGCACGAGAAGAGGCCATGAAGAAGCCGCCGCCTGCCTCCTCCCCATCTCCCGCAGCTCCACCCGAGGAAAGAGGAGAGAGAGAGAAGAGAGAGAGTGAGGGAGAGAGGTAAACTTGTAGCCCCCCTACTTCACCTTTAATGGTACTTAGAGCCAGACAATGGCGCGGCTTTCCAGGGTGGCCTTGCGCTGGCCTTCCAGGCCTCGGACAAGCGATTCCTCCTCTCTCTCTCTCTCTCTTCCTTCTCGTGATATCACCGACAGGGAGGCCGGTGATGGGGAAATGGCACCTCCATTATTGCTGACAAGGCAGGGGACCAATAATATCAAGTTGACTAATAAAGCTTTTAACAGTACGACTTCACCGGAGTTCAGTCGACGTTAACGACCCATGTGCCTTTTATCTCTCTAAATCCACCTGCTTCTTCCCCACTTCTCATCGGATCGGGCATGCGTTGACCCATCTACTCCCCTCAAGAAATTATCTACTTGTCAGATCTTGAACGACTTTTGGCGACGATTAATTCAAGTCAAATGGGCGAATCTTCATAAAAGTAATGAATATCTACAACTTTTTGTATTTATATATTTATAGATGCATAAAATACATTTTAATCCGATTATAATATGACGACAGATGATCATATTGGAGAAGGAATCCATCGAAATGATCTGAAGAAATGGAAGAGAGCCAGGGCGATCAAAGTCAACTGTGATGATAAATAAAAACCGGGCGCAGAAAAAAAAAAAATAATCTCAGCAACAAGATCAAGAAGACAAGCCTAAACTCTTCGAATTTAAAAAAAAAAAGAGGAAACATGATAAATCTTGAAGCATTTGCTTAAATGTCGGAGAAGAAATCCAACTGAATGCAAGCGATGACAAATAAATCTGAGCGCAGCACAGAAAAATAATAACAACAGCAAGATCAGGAGCCTTTCATATGTGTTCCAATGCAAGATATAACAAATGCCTGAAGATTTTTATTTTTTATTTTTTATTTTTACACGATTCATCCTTCATCTTCATTCGAATCCAGCCGAATCGATGTACAAGCAGCCAGCAGTCTAGAGTTTGATGAGCACATTTTAGGAAAAGAATGTTGAGGAATTTCAAGGAGATTCCAAGAAAAAAAAATGCAGAAACTATATGGTTGTGGGTTTCTTTCTATATATATCAAGCAAAAAAAATGTGAGAATTTAGGCAAACCCAGATATGATTTGCCTGTATTTTTCTTCATCGGGCTTGAGCTCGAGCTTCATCATCGCGTCATGAAGGTTCATAGCCTTTCTCAGCTCCCTCCCACGACAGAGAGCAGAGATCATGATGCAGAAGCTCCTGCTATCCCTAGCCTCTTCCTCCCCCATGTGATCGAAAACCATAATGGCCTCCGTCAACCTTCCCCCCATGGAGAGTTCATCGAGGAGCAGGTTGTAAGACTTCACATCCAGACCTCCCCCACCTGCTCTCAGCTTCTCGAGCAGGGACATCGCCGAATCAAGATCCCTATTCGCGCAGAAATTCTGAATCAGATGAGAGCAACAGTCTGCCTCGGGAACAATTCCTTTCCCTAGAACCAGATTCAGAAGATCTTCTGCTTCCTTCCACCATCCTTTTCTGCAGAGATTCCCCATGAATTTGGAAATGTCCGAGACGCAGGGTAAGAACCCTTTCCCGATCAGGTCTCGGATCGCCATGCCGCCTTCATCCGAAGCTTCCCCCTGACAGACAGCTCTGAAGAACACGTTCAGGCAACTCTGATTCACCTTCACCCCCTTCTCCATCATTTGTCGATGGACTCCGACGGCTTCCTCCACCCTTCCTGCAGCAGAGAGGGCTCTCAGCAAGCACAGATAGGTGCCATTGCTGTGGCTGGCTTTTGCAGATCGAGCTCTCTCCATGAAGAACTCTGCGGCGTAGGTCTTTTCCAGGTCGCAGAGCCTCTGAATGATCAAATCGTAATCGAGGACCGGAGCAGTCGGCAGCAGACCTCGAACGATCGTTTCCTTCAAGCAAGATCTAATGATGGCGGTATTCCTGAGTCTGCAGCCTCCTTCGAGAATGGCGCCGTAGATTCCTAACCCTGGTCTCAGATCCTTTTCGTACATTGTGTTTAGCAGGAGTATTGCGGATAGAAAATCACCGTTTCTGCAGTAGCGATCTGCGATCAGATGAAAGACCTTGCCGTCGCAGGACGGAGAAGATTCCACCATCGCCGCGGCGATCTCGAGCTTTCCTTCCTCGCAGAGCAGACGGCAGAGTAGCGACCAGGAGCGGGAGTCCGCCGCGACACCAGATCGCACGACCGCAGCATAGAAGCACGACGCCAGTCTGATCTCCCCCGACGAGATCAATCTGTCCAGGAACACGTTGCAGGTTCGGGAGCTTGGCCTGCATCCGGTGGCCCTAAATCGCCGGAAAACCAGCAGACCTTCCTGAATCCTGTCCGAGAGTGCGTATTCCTCGAAGAGGAAGCCGAGGAACGCCGACCGTGACTCCTCGATCCGCCTTGTCAGGGATCCCACCGCGTCGAGGATCTCCATCGTCGTGTGGCACAGGATAGCCGGCGCCATCACGCCCCTTGCCGGCGCCGGAATCCCGCCGTCGATCAGTATCTGCGCCATCTTGCAGCGACAGCGCAGGTCCATCTGGAGCCCTAGGGCAGTCTCGGACCATTGGAAGAAGCCGAGGGCCGCATGAGGGAGGGATTTGGACCTCGCGAGCACCAGGAAGAGGAGGTTAGGGTCGGCGGAGAAGCTTTCTCGGAGCTTCGGTTTGAGCTCCTCGAGGAAGGGCTGCCAGCGGCACCTCTGAAGGAGGAGGGAGGCGACGAGGGCAACGACGCGGCTGCTCTGGATGCGGTTCCGCCATCGGACAGAGGCCGGGAGAGTGGAGAAGTAGCTGCTGCGGAGGCGGCGCCAAGGTTTTTCTCTCCCCTCCTCGAGCATGAGAGAGAGATAAAGAGGAGTAGAGAAGAAGAGAGAGGGAAGAAGAAAGAGAGAATGAGAAGGAGAGAGAGAGAGAGAGAGCAAGAGAGCTAGAGTGAGATAGAGGGAGCAACGTGTTCTGGAACTAGGGAGAGAGAGAGCAAGAGAGCTAGAGAGAGATAGAGAGAAGGGGAGAGAACAACAGAGAGCAGCAGGAGAGAGAGAGAGAGAGAGAGAGTGAAGGGCGAGAGAACAAGAGAGAGGAGAGAGTGAAGGGCGAGAGAACAAGAGAGAGCAGGAGAGAGAGAAAGAGAGGGAATGAGGAGCGAGAGAGAGAGAACAAGAGAGAGAACGAGAAGGAGAGAGAGACACACAGCAAGAGAGAAAGAGGGATAGAGAGAGAGCAAGAGAGAGATTGAGGAGACAGAGAGGGAGAGAGAATAGAGAGGGTCACCATTGGGCTCCGAGTCTCCAAACGGGCTACTAAAGTGGGCTGGCGCATACCAAGGTGACGTTAGGGTGGGCCTTTAAGTTGCGAATAAAATTGGGCCGGCTCGAGACCCATTAAGGCCTGTACAAGGGCGTACACGTGGAAGGCCAGCAGACGCGAAAGAACCCTTTTTTAGAATTTTGGTCTCTAAGATGCCTAATTTTAATTAATTTCACAACATTAAATAAATAAACATTTTTTCCATTTTAAATTTATTTTTATTCATTAAAGCGAGGAAATTAAGTAAGAAATCGTACATTTATTTAGTAGGGACAATTAAAAAGCCTAAAAAAGGAAAATTATCCTAAGCACCTGTTTTAAGGCTAATAGGCTCATATGCCCAACTTCTCCATTTATTGAACCAGAATTAATCGCATGGATCTGCAGGAGACCTGGCGACCCCCCCACCTTTCCCCTCCTACATCTTCGACTTGGCAATATCGGCGGCGCCGCCAGCGTCCCCGCCGGGTCCCCCCGACCCCTCTTCGAACTGCTCCTCTGTAACCCCTGCAACGGAGGAGACACGAAGGAGGTGAGATGGAAAAGAGAGGAAGAAGCGGCGGCCATGGCAGCGGCGGAACGAGCTGAGGAGACACGGTGGAGAGGAAGAAGATGAAGAAGAAGAAGCGAGAGAGGGGGTTTGTCTGTGCTCACCTTTGCCCATGGCGGCGGTGGAAGAGATGCCGCCCTGGACGGTCTTCAGCACCCTGTCGTAGTAGTTCGCTCCAGACCACTTCTGGTGGGCGAGCGTCTCCACTCCATGGCGGCGCTCCTCCCTCTGTATCCTCTCCACATACGCCAGCATCCCCCTCCTCGCAAAGTCTCCGGCGAACGTCTCCGCCACCAGCGCGTCGGCATGGAATCCGGCGAGCGTGATGAACTGCCAGCAGAACCCTAGCTTGGCTATGGCGGGGATGAACTCCCTCATCTGCTGGTCCGTCATCCCCGACGCGTCCCAGTTGAACGACGGCGACAGGTTGTACGCCAGCATGGCCTCCGGGTGCTCCCTCCTCATCCCCTCCGCAAAGCTCCGGCACTCCGCCATGTCCGGCCTTGAGGTCTCCATCCAGATGAGGTCTGCGTGGGGGAAGAAGGCGACCCCTCTGGCTATCGCCGCCTCGACGGACCCCTGGAAGCGGTAGAATCCCTCCCTGGTTCGGGGAAGGTCCCAGTCCCAGAACACCTCGCCGGCGCCGAGCCGCCGAGCGGCGGCGCGGGCCTCTTCATGCGACCCGCCGGAGACCCTCTCCCACTCCGCCACCCGCCGCCGCCGCTCCTCCTCGTCGACGTTGAGATTTCTCAGGGCATCGCTCACGCTGTCCGGGAAGGTCCTCAGCCGGGCTCCGGCGAGCCACCGGTCCTCCACCGCCTGCAGCTCCGCCCCGGCCTTCCCCGCCGCCGCCGCCTCCGCCAGAGCCACCGCCAGGCTTCTCCCCGCTGCCGCCCGGTTGGTGGCGCCGAGGATGAACCGATGGTCCCTCGCGTCGACGTTGGTCTGTATCAGGGTGGCCGCCACGGCGTCGGTCCTTGCCACCAGCACCGTCTCCACCCCCATGATATCGAACTGCAACCTCGCCGCCACCAGCCGGTTCACGTGCTCCCCCACGGAGACCAGAACCTTCCCGGCCATGTGCCCGCACTTCTTCGTCGACGACGACTGGTCCTCGAGGTGAACCCCGGCGGCGCCACGCTCCACGAAGAGCTTACAGAGTTTCACCGTCGCGGTGGCGCCGCCGAATCCTGTGTCCCCGTCGGCGATGATCGGCTTGAGGTAGTCCACGAAGGGAACCCTAGCCCTCTCCTCCCTTGTCATGGCCATTCGAGCTTCTCTCTGTTTGCGGTCGTGGAACTGCTGGGCGAAGAAGAGCTGCTCGACCTTGTTGGGCACGGTGTCGTAGGGGTAGTCGGCGAGGTCGGGGCCTGGTTCGTTCGAGGTCGAGTGGGTGGAGGAGCACTGCCAGCCGGAGACGTAGACGGTGTCGAGGTGCTTCGCCATCATCGTCACCTGAACGGGGTCCAGGGCGCCGAAGGTGCGCGCCGCCGTGCCGGCAGCGTGGTGGGATTTTAGCGTTTTCCAGAGCTTCTTGGCAAGCTGATCGGAGGCGTAGGCCTGCCGGAGGGTCCCCCGGAGCGCCACCACGTCGGCGGCGGCGTAAGGGCGGCGGGTCAGGCGGAACCGCTCCGTCCGCCACCACGCCTCCACCTCCGCCACCTCCGCCGCGAACCTCCCTTCCTCCTCCATTATCTGCAACAGATACAGAAACAGACACAGAGAGAGAGTTAGATAAAGAGATGGGGAGGGAGGAAGAAGGAAGGGGTGGGGGGGACTGACCGTTGACGGGACTGCCAGATAGGAAGCCATGGAATAGTGGGAGAAGCTTCTTGGGAGAGGAGATTGAGCTTCTTCCGGGCACGGCGAGCTTGAAGTCACAGGGAGAGTCCTTGTGATTCCGCTTCCTCGTTTTATAGAGGGAAGACGATGATGTCCACGTCAGCACGGGAGGTGATGATTTGTCATACTATGGGGGATGCATTTTCCCGAAAAGAGAGATGAAAACCCGCCCCGAATTGCCACGTCTCTGGACGCTATCTTACGCCTCCTCGGCCAACCGTCCAGAAGCTAAAATATATTAAAGGACATCTAATAAATATATATTTATGTAATTTCATAATATTCATTTCTAGAAAAAAATTATCACAAAAGGCTACGTAATTTTTAGGTGTATATAATTTATTTATACATTTAAGATAATATCGATCATAATAAGAGTTCCAAACTTTTTTATAAGATACATCCGTTTCAACGGCGACGATCACGATGAACCATAGATCGGACGGTCATAACCTATCCACGTCTTTGTCTTTAACCCCGACCACCGACAGGTGTCGGATGGCGATCAGACGGTCGCCACGTATTCCCCTCGGAGGTGGCTCCCCCATGCAGACCATCTTCGTAACGTGCGCACATAGCTAAAAAAACCTTGCAGAAATACTCCTTTTTCCGTTGTTAAATTTACTTTATTTTTTTAATAATACCGGCATTAAATATTAAATTATTTTTTTATTGAATAAAATGACGACGATGATTCAAGGTAAGGAAAAGGCAATATTATGTAGATTTTTTAGAATTTTTTATTCAATCATTAATATAATTTTCATTAATTCTTAAAAACCTACCATCAACAATATCCCATCTAAAAGCTGAAATTTTCAATAAAAATTATGTATTTATCCTATTTAAAAAAAACCCATTTATGGTAGAGATGTACACGCAAGCACATCATAAAAAAATAATTTTACAGTGCCATATATATAATTATATCAGAAGATGAGGAGGGAGAGAAAGTGGGGAATTTATAGCGTCGTGGCAAGGTTTTTTGAAACCCGCCAGAGGCGTTGCGTGTCTCGCGTCGCGGCCCTTTTGTCGTCTTCCCAGCGTCGGTGACGTCACGAAACGGTCGGGTACACAGATAAGGCCGCCTCTTATCCGTCTAACTCGGCCCCTTGCCCTCCTTATCCATCTAACTCAGCTCGCTCAACTCGACCCATTCTTCCTCTCTCTCTCTCCCTTTCTCTCTATCATTCTCTCTCTAGGTGGAGTTCCCGAGAGAGGAAGGCTGGATTACGTTGCATGGGTATGGGCCTCTCTATCCATGGCGTCATCTTTTCCGCAGATATATCTACTTTTAATCGTATTGCCCTTATTCCCACTGCACACGAACAACAAGGCAACTATATGTATCAATAAAGATTTGTATGTAGGTTAATTAGTTAATCCACATTTTATGTAAAATTTAAATCAAATTTACCATCTTATCATCCCTTTTATTTTATATTTCCGGAAAATAGCCTCACTAGATTTAATCAATGTTGAGGGTGTGCATGAGACGAGTGATGCTAAGAAATGATCGAAAATGTGATCGGACTAAATTTTTAGGGTCAATTAAATGTTTTAAAAAGTTAAAAAATTTAGTTTTTTTTCATTAAAAACATAAGTAGACAACATCTAATGTGGAGAACATATCAGCCATAAATGGTTGAAAAATTGTTAAGGACATAAAACAAACTGCCGAGTGAACAAGAAAAGTGAAAATCAGAGGAATTGCCCATTGGGGATGGGATTAGATAGACTCATACTTGGTGTGTTCAAAATATGCAAGGGGACTCTCATCTACTGACACTAAAGTTGTGTGATGATATGATATGAATAGGAAAATAAACTCCAATTTGATGCTTGGCATTGGATGTTGGGTTTTAAAAGAGGGGCAATGATATGCTCTTCTTGTGGCTTCAGCTCCTTTGATTATTCTGAATAAACCCCTTATGGATATCTATGGTAGAATCTAATGGTATCTAGGTTGAGAGTTTTATGAGAGAATATCTCCCTTGAGATCTTTGGACGTCCTTCAGTTCTAATTTATGGTTATTCTCATGCACACACCAATATATATAACTTGGGAGATATCTATCATGCAATTAATTATTCAAAACAAAATTTTAGTAAAAAGGTTGTTCATAAATTAGTGTGGCTCATGTAGATAATCACATTTATGATTATTTCTCCAAATTTTTTGTTTCAAGGTATGATAGTTTATTTTTTAGGATAAAGAGGTAAATTACTCATTTTCAAAAACTATTACTTATCTATGTTCCCAAAAATTACCAAAAATTGTAGCATTTTGGAGCATCAAATTTGGTAGACATCATGTATTTATTTACTACATTTTTTCAATAAAAATAATTAGATAATACAAATTTTAAATAAAGACATTAGTTATTATAATAAGAGAAATGGTATGCCATTTATTGAGCATATGAGATTCAAACCTAGTAACTATTCAAAATTATTATAAATCTATCATATGTAATTTATTTTAATAAAAAAATATAATTAAAATGCTTATTAAAGAAAAATAGTAAGAGTTGATAGGGGAAAATAAATTTTATATTTTCATATGTATGTAAAAATTTTAACAGTATATGTTTATGTTGAAGAGATAGGCATTTTGATAAGAACAAGGCCTAGTTAGATATATATCAACAATATCCTTATGTTATGTGAAATATGCAAGTCACCATACTTAAATCTACAGAAATTATTTGTAAGATTTATTATCATTAATTAAGAGTGAATTTGAATCAAATAATTTTTATATTAAAAATAGTTTCACATTCAGAGGTTTGAGAGAATTCATTGAGAAGATAATTCAAAGACTAACACAATGAAAGAAATAAAGTATAAAAATTTGAAGAATTCTATTTGTTATGATTTTTAAAATATTACAGAATTTAAATTTTACCGAAGAGAAATTTTAGAGATTTATAAATTAAATAATTAAAAAAAATAACTACAAAATTGCTGTTGATGTCCTTGGTTTTGAAATTTGTAAATAAAAAATTATTTATAAGTGATTATATAATATTGATGTTTCTTTATATGTGTCATTAATATGTTTCGAATATTTGATATATTCAACAAAGTCATGGCATCAAGTTCTTTTTAAGAATTAATTTTGATATTATGACTAATAATCAAATTTAAAGCTTTACTCTTAGGAATTAAATTATTTTCTAACTTAAGTTTATTTGAACGTAAAATATTAACAATTGAAAAAATATCTAGTAACAAAAGGTTAAATATATAATTATATAGTATAAATTAACATAAGTCATGTGAAATATTTCATCTTTAATTATTCGATCATTTAACCACATTATGTAGTGTTTATCATTTTGAAATAATGTTAGAAATGTTCTCTAAAATATCATGTGTTTTAAAATAGAAAGAAAAGCAAAAAATGACTATATATTCAAGAGAGCGTCTCAATGGTGACACATCCATTGCTAATGTGAACAAAAGATGAAAATAAATTTGATGGTTTTGATTACTATCTGATCACTCAATTATTCTACATCAAGTCAAGAAGCTCCTAATCAAATTTTAGCATAAATGAGTGCAAGAATAAAAAGACTCAAATTTTAAAAGGTCAAAATGTCACTATTACATATTATATAAAATACAAATAAAATAAAATAACTAATAGAGATATTTCATAATTGTCATCATCACTAAACTCTTTACATTATATGTAGCAATCATGAATGAGATAGTTTCACTCTATTATTCAACTAAATCTAGCAAATCATCAATTCAACCACAATGACCTTTGCTCTTTATTAAGCCTTAAGATATTTGTTTGGTGAGAAGAGAGTATGTTAGGTGAAGTCAGTAGGTGCCAGTAGCCGTATTTGGGTTGAGAGGGAATCATCGGAGACTAGAAGAAGTTGAGTGAGGGGCTAATTAACATAAAAAGTTTGATATTTTTAATGAGAGAGTATTGAGTAGTCTTACAACATATGTTGACACATCTATCAACACACACACACACACACACACACACACACATATATATATATATATATATATATATATATATATAACAGCCTAGTATAAATTTAAAAACTAAGAAAAGAATCTCAAAAACACTAATTCACCCCCTTCTTGATATTTCACTTAGTCTTATAGTTCTAACGATAGTGTTATAGATATATGCATGCAACCTCATTGGAAAGTTAATCCAAAATCAAACATAAAATAATACACAACATGTCAAAATTCAACATGTTTGAATTGCTATGAATTTTATAATATTAATAAAAATATTGTAAAATTGATACCAACCTATAAAACATTGAATAATAAAATATTGTAAAATACATGTCAAAAAAAAATGTTTGTCAATGATATTGTAGACACACATGTGGTCTACTAAGGTTTGCTTAGCTAGCTATTGAGATAACTATTTGGCTTAGTATATGAATGGGCCTTTCACCCTAATTAAGGCAAAGAGAGAAAAATAAAAAAGGAGAATGAGAAATTGAAAGAGAAAACCTCCATTTGTCCATCCTCCTCTTACAATCTAAAGAATCTCTTAATTACATCAAGAATAATTCCAACATTCCACACCTTCAAGATCCTGTAAGATCAGAAGAACTATTGCTACTCAGCACTTTGAAGAGCTTCACTCTATCTGTCTTCTTTCGCAATGAGATTCTATTATTTAAGAAGACATCGGTAGAATCTCGCTGAATATTTTCTATTAATTATGCATATGATTGAACTACTAGCTATAGTCTTTAATTTAGTGGATGAATAAATTCATAGAGTATATGCTATCAAGGTGCTCAAGATTTTATAAATCTACAAAAAATAGTAGATTTGTGGATTATAATTTTAAAAAGTTTCTACTAGTCACTAAAATCTAGTGGGTGATATAGTGTCAGGGATCTGTTGATCTTGTGAAGTTCAATTGTATTATGTTGAGAATTAATCAAAAGAATAAAATATAAGTCGAGAATTAATTAACATTTCCTCTTGATTCACTTTCCTAATCATGTAGGGATCCAAAATTATGTTTAATTATTTATTATAAAAGATATTATCACTGTCCCCATTCTCATATCCAAATTGATTCATCCCAAGAGATTAACCATAAGACACAAAAAAATAAAAAATAAAAAATACTAGTTAATAATTAATTCACCATTCCTCCTCATATCAAGTAGGGACCCAAAATTATGTCTAATTACTTTATTAACAAATATATAATCATTTTTCCCCATCCTCATATCGAAATTGATTCATCTTAATAGATGAGTCATAAGACAAAAAATAAAAGAATAAAAAATATAAGTCGATAATTAATTCACCTTTACTCATCAAATAGGGACACAAATTATGCTTAATTATTTTTTCGGTTCATGAATTAGTATGTTTATTTGAATTTATTCAACTTGGAATTGCGGACCCCTCATCAGGAGATGTGTGGGCCTTACGGGCCGTAGACGAGCAATCTACGGATTGGGCTGGGCCGGAATTAAATGAGCCCAACGTTAGGCTCTCTCTCTCTCTCTCTCTCTCTCTCTCTCTGTGTCTCTCTCTGGCCAGCCCTTCTTGTCCAGTGTACTGTAGGGGACTGCTGGTTACCCTCCCCATTGGAGCCCTTCTTCTGGGCTCGATTCTCCCTCAACCCGCACGATTGATGGCTCACGCATGGCCGTCGCCTTGAGGAGAGCAGGGGAGGAGCAGATCCGCCGCCGCCGCCGCCGACCGTTCCTCTTCGGAGACCATCTCGCCGCCACCGCCGTTCCCCCCTTCAATGGCGGCGGAGTCCCCTACTCATCCGATCCACGCCCTCCGGGCGCTCTATGGGGACGCCCAGGGGAAGGAGGAGGAAAGGGATCGGTCCCGCTGCGCCTCCCTGGTGGTTCTCCTCTGCCCCTGCATCGCCATCCTCACCATCCTGGCGCTGGTTACCATCGTCGTCGTCTCCGTCAAGCTCCAGCTCTACTGCCGCGGCCCCTTCCACTCCGTCTCCCATCTCCTTTTCAAGAGCAAGTGCGAATCCTGAGCCTCGGTGGCGTCAGATCTTCCTCTTCCTCCACTGCGGATGGCGATGCTGCCGATGAGTCTGGATCGGTGTCCGATGGCGAACCTCCGCGATCGCCATCGCACTGCGCGGAACTCGAGAGGGTGTGCAAGGTGGTGGAGGAGCTCTTCGCCGCCGATTGCAGCATGGAAGCCGTCCTGGATCAGTGTGACGTCAACCTCAGCGGCCTGCTCGTCGTAGATGTGCTCGAGAGGTTCCGTCACGCCCACAAGCCGGCGTACAGGTTCTTCAGATGGGCGGGGAGGCGGCCGAATTTCTCGCACGATGCGGAAACCTTCACCAAAATGCTGTTCGTTCTGGGAAGGACGAGGCAGTTCGAGACCATGGTTGCTGTGATGAAGGAGATGGGGGAGAAGGGGTTTCTGAGCATGGAGGCGTTCGAAGTGTCGATCAAGGCCTTCGCCTCCGCTCGAGAGATGAAGAAGGCCATGGGGATCTTCCAGCTCATGGAGAAGCATAATTTCGAGGCGGGATTGGACACCTTCAACTGCCTGTTGGGGGCCCTAGCCAAGGCGAAGCTGGGAAGAGAAGCGCATGACCTGTTCGACAGGATGAGAGGCCATTATCGTCCCGATCTGAAGACCTACACTATGCTCCTGGCAGGGTGGTGCAAGCTCAAGAATCTCTCAGAGGCGGCGAGGATCTGGAATGAGATGATTGACGAAGGGTTTAAACCTGACATTGTCGCCCACAACACCATGTTCGAAGGGCTGATCAGGGGGCAGAGAAGGCCGGAAGCCATCAAGCTGTTGGAGCTCATGAAGGCCAAGGGACCTCAGCCCAACACCTGCACCTACACAATGCTGATCAGGGATCTCTGCAAGGGGGGAAAGATGGAGCATGCCATGGCCTGTTTCCGGGAGATGATAGATGCAGGATGTGTTCCAGATGTTGCGACCTACACATGCTTGCTGATAGGGTTTGGGAATGCGAAGCAGATGGACATGGTGGGTAGATTGTTGAAGGAGATGCAGGAGAAGGGCTGCCCACCGGATGGCCAGGCATACAACGCATTGATCAAGCTCATGACCAACAGGAAGATGCCTCATGACGCAGCCAGGATCTACAAAAGAATGATCGGTCTTGGAATCGAGCCCTCAATTCACACATATAATATGATGCTGAAGTCTTTTTTCCGAGCTAATGATTATGAAAATGGGTGCGCAGTTTGGGAGGAGATGAATCGGAAGGGTATATGCCCAGATGATAACTCGTATACAGTTCTCATTGGTGGGCTCATCAGCCATGGCAGACCAGAGGAAGCCCACAGGCATCTGGAGGAGATGATCAGCAAAGGTATGAAAGCCCCTCAGATTGATTACAACAAATTTGCTGCAGATTTTTCTAGATCAGGGAACCCGGATGTGCTCCATGATCTAGCACAGAAGATCAGTTTCTCGGGGAAGATTGGAGTTTCTAATATGTTCATGGATTGGGCAGAAAGGATGAAGAAGCAGGCCAGTTGACAGGTGAGGATGGGACACATGGAAGGATGCAATCTGGTTCTATCAATTTTTTGTTGATCATATGAAAGCTCACCACAATCGACACATTAACGACCGTTTAATGTTCCAAAAATGCAAATGACATGTTTCCCATTTCATCCAGTCCTTCCCTCTCCTCCCAATCGATGCGTTTCCCCATCATGATCTCATATGACACTGATTCTATCATGTGTAAGTGATCTTATGGGTTTTGTTCGTGTAAAGTTTTGCAGCAGTTTCAATTCATCTCCAGAATTTATGAATCCCCTTCATGTTTCAAGCATTCTCCATGAGAGAAGCGCTGCTGTCTCATTTATCAATTTTTGCAGCATAGCTTTCAGATATTTTCAAATCCTGATAGATCATCGTGTATCAGATATATAATATATATATTTATATATATATTAATCCCAAAAGAGGAGAAAGAAAAATCATCCTTCTACATTATTCGCGAATCATTGTACATGTTTTCTCATAACCTTACCACCTTTTTTCAAAAAAATTGATTTTTATAATAATATTGCACGGGAGCCTTCTATAATTAGTTTCCTTGTGCATCCATAATTTCTTCGAAATTATTTTCTGTAGATTAATAGGCATTATTTCGTAGATGGATTGAAGAAATTGGGGGATCCTAATGACGATACATATATTTAGCATAAGCATTGGATAATTCCCTAATTAATAGCCTTGCATGAGCTGATTTTTTAGGTTTTTAATTTTTTAAGATATAAAAATAAAGAGTGGTAAAAAAAGAAAAAAGAAAAGGGTCTTACAAGGGAAATGCAATTATGATGTCATATTTGTAGATTTTTAGTTACTTAATTTATCAAAAAACTTCGCAGTTAATAATTTAATGGGCTGGGGAGTTGGCGAATCCATCGCAATTAAAGGTCATAAATGGGTTGAAATATATTTCAAATAAATAAAAATAGGATTTTCCAAGATTTTTCTCTCTCTAAATCGGGACCGTCCATTTTACATCGTCGAGATGATGATGAACACGACGGTGGAGATTTTAGGAGGGTCGTCATCAAGTCGCCTTGGTCAGAAACGGGGAACTTCGCCATTGCTGCCCCGTCTCAGAGATCCAAAGCCTTCCCGGAAGCTGGGAACGATGGCCTCCCTCCGGCGCGGATCCGCCGCCGTCCTGCTCCTCTCGCTCCTCTGCGCGTGCTCCGCTGCCCTCTCGGATCCCGCCGCCGACGCGGTGGCGGAGCTGGAGGCCCTCCGCGCGAAGTCGCCGGCGGGGGTGATCCACCTCGACGACCGCGGCATCGGGCGATTCCTCACCTCCGTTCGATCCCCGAGGCCGTACTCCATCGTCATCTTCTTCGATGCCGCGCACCTCCGCTCCAAGGGCGATCTCCACTTGCCGAGGCTCCGTTCCGAGTTCGGGCTCGTCTCTGAGGCATTTGCTGCCCACCACCGCTCCGACCCTGACAATCTCTCTCGGGTGTTCTTCTGCGACATCGAGTTTGGGGAATCGCAACAGTCTTTCTCCCTCTTCGGCATTTCCTCTCTCCCTCATGTGCGGCTGGTGGGGCCTGCGGTGGCTAACCTCAAGGACTCGGAGGCTATGCAGCAGTCCGACTTCTCCCGCCTTGCGGAGTCGATGGCCGAGTTCATAGAGGCGAAGACCGGGATCTCCGTCGGCCCTATCCAGCGCCCGCCCCTCCTTTCCGGCCGCCAGATGGCCTTCCTGGCGTTGGTGGCGCTGATCTCTGCGCCGTTCCTCATCCGACGGGTGATCGCTGGGGAAACTTTGCTGCACGATCGCAAGATCTGGATGGCCGGGGCCGTGTTTGTGTACTTCTTCAGTGTTTCTGGGGCGATGCACAACATTATCCGGAATATGCCTCTATTCCTGACGGACCGGGAGGATCCCACGAAGTTAGTGTTCTTCTACCAAGGGTCTGGAATGCAGCTTGGGGCAGAAGGCTTCGCAGTCGGGTTCCTGTATACTGTTGTGGGTTTGATGATGGCGCTGGTGACCCATGGACTAGTCCAGTTGAAAAGTGTGAAGGTGCAGAGGGTGCTGATGGTGATAGCCATGGTCATCTCTTTCTGGGCTGTGAAGAAGGTTATTTACCTCGACAATTGGAAGACAGGGTACAGAGTGCATGCCTATTGGCCTACCAGTTGGAGGTGAAAGTAGGGAAAGGGGTCGGTCATACAGCGTTCTTTCCAGTCAATCAGGTGACAGTAACATACAGAAAACTTGTTCTAGTTCTGTTTTTGCGACGAATTAAAGTATTTATCTGTATGAAGATGAAGTCATTTTATGTTTACGTTTCTTATAAAATACAGATGGCTTTAAATTCTGTATATTTGTTTAACTCAGGAATTATTTTCCCCCTGAGTACATGAATTCATTTTCTTATGATTATCAAGTATAAACCTACTGGTACTTACGTTGAGTTGAAGGGGGAAAAAACCAATCACCAAGTCCCTCAGCTTTGACCTATTCCAACAAAATCTTGTTCTAGTGATAGAAAAAATGGGCCATGAACCATGGATGTATGGTGTGTTAAATTTCTCAATTTAAATAAAAAATGCCTCCATGGATTTTTTTTCATTCGAAGGATTCAACCCAAAAACAATTCTTTTCCTGGGGAAAAAAATGGTCTGGGTTTAGGGTGGTCCGGAAAATGATGGTGGGGCAAATTGGACTGATGATACTTACGATGTGGCCACTGTATTAACGGCATCCACTGTGCCCAAGCACTAATGTTCTTTCTTCATGTTAATTGATTTTTTTGATTTGATTTGATCAGACTTTGGTGTTATCCATGATTAATTTTAAAATCCTCGATAGGATGTTGGTGTGTTGTTTTAAACTGGCGAATGGATTGATCTTTTTTGGGTTTTCTTGAGGGTATCACGCTGAGACGTCTCTCAAAAAGTGGGAAATAATAGATAGAATTCGTGGGATATAATATGCCGTTATATGTACCCGAGTAATCCTTACTTTAAAATAGTTTGGAACTTTTATCATGGTTCAATTAATTTTTTAGTCACAATTGGTCCTGGACTTACTTCAAAAAAGGGTCACATGTTAAAAAAAAGACGTGTTATAAAACCTCTGCATTTTCTGTAGAATGGATTCTTGATTACGAGTTTTTCTCTCAATGTTAGTGAGCCTTTTATGCATGATGCTCTGTAATCAAGTGCTTCTCTGTATATTAAACCTGGATTTAGTTAGAAGTAGGCAAAAGCTTGAGGTTTTCCTACAAATGGCGAGCTGTAGAATGGTTGAAATAGGGATGAGTGCACAATATCTATTTAGGTGAGTAAGAATAGAGAATTGAGGAATATTTTTTGTTTCGCTGCTTGAATTTAAGATATTTAGGAAAAGTGAGTTGGAATTTGATTGAAGCTATAGCCAATAGCCAGTTAAGCTAAAGTCAGAACTTGAAGACTGCTAGAATTAGCTGCATATAAGAAAGGAGAATGACAGAAAAGAAAAAAGTCGTTAAAAATAGTCAGAGTAAATGCAAGGACTTAATATGTATTTGACAAATTACAGTGAGATCAAGGATTTGTTGAGATATGAATTCAGGGAGATTATTTTTTTTTTGGAAATAATTATAATTGGGTGGAGTTCCGGGGATCCTAATAACTTTGATAAATGGTCTGAACTTTTTACTGGTATGACAGAATTGAAGAGAAGGCATGAAGCATCTCTAAAGAGGACACAAAAGTTGCTCTCTCAATAAGAGTTTTATGGAAATGTAGAAGCATCTAAAACTTTGGGTCTGATGGTGTATCTGCCTTCAAAAAACTTTGTAATCAGATGTTAATGTCTAGAAAGATGCACAACGAGTGGGAAAGAAGCACAGTAATATCGTACTCTGGGACAGGAGTGCTAGTTTAGCGAGTTATGCTTTTATCCTGCGATTACCCCAATTTAAAAGCACATAGCAGTCAAATGATCAAATTTATTTTATGCCAAGAAGCTGACCACTGAAGCCGGTTTCCTCGTTCGTATGTTGATGGGATAATTCTACTGAAAAAAAAGGGATCTAGACATAGTTACGGGACTCAGGTTACCATGCGACATGGTTTAAGTAATTCCAAGAAATTGTACAGAGACGCGGATCTCGAAAAAAGAAGAAAAGGACTGCAACAAGACATGCAATGTATAATTTGAGTAGTGTCCAGGAGTGATGAGTCTATTGTACATTTATGCAGTCAAGATGTACCCTAAATAGAATCATTTCCAGTATTCAATTTTGGTTGCTGAGACTTAGGCGGACGTAAATATTGACGCAAATTTTCATAATCACAGGCAAGGTAGATGTTGAGGTACCTTGCTGTCATTGCGGTGCTATTTTATTTGAGAGAAAGTTGCTTGGCCAGTTGACCAGTCAGAGTTGTATGGGATAAAGAGTCTTATACAGCATCACAGGAAGATATAAGAATGTGACGATAGATGTGTGGAAAGATAAGAACATATTTTTCGCCTAATGATTTTTATTACATAACTGGTGGGGACAGCAGAAATAGTATAAAATTAAAAAGGAACCTGTTTCAGGTTGTGTGGACAAGTTCAAGGAGTCTTGCCACTACTTTCGTCAGGATCTTCAAAGGGGAAGAAGACAGACATGAAGCACAAATGAGATAGAGAGAAATTTGATTTGAGGTCCCGTAGGTGGAACATAAGTTTGATTCGGAGTATGGGATTAGGGTTTGCTTCCTATTGTCTTGATGCCGGTGAAGAACCATAGCTAGTTCTGTCTGCTTCTTGGATATGCTTCAATTTCCTATACTCCGGAGCACACTCCTATGTAGAAAGACTAGGATGTGAACCGTGGCCTGAGAAGTACCAGTGATAGTAGACAGATAATTAATCTCCATGTTCTTCATGTTCTTTCAGTTTTATACCATTCTTTAGCTGGGTGTCTGATTTATGGGGTTCGGAGAAGGAATCCAGGGACATTGATTCTCATATAGTTTTATATGTGAAGATTCTTCCCTGGAGTTCTAGGATTTCGATTGGAGGACAGGCATTTAGATGAGGAAGCAATGGTGGGACCTCTCCCACCCTGAGGAAATGACAGGGGCCCCATGACGATCGAGGCCTGTTCTTCTCTCTCTCTCTCTCTCTCTCCCCCCCTCTTTCTCTCTCTTCTGGGATGAGCCTGAGCGCATACAGAACTCATACATTGAGCCATGAGGGTAGCAATGAGACACCAAAAGATATGAACATTGCCGTTGTGGGCCAGATAAGATTGCTTTTCTTGGAAAATATGTATCTTGGGTGAGAGAAAACTTTGACCTTTGTTGATGCCGAACTTAGAGGACCTTTCAGGAAATTACTGACTTGTCGACTGGCTCTTTTCTCGGGCTTGTAAGATTCTCAGGGTGTTATTATTATTCTTTATATAATCTGGTTAAGAGAAAAGGATAATCCCATAATTAGAATCATGCATGATCCAGTTCATTTGCAGGTTGGGTATGGCCTTTAGTAAGAATCGGCGTTGACTCCTGAAGCCTGTCTCTCTTGCCCCATTGCTGTCCCACAATCACCCACATGACAGCCCTCTCTCTCTCTCTCTCTCTATTAGAATTATGCGTGATCCAGATCGGCGTTGACTCCTGAAGCCTGTTTCTCTTGCCCCTTGCTGTTCCACAATCACCCACATGACAGCCCTCTCTCTCTCTCTCTCTCTCTCTCTCTCTCTCTCTCTGTGTATTAGAATCATGCATGATCTAGATCAGCGTTGACTCCTGAAGCCTGTTTCTCTTGCCCCATAGCTGTCTCACAATCACCCACATGACATCTCTCTCTCTCTCTCTATCTCGTTGTGGCCCATTTTCCAGGTTTTTATCCGGGCCCGAAGAGACCCAATCCCCGCACACTAACCCACCTTCTAGCCAAGATGCTAGCGTTCTGTGTTGATTTTTCTTTTTTCTCAGCTGCTGGGAGCCGATCAGGGTTTCTAAATTCTCCATGGATTCTGCCTGCAGGAAGTATGGCTGCTGGCCTCTCCTTCTTCGGACGATCCCCAGAGCTTAGAATGGGAAGTAGCTCTCAACAACTCTTGGGAAAAATTGAGTTAATGTGGTGAACTCTTTCATTTACAGGACGATTCCAGTTCGGCCTTTTTTCCTTCAGGTGCTGCTTTTTCTGAGGTTTACTTCTTTTTGTTGTTGCTGCTGCTGGATGAGTTAGGGTTCTTCGAGATGTGTGCTCTTGGCTTGGGGGAGGGTAAGCTTGGGTTGGCCGGGGGTTTTCATAGGATTACCGTTTCCTCATCCCTACTGTGTGATCACCCACGTGAACCCTCTCTCTCTCTCTTTCTCTCTCTCTTGCTTCCCTCTCCATCTCTCTCTCGCTCTTTCTCTCTCTCTCTGTTGCTCCCTCTCCCTCCCTCTCTCTTGCTGTTTCTATCTCTCTCTGTTGCTCCCTCTCCATCACTCTCTCTCCCTCTGTCTCTCTCTCTTGCTCTCTCTCCCTCTCTCTCTCTCTCTCTCTCTCCCTCTCTCTCTCCCTCTCCTTCTCCCTCTCTCTCTCCCTTTCCTTCTCCCTCTCTCTCTCTCCCTCTCCTTCTCCCTCTCTCTTTCTCTCTTTCTTCCTCTCTCTCTCCCTTTCCTTCTCCCTCTCTCTCTCTCCCTCTCCTTCTCCCTCTCTCTCTTTCTCTCTCTTTCTCTCTCTTTCTTCTCTCTCTCTCTCTCTCTCCCCCTCCCTCTCTCTCTCTCTCCCTCTCCTTCTACCTCTCTCTCCTCTCTACCTCTCTCTCCCTCTCTTTCTCTCTCTCTTTCTCCTCTCTCTTTCCTTCTCCTCTCTCTCTCCCTTTCCTTCTCCTCTCTCTCTCTCTCCTCTCCTTCTCCCTCTCTCTCTCTCCCTCTCCTTCTCCCTCTCTCTCTTTCTTCCTCTCTCTTTCTCTCTCTTTCTTCCTCTCTCTTTCTTCTCTCTCTCTCTCTCTCTCTCTCTCCCCCTCCTCCTCTCTCTCTCCCTCTCTCTCTCCTCTCTCTCTCTCTCTCTCTCCCTCTCTCTCTCCATCTCTCTCTTCTCCCTCTCTCTCTCTCCCCCTCCTCCTCTCTCTCTCTCTCTCTCTTTCTTCTCTCTCTCTCTCTCTCTCTCTCTCTCTCTCTCTCTCCTCCCTCCTCTCTCTCTCTCCCCCTCCTTCTACATCTCTCTCTCTCTTTCTTCCTCTCTCTCTCTCTCCCTCTCCTTCTCCCTCTCTCTCCCTCTCATCCTCTCTCTCTCTCTCTCTCTCTCTCTTCTCCTTTAGTCCAAGGCCTTGTCAAAGCCTCCCTAGTCTTCTTTGAAGTGGTTTCCTTCCCTTTCTGCGGTTGGTGGGTGGGTAGGAGTGGGGAGGGGTTGGAGTTGTCTGCCACGTGGAGGGTACGTGTCCCCTAACTGGCATACCAGAATTCCAGATCATATCCACTCAGCGCAGGCAACTAGCTCTACGCGCCAGCCACACAATTAGGCCCATGAGGTCCAGGCCCAGTGGACTTGGCAAACGTGGCCCAAATACTTGTCCGATCTATCCAAGTTAGAGAAATATGTGGGAAAATTATCAAATTAATTTACTATCCATCCTCATTATCTGATTAATTAATAAAAAAAATCCTTAAACTGCTGAGATCAATGAAAGCGTCCACTTTGATATTTTTAAAACTCTTCACCCATAAATTGTGATACGACGAAGTTTACTGGATTTTATTGTAATTTCCAGAGGAATATTTGAAAAATATGTAAAGTTTAAAAATACTCCTTGGGAAAACTAGGCTTTCCAAAATTCCCTCCAATTATGCCATTATTAACCATATGCACGACAGACTGCAGGAGGAGAAGATAGATGCACAAGGGTTCTCTACATTGTGGATAAAAGAGTAAATGCAATAATTATAAGGGGCCCATACGCAAAAAATTGACCTTTTTCTCTCTCTCCTCTCCTCTCCGTCACCAGTAGTCTCCGCAGGAGCAGAGGCCATTTTTGAAGTGGTGGAATCTCCGGGAATCCCTCACGACGAGCTCCCGGCCAATCACCACCGACACAGACTTGGTCCAGTCATGGCAATCCTCACAAACCCTAAGATTCTTCGTGATCCTCATCGGCTCAGCTCCGCCGCTGACGGCGCAGCCGCCTCCGCGGCGGCTCATCAGAATCCCGAAAGCGATTGCCAATCTCTCGCTGTGGAATTCGCCGCCGTCCGCCACCATCTCCTCCGACGACGCCTGGTTCGGCGGTGGCTTCCTCGCCCTCACTCGGATATCCAGGGCCCGAAGCTCCTCGTAGATGAGCTCCGATTCTTCGTGGGACCTGTCCTCCGCCGTAAAGCCGTACACTGCGTTCCCCACAGCGACGAAGCTCCGGCCGGGGACCTTCCTCAGGTGGCTCTTCTTCAGCCCAACTCTAACTCTAATGGCGTCTTCCCTTCTTCCTCCTCGGTTGTACAGGTTGGCCAGAAGAACCAGGTGACCTGCACTGCTCCATGGATTGGGCGAACCCAGAATTCTCCCCTCCACGAGCTTCGCTAGGCGAGTATTTCCATGGATGCGGCAGGCTCCGAGGAGGGAGCCCCACACCGGAGGATCGGCCTCCATGGGCATCTTCTCGACCAGCTCGAAGGCCTCCTGCAACCTCCCCGCTCTACCGAGAAGGTCAACGGCGCAGGAGTAGTGCTTCTGGTTGGGGGAGACCCCATGATCCCTCTCCATGGCCTCGAAGCAGGAGATTCCTTCCTCCACCAGGCCGGCATGGCCGCAGGCGGAGATGAGGTTGACGAAGGTGACGTCGTTGGGTCTGAAACCTTGCTCCTGCATCTGCTGGAAGAGAGAGAGAGCTTCCCGGCCGCCGCCGTGGATGCCCTCCGCTCCGATCATGGCTGTCCAGGAGGTGTAGCTCATCTTGGAGAGGTCTCTCTCTGCGAAGAGCCTCCTCGCGAGAAGGAGCTCTCCGCATTTGGCGTACATGTCGACGAGGGCGGAGAAGACGCCCGCGTCTTCCCCGGCGCCAGCGGAGGCCACCAGCTTGTGGATCGCTGCCGCCAGGCGGGTGGCGCCGACAGCCGCGGCGGCGGATATCACGCTGAGGAAGGTGACATCATTAGGGTTTACCCCTCCTTCCGCCATCATCAGCTTGAAGAGCGAGAGAGCTTCCTCCGGCAGTGATGCCTGCTCGTAGCCGGCGATCATGGCGCTCCAGGAGACGACGTTCTTCCCTGCGATTCCATCGAAGGTCTCCCTCGCCATCTCCACATCGCCGCATCTCGCCTGCATGTCCACCAGTGCCGTCATGACTACCACGTCGTCCTCCGCTGCCGCCGGCGGGCGGCGGGAGAGGACGTAGCGGCGGAGCTGCCGGGAGGTCTCGCGGCAGCCGAGCTGCGCCGCCGTCTTGAGGACGGAGACGACGGTGACCCGGTTAGGGGGCTCGCCGGCGGCGAGCATTTCCTCGAACACTGCGAGTGCGGAGCTGTTCTCCCCGTTCATGGTGAGCCCGGAGATCACCGTGTTCCACGAGACCACGTCCCGCATGGCCGGTGGGATCGACCTGAAGCAGTCGCCGGCGGCGGCGGCGCCGCCGCATCTTGCGTACATATGGACGAAGGTGTTGGCCATGCGAACGTTGCCGTCGAGCCCCTGCTTGATGGCCAGTGCGTGGAGCATCTGGCCATGGCGGAGCTTGCCGGAGGAGGAGACGAGCGCCGCGATGGGGGCGGCGCCGGCGTCGCCGTCCCCATCGCCGGAGTTCCTCATGCGGGAGAAAGCTTGGAAAGCCTGCGGGAGGAGCCCGTTGGCGGAGAAGGAAGTGACGAGGGCTGTCCAGTGGAAGGGGTCGAGGCAGTGGCGGGGGATCTCGTGGAAGAGGCGGGCGGCAAGCTCCGGGAGGGAGGATTTGCCGTAGAGGTGGAGGAGGGCGGCGGTGGAGTGGCGGTGTCGGTGGAGAAGGCCGAGGCGGAGGAGGTGAGCGTGGAGGAGGAGGGGGAGGAGGGGGTGGCGGAGGGCGGCGGCGGCGATGAGGAGGGAGGGGAAGGTGTGGTGGTTGGGGCGGGAGCCCGCTGCCAGCATGCCGCGGTAGAGGGGGAGCGCCGCAGGGGGATCACGGCGGGCTCCGCCGGCGATGAGGCGGTTCCAGCGGACAACGGCGGCGGCGCTCTCTTCCTCCAGGCGACTTGCTGCTGCTCTCGCCGCCATGGGGGCATCTTCCTTCCTCCCCCTCCGCGGAGAACCACATCGGTGCAACGCCACGCCCCCCGCCCAATATTCAACTGCATTTTTATTGCTTCCGGGGGAGGGAGGGAGGGAGGGAGGGAGAGAGAGAGAGAGAGAGAGAGAGAGAGAGAAGCCTTCCCACTTCAAATCATATTTTTGTGATGCAATAGGAAGGAGTGAAACTATGTATAAAGTTAGAAAAGAAGTTATTGTTGAGATTATGATCTTAATGTTGTAAAAACTACATGGAATGAATTAAAAACTATCTAGAGCTGCACATACTTGGTTTTGAGACCTAAAAATTACATCTCATTTTGTTGTTGTAGAAACATATTTTTTAGATATAAATTAAAACTATGAGAAGCTAAGAATTGTCATTGCAACATGTTGGAGGATTAAATAAATACTATTTTCATGATAAAAAAATACACTATATCAATTTAAAAGATTAAATTGTACTTATGGCTAATTTATATTAAACATTATTCAACATGACTATGAATGTACTTGAATGTAAATTCTAAAAATTGAAAATAATAATATCAAATATCCAAATAGGAATTCAAGTAATATATTATTTACCCAATATTTAATTTTTAAATGTGATGATTTTATTATGTGAAATTATTATTTTCTATAAACCTATGAGAATTAATAAATTTTATAGAAGCTACAACTATGGGAAAGTAAGAATTTTTGAAGTAAAACATACTTACTGAAGCTAAGTATACTAGATACTCATGCTGTTATATCTTTATTTCTCAGCGTTATTGATATAAAAAATATTAGTTTAATTCAAATTGATTATACTTTCACTCAAGATTTTTTAAAATTATTTTAATTTTTTTTTATAATATCTTATGCTTTCTAAGCTATGATTGCAGATATTAAGATTATGATTTCATGAGCCTATGTAAATTTTTTAATTTATTTGAGATGATTTTAATAAGTTTTTATCGAGAATTCATGACTTTCTTTTGAGATGTATTAACAGTTTTATTTTAATGTTAATAAATTATTACCAAAACTATTTAAACTAATGAGCTTTGGATCATAACTAAATAAGGTCATACATATTGAGTTGTCTAAGAAGATATCCAAGCCCTTAAACCTCATCTCATATTGATTTCTAGTTGTCTGAATTTCGAAATACTTTAGGATTTGAATGTTGAAAGATGGTGGAAAATAAGAGAGGTTTAAGTCTGAGTTCTCTATAAATCTAGCACATCTTTGATGGCTCATTAGTTTTGAATGGTCATCTCTAACCTCTCTAGCTTTCTTGTTGATACTTTTTGTCGAGAATTACATGTAACTTTGATTGGTCTTCCTTACTAGGTCAAATGAATAGAAGACAACTAATCAAAGAACATATTACTGCGTCAAAGAACAACTAATCAAAGAAAATTACTGAACAATTCACGATAAAAAGATCACAAATTCATCGAGTAAATCATCTCTGATTAATTGATGAATAAGCCATCGTCGGGAAGAGGACGATCCACTGAGAGACGAGTCGCCACCTCTTGAGAGCCTACCAAATGTGATGAAGAGCCTCCTCTTACTGCGTGGACTTGAAGATGAAGCTCCTTGACATGCGCCCCACTTCCATCTAGCTCCTCTGTGTCAGATGATAGTCTCCAGAGAGCCGCAAAGTCGTCATTTTTCCACTCCACCGGGTGACAGCCGCTGGAGACGATTCGACGACCCATTTCATTGATCTCTAGACTTTGTAAGGAGATCTAGAGATTGTCCACGTTGTCTTTGTCTAGGGGGAGCCTTCGAGGCTGTGAACATTGCAAGATGATCCTCCTAAACGCTCATGATTTTAGTGCATCGTCAACGTATTACCGCCACGATGTCGAAACTCTATTTTTCTACTTTCAACTTAATTTTCACTTCATTTAGTGATAATTTATGTGATTTAAATTTATCAAGATATACTTCATTCAATTATGATTCTTATAGCTTTTACAGATCTTAATTTAATCAATTAAATCGTCTGTAATCACTTACATAAGAATCACCGGGCTGAACTCTATTTCTTCTCGATTCGCATTCGTCGAGCGCTGACATCATCTTGACGTTTGCACCCTTATTTCCTTTTTTTCACAAATTTTAAATATATTCTATTTTCATTTCTTAGTATAAAATTCATAAAAAATCATATTCTTTGAGAAAAATTCTGAAAATTACCTGATATTATATTACATCCTATGATTGACTTGAAAAATTATCACTATTTTGTGGAAGTTTGATTAAATTATAATTGATATATTTGTTCAGAAATACTTCTAAATATTTAAAAAATAGTATTTTCAAGTTTGATAAATTTTAAATTTACGTGATTTACTATACAACGACTAAGTCACATCACATATGCATCACCTAGACCTAACACATTCATCTAACATTGCTTCACTCACTCCAATCGCTTGTACTGAATACCAATCTCTTGCACTGCAAGCTCATGCCGTAATGTTCCAATAGTTTTTACCTCGTTGATCTTTTCTATTTCTAATTTAGAAGAATCTTCCGTTTTTTTACATTTAATTTTTTAATTTTCCCATTAGTCATATAATAGTCTAAAATTGGCCTTTTTGTTGAGATTGTGTCTCAATAGTAAGTTTTGGTTCTAACATCTTGTGTTGTGTCTAATGTTCATCTCCTTTCTCTCCTGATGTGATAACACATATGTTGATACCTGAATTAGGGAATAAGGAAAATATTCTATAAACTGTATAAACCATTTTAGAGCATATTCAGATATCTTGGACTTTTTAAAAGGTCGGCAGAATATGTCATTACCTTATAATATAATTACCATATTTTAGCCGTTTCCCAAATCAAAATCTTTATGATCATTAAAATAGTTAGCTTTGTAATCATAAACTTAAGAAATCTAATATTCAATTTGTTAGGTCATTCGTGAAAATATGTATGGCTCCAGATATTTGTATTAGTAACTGTTTTGCTATTAATTTAATTTTAACTTTTTCTCTTATGTATTTTAGTTTGTATGACTATCACAAAGAATTTTGACATATTTAAAGGCTGACACATTGTGGCTGAAGGAGATGACCAATAATACAAATTTCGTAATCTTTGTAAAATTTCCTTTTACTCGTGGATTAAAGAACCTGTGTTAGCTTCAAGGGGCATTTCTTTGTCTGATGATTTATTGAAAGATCGTAAAAATTAATTTATGTGGCCTGGAGAATTGATGACTTTCATGCCTCGTGTCTTGTCTTGTAGGTTTAAGGCCGAATTTTTGTTTCTCCGAAGCTTTTGTTGTATCACTCCCCCTCTGTGTTCTCCCCTACTCATATCTTGTGATTCAAGTTGACTCTGTAGGTATTGTCCATTGTTGAGAGAAAGACAAAAAATAATATTTCATGAAATTTTTTTTTAGCTTCCCCCAGACATCATCCACATACCCGGAAGAAGAGGTCAAAGCCACAAAGGGTTCGGCTCAGCCTACCTCTGAGTTCACAGACTTCTTTCGCGGAATACGTGGGCCACATCGTACCACTGCATGAATAACTGTCTCCTGTATCACCTACGAATAGAAGAGAAGTGGAGCAGACAATAGGAGTGGAAAAAGAAAGTTAGAAGAGTGGGAGAGCACTCAATGTATCACGGGAGAGGCATCCGCTGTCGGGTTCTCTAATACTTGCCCTCGTAGGATACTCCTCTCTCTCGCTCTCTCTTGTTACTTTTCACGAGTCCTGGTCACCGGTCGTCATTATCACTGTAGCATTACTGTTCATCTATTATTCAACTCTAATCAGCCGCATTCTCACGGCACCGGCAGCGAGTATTGTTCCGATACTGGTCAACGAGGGAGTAGGTCCCTAACAGCTTCTCTTTCATCTCATGCTTTTGTTTAAGATTTTCATATTGATCATAATTGGTAGAGAAAAAAGTAATATACGAGAAAAATAAATAATATACCATTGAATCGACGGACTGTACCTAGTTTAATTACCGTCTTAATGACTGAGTCAACCAGCCCATTCTAGGACGCGTGTGGCGTGAAGTTAGTTTACTTTTCCTTGGACATTGGTTGGCTAATGATGACGAAACTAAGCCTTCAGAAGGGGTCCCCATCCCGCATAACGCTTTCTGAGATCGACACCGAGTTGCGCAAGCCCTGAGAAACCCGCCGAAGCCGCTCTTCCCTCCTTTTAACGCCCACCCCTCAGTCGCCTTCTCCCACCGACCGAGCGCGGACGAGAACGGAGTCTCCTCTCCCCTCCACCGATGCCCGCTCTTCCCGCTCCTAAAACGGGTACGGGCTCGTCTTCGTGTCCTTCTCTGGGTTGTGAGAAAAAGAGAGGGTTGTGGTTCCGCGCGCACGTCCTCGTCCTTGGTCACAAGCGACCATTGCCTTATACCCGCAACACTATGCCGATAGCCTTTCTCAGGTTCTCCCCAGTGACAACATGGTACAATCTCTCTTTCTCCCTCCCTCGGCTGTGTCCTTCTCTGTTGGTCTCACCCCACATCTCGGTGCATCTCTCTAGTGCCCTATTGCTACCGCGAGCTTTTTGGAGGACCAGGTACAGGTCGATCTCGGCCGGAGGAGGGTAGAACAGCTGAAGGAAGAGGTAGCGAGAACCCTGAACAGGAGTTGCGCCACGAAAGATGTTATACAGTGCGTCGACAAACTCCAGCATCTGGGGATCGCATACCATTTCACGGAGGGTATTAAAAATCTCCTGAATCGAGTCGCCAACTCCACAGTTGCAGAAGACGAAGGCCTCTTCCATGCCGCGCAGCGGTTTCGGGTTTTAAGGAATTACGGGTACAATGTCGCCCCGGGTACGTCCCCTTTTCTCTCTCTCTGGCGTATTCGTCGTTACTGACGTGTCTTTTTGATTGATCTCCGTTCTATAGATTTATTCCACAAGTTCCTCAACAGAGAAGCAAAATTCAAGGACTCCTTGGCCGCGGACTGGAGAGGCCTTCTCAGCTTGCACGAAGCCTCTCACTATGGATCCAGCCACGAAGGGATCATGTCCCACGCCATGGAGTTCAGCAAGAAACATCTAAAGTCACCAAAGTCTCCTTTCACTCCTCAGCAGCTCGCTCAGATTAACCATACCCTCGAGCTCCCGAGGCACATGAGGATGGAAAGATTCAAAGCCTGGAGGCTCATCCAGGAGAGTACCCACCCAAACGGGAACTCATCACCGCTCTTGGGGCTTGCGTCTCTGGACTATAACTTGGTTCAGTCACAGCACCAAGTGGACCTGGAGGAGTTCACAAGGTGGTGGAGGGAGCGCGGTCAGGTGCGTAAGCTCAGCTTTGTGAGAGATCGTGCACAGGAGTTCTTTCTGTGGACTGCGGGGATATTTCCCCAGCCCTCTCTCTCCAAGTGCCGGATAGAGCTCACTAAAAGTGTAGGCATGTGCCATCTTCTTGACGACTTATACGATCGCTATGGATCATTGGAAGAACTCACCCTCTTCACTGATGCCATCAAAAGGTTTGCAGGCCCAGGTAAAACAGTTTGCCTCCTTTTCCTCGTTGGAAGTTTCGTTAACTTTTAGACTCTTTTCACTGGTTTAAGGTGGGAACTTCAAGCCATGGAAAAGTTGCCAGAGGTTTTGAAGATATACTATCTTATCGTGTATAACACCACCAACGAGATCAGCTACAAGGTCCTCGTGAACTCTGGAAAATGCGTCACTTCCCTTTTCAGAAAGACCGTGAGCGTCCTCTCTCTCTCTCTCTCTCTCAATTCTGACATTTCCTCGCACAATCGTGGTACAGTTGGTGGACATGTGTGAGGCACTCCTTCTTGAGGCGAAAAGGTTCTCGTTTTCTAAAATTTCTTCAAAATTTTCTGACTCACCTATCAGCAAGCTATGTGTTGAACATTGAGTTGCAAAATGTCCTAGACCTCTACACTTAAAACATGTAATTTTCATGCTTGTTGATGCATCCATAATCTTTTTTCCTTTGTCTACCTCCATGATCTTAAGTTTCGTTGTATAAGGAGCTATAATTTGTGGTTTGCCTGGTTCTACCTTGGGTGGGGTGGGGGCTGGAGGTCATGACGAAGGTATCTGCACATTAAAATGAGGTATGGGTTTATAGAATGAATCTAAGTCTATTATGAACTGATATGCCTCTTCTAATGTGTGAATATTTCTCATACTAAGTTCTCTCCAGAAATACTCTCGAAGACCGGTTTGAAAACGAGATAAGGTAAAGGGTCCTCATTTATCCCACATATGAGCATCAACTCATCAAACTGAGTTACATATTATGTGGGTGGTCTATTATCTTGGGAAATTCTATTCCATTGATATAATATTTTGATAGTATAATTTACACGTAAGTATTTCTCCCCTAATTTAGCTTTCATCTCTTCCCAAGTTCCAATCAGTTCTTGTCTTCTTAATTCTAGTAATTGAGCAATACTCCTCCAATATGTTTTTGCAGAACAGGATAATTTAAGATCAGCAAATCATAATTTTCTAGCTTTGGACATATTATTCCATCTAAAATAGCTGTCCATCATAGCCTCCTAGTTTAAATATTTTTTTGGGTCTTTTCCTCCCTCAAACATAGGTACATCTATCGAGACATTCCTATGCGATGGGTTAGCATCTACAGTTTCTTTGGGGTTTCTATTTCGCCTAGGATTGTGTTGCTGCAATGGAGGAAATCTAAGATTTTCCTGAGTTTCAAATCTTCCTAATCTTTGGTTCATCATATTCATTTGTTCCATAAGTAATTTTGCCCATTACGGAATTTCCTCTTCCATTGAGGTATATGATGATTTTCTTGTATGGTGTAGGATGTAATAGAACAAGTAGGCATGCAATTGTCTTGAGTGGTGTTATGCAGTTGAGAGATCTAAATCGTGATTATGAGGCCTGATGGATATCCTAACCTGTGCTCTAATATCAAAATAGATGCAGAAGGATTTGAAAAGAATGCGAAGACTATAAAATCAAGCAAACTCACTCAAGAATTAAAGCGAATATGAGTAGACTTTGAAATTATCGAGAAACACCTGCAATTGAATAAAAAAAAAAGGGTATGGCAATTTAAGAAAACTGCTGAAAGGAAACCCAGATTTATCACGCGAAAAAATATTCATATCACGATTTAAGATCTGCAGAATATTAATAACTCACTATCCTATGGTCTCTTAGGCAACAAAGAGCAAGAGAACATATTAAATGCACAAATTTAAATGGAGAAAGGAAGGAAGTTTACTATTGTTATGGAAAGGTCACCATTTCATCAGAGATGGTGCAGAGTAAATCGTAGGTACCTTGGAAAGACAGACACTAGTTGGATCAATGGAAGTGTTGACTTGTTTGACAGCAAACATAGGTCGATAGGTATTGACAAAAGATGAATGGGAGAAGAGAAAAGGCTCCAGATTGAGAGTAACGGGAACCTCTCAACCAACCCAAGCCGGGTTGACAGGAGCAAAAGAGCAATGATAAATCACTCATCATAAACTTTCTTGAAAAAATAATTACTCCTATCTTAGAGTCTCGTGCTTATCTTATAGTTTAAAATAGTAACCATAAATGCAACTAACAGTAAAAAATATTACTCTTTTTGAAGCATTTATGGTTTCATTGTAGGTGTTAAGCACTTTGGAGCTGTTCTTTAGTTATTGTAGTTGATTTTCTACTATCATCCTTGTTGAGCTGTTATGTCGGACATTGTTTCTCTTAAAATTGTTCTTTTTGACCAGTTCCTTCATTTCCTTTCAGCTGATGACCCAACTAAGGATGACTTGATACTACATCACGTTGCGCCCCCAGCTCAATATTCAGCTGTGTTTTATTGCTTCAATGAGGGAGAGGGAGAGAGAGAGAGAGAAGCCTTCTGATGTGTGCTTGTTGCTATGTTTAAATGCACATTATTTAATAATATTTATAACTAAGACTTAATAAAATATTAGTATAGATGTAAGTCTCAAGTCGAACACATGGAGATTGATTAATTCGTCATGAAAACTAATTTAGTTTATATATAAAGTGTTTTTAATATTTTATCAATATTAACAGAAATAATAAAAGAGAAGGTGAGGTGAGAAGAATAAAAGAAGGGAAGCGAAGAAAGTAAGGAGGAAAAGAGAGAGAGAAGAGAGAGCTCTCAAAAAAGAAAGGAGATCTCACATGAGACGGAGAGAGAGAAAGGTCTCACGAGAGAGAGAGGGAGATCAATCAATAGAGAGAAAGAGAAGGAGATCGATTGATCGAGAGAGAGAACTCATGAGAGATGGAAAGAGAAGAAGCGATCTCACGAGAGAGGGAGAGAAGGAAATCAGATGATAATAAAGAAAGAGAGAAATATGGTCAACTTGTTTTCATGGTGACCATTATTCTTGGACAAATGTGTGCTAAAAAATTCACAAATATGACCTGAGGTCAGTCGTGAATGTCTCCACATTATTTTAATAGTTCATCAATCATTAAGTAGCCTTTAATCTTGCTGATTTTATATTTGAAAATAGAAAAAATTGATTATTCACATAACACTAGAAACATAAATACGTCAAGATTTGACTATCAAAATCAATAGAAAATATGTTAAAAATGATCTTAACTTAATCTTATATGAGTTTCAGAGGACTCAAAAGAAGAACGAAGATTATTCATCAAGTTTTGAATTAGTTCTACTCATTTTAATCGAAACGTTCATGAAATGGAAATAACTTGCCGTAGAATATAAATAAATGATAAAAGTAGGTAAGTAAATACTGAAAGTAGAAAATAAATAGTTTCTAATTTTGGTTTGTCTCTTGGGCATCTGGAGACACCAATGTGGTGGCTTAGTTTCGTCCAAACGTGCCACACCATGTTAGAAGTCACAAAAGTATGGTCCATAAGTGTTGCACCACTTGCCAGAGAGATCTATCGAAAGAAGGGGTCGACCATGTTGTCACCATCGTCTAGGGGGAGAAGGAAAGAGTTGACCACTCACTAGAGGCCTTTAGTGTAGTTGGAGGAGGAAGGAACAAGCTTTGTCAATCATTGGAGACATTGATCGTTGACGTGACTTAGTCGTTGTATAGTAAATCACACAAATTTAAAATTTATAAAACTAGAAAATACGAATTTTCAGATATTTAGAAGTATTTTTGAACAAATATATCAATTATAATTCAATATAACTTCCAAACAGTTTTTACGACAACTCCAATTGTCGTGAATTAGCAGTTTGAAACCCAGTTGTCGTCCATTTTGCTAATAATGATAATTTCCCAGATCGATCATAAGGATGTAATCTAATATCAAGTAATTATTCAGAATTTTTCTCAAAGAATACTATTTTCTATGAATTTTACATTAGGAAATGAAAATAAAATATATTTAAAATTCACAAAAAAAGGAAATAAAGGTGCAGACGTCAGGATGACGTCAATGTCTGGCAAACGTGAATCGGACGAAAATAGATTTCTGCTCAGTAATTCTTACGTAAATTTAAATCACACAAATTATTAAATGAAGCAGAAAGTAAGTTGAAAGTAGTAAAATAGAGTTCCGACATCATGGCAATGATGCGTCGACGATGCACCATAATTCTGAGCATTTGGGAGGATCGTCATGTAGTGTCTATAGCCTCGAAGGCTCTCCTTGGACAAAGACAATGTGGGAAATCTCTAGATCTCTTTGCGAAGTCTAGAGATCAATGAAATGGGTCGTTGAATCATCTTCGGCAGCTGTCACTTGGCGGAGTGAAAAAACAACAAATTTGTGGCTCTCCAATCGCTGTCACCCGACGGAGAGGAGCTAGATGGAGGTGGGACGCATGTCAAGGAACTTCATCCTCAAGTCTGTGTAGTAAGACGAGGCTCTTCATCGCATTCGGTACGCTCTCAAGAGGTGGTGACTCGTCTCTTAGTAGATCATCCTCTTACTGACGACGGCTTGTTTGTCAATCAATCGAAGATGTTTTACTCGATGGATTCACAATCCTTTTATTGGGAATCATTTAGCAATTTTAGTAACAATGTTCTGCAAATCACATTGACAAGAGTTTTGCTGATGTTCTAGTGATTATGATGACTTAATCTTTCACCGGTAATTTGTAGGAAAGTCATGATAATCAGATAAAAAAATATGAATTTTGGCTCTAGGAGGATTTGAACCGGCACCAATTGCCCACCTATATGAGAGAGATTGAAATAAGTACTATAATGCCCTTATAAAAGGACATCATCATGGTATATCTCTATTATAAATAAGGAGTGTTGTAGATATTAAAATCATCGAAGCCTTTTTGGGGAAGGTGTGATGCAAGTTTAGTCCCACATCGCTTGTGCACTGATGTTTTGGACAAATATATAGTAATATTACATTTACAAGTAAGTCCCTTTCTCACGCATGTATGACCACTCTTTGCCCCACAATTGGCTAGCCACTGGTGACGTGGAAGGGAAGTGGTACACATGTGTCCCTATCAGTTCTTGCTGCTCGTGCCCTTACTTGCGGCTCCTACTCAACTACGCTTCTGACCCACTTGTAGGCCCGACTAGCTGGCGGGTCCCCCCACATTTTGCTATATTTTTATTTTTATTTATTTTTCTTCATTTATCTCAAAAGTAAGATTGTAAAAATCATATAAATTTATATAAAATCACATAATTACCCAAAAATTCACGTTAATCAATTGAAAACCACTTTTCACACTTTAGCACAAATATAAGTTTATTTATCATGAGTTAAGGTTAAAATTATATTATTTACTAATTATTAACTCATAATAATGAAGACTTATCAATTGTGCAAAAAGAGAGAAGAATGGTTTGTCGTATTCATGACTGTCATCAAGATTTAAAGATAATCAATAATATTTATTTTATTTGACAATAAATGATTATTATTTTTATATCATTGATAGTGATATGTGCGAGAGCTTAAGTTCCTAGTATCGTGGCACGTCACAAGCCACTAGATCAGATGTGCTTGGTCACGAGGTGCACTGAGCGACACAGGATCAACTTGTCACAAATCGCTGTCGATCGAGAACTTAAGTTCCTAGTACTGTGGCACCTTGTTAGCCATTAGATCATCATTTATGGCCACGTGTGTTGAGTGGCGTCGGATTCTCGAACTGCTGATGAATTGGTTTATGCATCTAATATTGTGATGTCTCATCCACCGCATGATTTGACTTATCTGATGACGTGGCTCATTGAATATCATTGAATCAAACTATGCTCTAGATGGCTGCCCTAAGACACATGAAAATGTTTAGTCCCACATTGAAAATATTTCGATGCATGAGCTGAATATAAATCAAAGCTACAGTCTCTCGTCAAAGATCTCTTCTTTTGAAATAAAATAATGCCCAAGACTATCTTGGGAGTAGGCAAAAAGGTGGTCTGCCCTTGTGCACGTATGTGCGTACGAAGCTCGTTGTGTCATGACCAGTTGGCCACTGGCACATGATAGGAGAGTGATGCACACGTGCATGGAGCTAGTCCTTCACTAGTTGAGACCAGCTTGTGGCTCCCCCAATATAGGTCTACCCACTTGGTGCCCCCTCCAAGTCAATTGTTGAGTGTTGGCTTGCTAGTGGACGATATATTTTTATATTTAATTCGTTTATATTTTTAAATAATAAAAAAATTATGCTAAGTATTATAACTTTTAGACTTCTAAAATTAACAATATATATTTATTCTGTTATAAAATTAATTAAAACACAAAAATCTAGCTTTATCAACTTCCCACTTCAAATCATTTTTTTGTGATGCAATAGGAAGGAGTGAAACTATGTATAAAGTTAGAAAATAAGTTATTGTTGAGATAGTGATTTTAATGTTGTTCAAACTACATGGAATGAATTAACAACTATCTAGAGCTGCACATGGTTTTGAGATCTAAAAATTACATCTAATTTTGTTGTCATAGAAACATATTTTCTAGACATAAATTGAAACTATGAAAAATGAAGAATTGTCCTTGCAACATGTTGGAGCATTAAATGAATAACATTTTGATGATAAAAGATATAAATTATATGTGAGTGTAAAAGATTAAATTTTACTTATTATTCATTATGGCAAATATATATTAAACATTATATAATATGAGCATGAATCCACTTGAATATAAATTCTAAAAAATTGAAAATAATAATATCAAATATCCAAATACGAATTCAAGCATTTACCCAATATTCAATTTTTAAATGTGATGATTTTATTATGTGAAATTATTATTTTCTATACAACAATGAGAATTAATAAAATTTATAGAAGCTACAACCTATGGGAAGGTAAGAATTTTTGAAGTAAAACATGCATATTGAAGCTAAGTATACTAGATACTCATGCTGTTATATCATTATTTCTCAACATTATTGATATAAAAAATATTAGTTTAATTTGAACTGATTATACTTTCATTCAAGATTTTTTAATTTTAAAAAATACATATTTAAAAAAAAATAGAATATCTTATGTCTTCTAAGTTACGATTGCACATATTAAGATTATGCCTTCACGAGCCTACTTAAAATTTTTAATTTATTTGAGGTGATTTTAGTAAGTTTATATTGACAATTCATGACTTTCTTTTGATATTTATTATCAGTATTATTTTAATTTTAAGAGATTATTACCAAAAGTATTTAAACTAATGATCTTTGGATCATAACTAAATAAGGTGATACACATTGAGTTTTCTCAGAAGATATCCAAGCCCTTAAACCTCTCTCATATTGATTTCTAGATTTCTGAATTTCTAAATACTTTAGGATTTAAATGTTGAGAGATGGTGTAAAATAAGAGAGGTTTAAGTTTGAATGATCAGCTCTGACCTCTCTAGCATTATAAGTTTCTTGTTGATACTTTTTGTAGATAATTACATGTAACTTTGAGTGGTCTTCCTTGCTAGGTCAAACAACTAGAAGGCAACCAGTCAAGGAACATATTATAAGTTAGACATGACCTTCAATTGGATTGACGTGATAGTGCCTTCAACAATCACCTAAGTTCACAATTAGAAGATAGTAGGAAAATTGAGTTACAATTCATCATCCTCTTTATAAAATTTCTAGACAAACATTTAAGTTAATGACATCATCTAGAAACAACATAGTCAAATCTTTCATTATTTTATTTTGGTAAACTTGTGATTAACTTCTTATTTAATGACTATATGGTGCTGATCCCTGTAATTTATCCATAATTGATGATCTAGAATTTTTTTTGAAGAAAATAGGAGCTGAGCTTGATAATAAGCAATTTTGATTGGTGAGGAGTTGGTTTAGTGAAAGTTAAGAACCACTATTAAAAGCATAGTGCCTTTGATTTAGAACCCTAAAAGTTATAAGATTAGAAAAAGAACATTGAAGAAAAACTAAAATTTGATCAATTCAACTTCCCCTGTTTCTAAATGTAGCCTCAAATCTAAGAAGTAATATCTGAACTTATTTTCTACTTGTATGAAAGAAGTTTATGAGTATATCCTATAATTACCAGCACCACAAATAATAACATAGAAGGAAGTTCTAAATATATAGCACCCCTATTAAGTAGATTAAATCATGTATTTTAGAAGACAAAGAGGAAAATATTTATCTATGTCATAGATGACTAAAAGAAAATTAGAAGAAGAACCGTGTAATAAATATATAATTTTACTTTGTAAGATTATTCAATTTGTCATTTTTTTACAAGATTATTGACTTTATAATTTCATTTGAGAGCAAAAAGGTCAAAGTTTCTAACTTAGCTTATTAAAATGATTTTTATTTGAAAAAATATTTTAGAGAAATAAACTTTCAATAAGATATTAGAAAGCTTACATAGAGTGGAATCAAAATACTGAAATCATTAAGCCTACAATTACTTACTATTGAGTTAAGCATTTGATTCGATAAGCCCAACATAAAAAGTGACCTTTCACCCAAATTAATGTAAGGACAAAGAGAAATCAAAGGGAGCATGATTAAATCTGATAGTGTCTTCACATTGCCATGTTCTACCTTCAAGAGTCTCCAAGACATCTTTCTCATCCTGAACAAACCCTGTTGCAATTTGCACCCCAAACACCTACAGCATTAGAGGATCAATTGCTACTTTGCTCATTGATGAGCTTTAACATGTTGGCCTTCTTTCACTACTAGCTTCCTTATTGTACACCAATACATCAGCACATTTCAACAAAATATTTCTAATTATTTATTTTGCACTTGCATAGAAACTTAGAAGAATTTTTTAAATAATTATCCTGTGTTATTGAGGTTATCTAGAGATATAATTCTAGTTGATAGATGGACTTTCAGAGTTGATGTTATAAAGGTTTTTAGAAAGCTTAGAAATCTTGCAAGTGTCAATGTTGTAAGGGGCGTTGATAATATGAAATTAGATGTATTCTCAAGATAAGTGTAATGGAGTCAGAATTGCAATGCTAGAAATGGATGTAGGTTGAAGGGGTTTGGCCGAATTACTATTAAATAACTTGATTTAATTTAATAAAATATCTAGAAGACTAAAAACAAAACAGTCACAATTAATATATAACGAATTTATTCAGCCCCTCCTTGATTTGTGTAACTAGCTATCTAGGAACCAACAAAAAATTTCATAGGGACAGCAAAATTAACATTTTAGTACACACATCAGTTTTTCATGAAATGGATTCAAGCTTGAGGGCACAATTACATTGAAGGAGACTAACCTCATAATCAGTAAAAGCTCCAATGGATTGTCAATAGGTTATGGCAACCCTAGATCCTAAATTAAAATATAGATTGTAGTCAACTTTGTATTTTCCTTTAGATAAGTTCAAGCTTTGATAGTGGCTCATCAATTGAACCATGGTGGGGATTTTGCTTTCTAGCCCCCCAATTTTTGGCAATATTATGCTGGATTTAAAGATTTCGATGGTAAGAAATAATCACATAGAAATAAGGTAAAAAGATTAATTTATAATATATTTAGCTAGAAAAACTCATGAACCAAGATATAAACTATAATATTTAGCTATTTTTGTTGTGGAAAGCAAACTTATGTCATACAAAAGTCAAATACTCTAAATCTTGGCATTTAACACATGGAATTTTAATGTGTGGATTAACTATAATGAGATAATGTGTTGACCTAATTAAGCCACTTGGTGTATCAACCCAAAACGTTTTGTGTCAACTCAAATAAGTCTATGTAAACCCACTACAACTAGGATTGATAAAAATAAATCTAAAAAATCAAGAAATATTTAAATTTAATAGAAAATCAGTGAAGAAATATAGCTTACTATGAACTAATAGTTTCCAATCAAATATGAAAAGTAAAACATTATTTTTTTAATTTTTATTTTAGGTATATTGATAATTAAACCTACTTTAGTTTTATTAATTGATTTAATTTACCCCGTTGCCTTACAAGCTGCGGCTGAAAATCCATGGCAGTCTTCCTCTGAGACAATTTTTTTTTCCCCTGATTTACTCAGTTTATTGTGTATAATAGTTGATATTCCGTAAATGCCTGTTTTTATTATTTTCAATAAGTCATCAATGCAGTAAGTTGTCCTGGATGTCTAAAACTCCCAAAAAGCCCTAGTGTTATTAATGCCGGCGGCGTCCTCGCTCTCCGGCAGTGGTGGCGGGGCGGAGAGCTCCGATGGCGTCTTCTTCGAGCACTCTCTCCCGCCTCTTCCGGTGCTCAAGGGCCCGCCACGCAAACCGTTCAGTCGCCGCCGTGGGCAGTCGGAAACCTCGGCCAGTGCCATCCCCTAATCCGATGAGGCGCCCCGACCAGGGAGTGGAGGAAGTGGTCGGCGACCTCTTCAATGAGCGCGACCTCCACAGGCTCGTTTCCCGCTTCAAGGAGGCCTCCGCCTGCCGCCGATTCCGCTCCAAGCACCGGGTCTACGAGGTCGCCGTCCAGCGCCTTGCGGCGGCCGGCAGGCACGACGGCGTCGAGGAGATCCTGGAGGATCAGAAGCGGTACGGGGAAGACATCGCCCGCGAGGGCTTCGCCGCCCGGGTGATCGGCCTCTACGGCAAGGCCGGGATGGCGGCGGCGGCGGAGGAGACCTTCCGGCAGCTGCCCTCCCTCGGCTGTTGCCGCACCGCGTTGTCCTTCAACGCGCTGCTCAGCGCATGTTCCGCCGCTGCGGACCCGGAGCGGATTGACGAACTGTTCCGGTCGATCCCCGCGGAGTGCCCGGGGATCGCCCCCGACAAGGTCTCCTACAACATCTTGATCAAGTCCATGTGCAGGAGGAGCGATCTCGACGGGGCAATGTGCTTGTTGGAGATGATGGAGGAGCGCGGGGCAGAGCCCAACTTGATCACCTTCAACACCCTCCTTGACGGGTTCTACTCCCATGGGCGATTCTCAGATGCCGAGAAAATCTGGGAGCTGATGGCCCAGAAGAAATGTCAGCCCGATGTGAAGAGCTTCAACGCGAAGCTGAGGGGGCTGGTGCTTGGCTCGAGGACGACGGAGGCGGCGGAGATCGTCGAGCGACTTCCGGGCATGGGGCTGCGGCCGGACACCTTTACCTTCAATTCTCTGATCAAGGGGCACTGCGAGGCCGGGAACCTGGACGATGCCAGGAAGGTGTTCGAGAATTTGACGAAGAACGGGTGCCGTCCCAACAGGGAGACCTTCGAGACGATGGTGCCCAGGCTCTGTCAGGCAGGGGAGCTCGATCTGGCGCTCAGCATGTGCAAGGAGAGCATCAGCCGGAAGTGTTGCGTCACGGCGGAGATCCTGCAGGAGGTGGCGGACTCCTTGTCCGCGTGCTCAAGAGCGGACGACGCAGAGAAGCTCGTGAAGCTTTCATGGCTGAAGAACTACGACGAGATGAGCGTACGGATGCCTTCTCCCTCGGCTGCGGCGGCGGTGGCGACGCCGGAGTCCGCATGATCGGCCCTCTGCATCCCCGCGGTCCCTGAATCACAAGATGAGAATAAGAAGAAATACAGTGCTGTTCTTGGATATAATTCTCATCTACAGCAATGTCGAGTCGTAACGGTTGTTATTCTTACCTACTCTTGCATGATTAAAGCGAAAAACTTTCGAATTTCTCCTGTTCGAAGGGGTTTCTCCGGATGGATTCTTGGAAAGGTGTCCCTAGATTGACATCTGAAGAATTGATCAGTCCTCTCTTCCTTTCGACTGTGGGTTGAGAACCCTCCTTATAAAGTTGACTTTGGGAAAGAGAAATGTCAACTTTATAAGGAGGGTTCTCAACCCACAGTTTTTATTTCTCATCATTTCTGGGTTTCAATCTCTGCTACTCGCGCCCAAGCGTTGGCCAAACTATTGATCACCGTTCTGTTTTATCTCAGAATCCCTTCCATCCACAGGGAATAGGGACTTGTACAAACCGTGGAAATCGACTTTTATTAAGATTAAATGAGAAAAAAAATATTTTATTAACATTTGTGTGCAAGGAGAAGATGTTCCTTCCTTCTATGCTTGACAGCTCATTAAAGCACTGCGATAATTTTTGTTAAATTATTTTATCCTGTACTCATACATAATCTATCACTACAAACAGCACTCTAATCTCTTAACCTAATTGCTTTGAATATTTTGAATGCCAATGTGTTATATTTTCCCAATTTTTATATCCTGATTTTATTGCATCTATCAATACTATATATTACTAGTCAAATCTTGTGTAATCACCTGTCAACCATTGGTCACTCAGTGACAAATAGTAGTTATGTTTTTTAAAGGCACGGCCTCATTTTGTTGTCTACTAAGAGGGTGATGCCTCCTTCAGATTGACTATAAACTCAGTGAGGAGTTAGACTATTTTGTGGACCTTTGGCCTAATCATTTTTCATATATCTTGATGACCATCTATTGATGTGATTTAGTCGTTGTATAGTAAATCATGTAAATTTAAAATTTATAAAACTAGAAAATACGAATTTTCAAATATTTAGAAATATTTTTGAACAAATATATCAATTATAATTCAATAAAATTTTCACAAATAGTACTATTTTCTATGAATTTTATATTAGGAAATAAAAATAAAATATATTTAAAATTTACAGAAAAAAGAAATAAGGGTGCGGATGTCAAGATGATGTTAGCGCTTGGTGAAAATAAAGTTCCGTTTGACAATTCTTACGTAAGTGATTACAGAAGATTTAATTGATCAAATTAAGATTTATAAAATTTGAAAGAATCATAATTGAATGAAGTATATCTTGGTAAATTTAAATCATACAAATTATCACTAAATGAAATGAAAATTAAGTTGAAAGTAGGAAAACAAAGTTCCGGCGTCGCGGCGACGATGCGTCGGCGATGCATTGAAATCCTGAGCATTCAGAAGGATCGTTGTGTAGTGTCTATGTCCTTGAAGACTTTCTTTGGACAAAGACGATGTGGGCAATCTCTAGATCTCTTTACAAAGTCTAGAGATCAATGAAATGAGTTGTTGAATCGTCTCCGGTGACTGTCACCCGACAAAGTAGAAAAACGGTGACTTTGTGACTCTCTAGCAGTTGTCAGCCGACAGAGAGGATCTGGATGGAGGTGGGGCACATGTTAGGGAGCTTCATCCTCAGGTCTGCACAGCAAGAAGAGGTTCTTCATCACATTCAATACGCTCTCAAGAGGTGGTGACTCGTCTCCTGGTAGATCGTCCTCTTCTCGACGACAGCTTGTTTGTCGATCAATCGAGGATGCTTTACTCGATAGATTCGTGATCTTTTTATTGCGAATCATTCAGCAATTTTAGTAACAATACTCTACGAATCGCATTGACGAGATTTTTGTTGATGATCTAACGATTCTAGTGGCTTAATCCTTCACTGGCGACCTATAAGAAGGTCGCGATAATTAGATAAGAAATATGAGTTTTGGCTCTAAGAGGATTCAAACCCCATGTCGGTTGCTCGCCTACATGAGAGAGATAGATAAAAGTACTATAATGCCCTCATCTAATGACGTCATCATGGTACATCTTTGTTATAAATAAGGGATAGTTTAGGTATTACAATCATTGAACCCTTTCTACGGAAGATGTGATATGGGTTTAATCCCACATCGCTTGTGCACCCAAGGTTTAGGTGAATATATAATAATATTACATTTGCAAGCAAGTCCCTTTCTCGCACGTGTATGACCACTCCTTGCCCCATAGTCAGTTGGCCATCAGTGACATGGAAGGGGAGTGGCGCACATGTGCCCCTGTTAGTCCTTGCCGCTTGAGCCTTGCTCGCAGCTCCTACTCGACTGTGCTTCTGACCCACTTGTAGGCCTAGGCCCAGTTGGCTGGCGGGTCCCCCCATTTTGCTATATTTTTATTTTTATTTTTTTTCTTCATTTATCTCAAGAGTAAGATTATAAAAATCATATAAATTCGTATAAAATCACATAATTACTCAAAAATTCACGTTAATCAATTGAAAACCACTTTTCACACTTTAACACAAATATAAGTCTATTTATCATGAGTTAAGGCTAAAACTATATTATTTACTAATTATTAACTCATGATAATGAAAACTTATCATCTATCTAAACAAAATGTGCAACACGTAACATGGGTTTCTCGATTTAGTGCTGCATGTGTTCATCGTTTTCATCAGATCTTTGTTTATGTCACATTATAACTTTCTCTCACGCTTTCTGTCTTCTTGTTATTTAGTGCTGTATGTATCTGTCATTTCTAGGTGAGGTTCTGATTTCATATGTTTCGTGTGAAGCCACTGTTTGCACGTGTACTTTGGCTAAGTTGGGAAAGTCCAACTTGGTTTGTGGATGCATCTATGCTCAAGACCTCAAGAATGGTTGCAAACAACCAAGATAGTCTTTATGATGTCAATCGGAGTCAACATTAGCAACGCAAGCAACTTAAATTCATTCAAGTCAAATGTAAGCAAAATATCTAGCAACTAAGCAAAAGGCTTCTCTATCATTTCTTACTTGGCAGACTTCAAGAACAGTATCTTTACTATGTCCTTGACATGACTTAGTTGTTGTATAGTAAATCACGTAAATTTAAAATTTATAAAATTAGAAAATACAAATTTTTAGATATTTAGAAATATTTTTTAACAAATATATCAAGTATAATTTAATAAAACTTCTAAAAATAGTAATAATTTTCTAGGTCAATCACAGAGATGTAATATAATATTTAGTAATTATTCAAAATTTTCCTCAAAGAATACTATTTTCTATGAATTTTATACTAGGAAATAAAGTGAAAATATATTTAAAATTCAAGAAAAAGAGAAATAAAGGTGCAGATGTCAAGATGGCGTCAGTGCTCGACGAATGAGAATTGACAAAAATAGAATTGAGCCTGATGATTCTTACGTAAGCGATTACAGATGATTTAATTGATGAAATTAAGATCTGTAAAAGTCAAAAGAATCGTAATTGAATGAAGTATATATTAGTAAATTTAAATCACACAAAGTATCACTAAATGAAGCGAAAATTAAGTTGAAAGTAAGAAAATAGAATTTTAGCGTCACTACGACGATGTGTCAGTGATGCACGGAATCCTGAGTGTTTAGGAGGATCATCATGTAGTGTCTACAGCTTCAAAGGCTCTCCTTGGACAAGGACAATGTGAGCAATCTTTAGATCTCCTTGTGAAGTCTAGTGATCAATGAAATGAGTCGTCGAATCGTCTCTGGCGGTTGTTACTTGGCAGAGTAGAAAAATGATAACTTTACTACTTTTCGGCGGCTGTCACACGACAGAGAGGAGTTGGATAAAGGTGGGGTGTGTGTTAGGGAGCTTCAACCTCAGGTCCGCACAACAAGAGGAGGCTCTTCATCGCATCCGGTACACTCTTAGGAGGTGGTGACTTGTCTCTCGGCGGATTGTCCTTGACGTGACTCAGTCGTTGTATATTAAATCACGCAAATCTAAAATTTATAAAACTAGAAAATACGAATTTCCGGATATTTAGAAGTATTTATAAATAAATATATCAATTATAATTCAATAAAAGTTCCAAAAATAGCGGTAATTTCCCAGGTCGATCACAGGGATGTAATATAATATTTTGTAATTACTCAGAGTTTTTCTCAATGAATACGATTTTCTATGAATTTTATACTAGGAAATGAAAAGGAAATATATTTAAAATTCACGAAAAAAAAAGAGGAAATAAGGGTGCGGACGACAAGATGACGTCAGTGCCCGGCGAACGCGAATCAGGCGGAAACAGAGTTCCGCCCGGCGATTCTTACGTAAGCGATTACAGACGATTTAATTAATCAAATTAAGATCTGTAAAAGCCGGAAGAATCGTAATTGAACGAAGTATAGTTTGGTAAATTAAAATCACACAAAGTATCACTAAATAAAGCGTAAATTAAATTGAAAGCAGGAAAACAGAGTTCCGGCGTCGCGACGGCGATGCGTCGGCGATGCACCGGAATCCTGAGCGTTCGGGAGGATCGTCGTGCAGTGTCCACGGCCTCGAAGGCTCTCCTTGGACAAAGACGACGTGGGCAATCTCTAGATCTTCTCGCGAAGTCTAGAGATCAATGAAGTGGGTCGTCGAATCGTCTCCGGAGGTTGTCACCCGGCGGAGCGGAAAAACGGCGACCTTGCGGCTCTCCGGCGGCTGTCACCCGACGGAGAGGAGCTGGATGGAGGTGGGGCGCGTGTCAGGGAGCTTCATCCTCAGATCCACGCAGCAAGGGGAGGCTCTTCATCGCATCTGGTACGCTCTCAGGAGGTGGTGACTCGTCTCCCGGCGGATCGTCCTCTTCCCGACGACGGCTTGTTCGTCGATCAATCGGAGATGATTTACTCGATGGATTGCGATCCTTTTATCGCGAATCGTTCAGCAATTTTAGTAGCAATGCTCTGCGAATCGCGTTGACGAGATTTTCGCCGATGATCCAGCGATTCCGGTTGCTTAATCCTTCACCGGCGATCTGCAAGAAAGTCGCGATAATCAGTTAAAAATATATGAATTTTGACTCTGGGAGGATTCGAACCCGCGGCGGTCGCCCGCCCCTGAGCAAGGTGTGACGCGGGTTTAGTCCCACATCAGTTGTGCGTGGATTATTCGGGTGAATATATAGTAAAGTTAGCTTTCTAGGCAAAGTCCTCTCGCGTGTACAACCACTCCTTGCCCCACAGCCGGCTGGCCACCGGTGACGTGGAAGGGGAGTGGCGCACACGTGCCCCTATCGATCCAAGCAAGCCGCTCGAGCCCCTGCTCGCGGCTACTCCCCGACTGCGCTTCCGACCCGCTTGCGGGCCCGGCTGGCCGGCAGGTCCCCCGATTTTGCAATATTTTTATTTTTATTTCTTGTTCTTCATTTATCTCAAAACTAAGACTGTAAAAATCGTATAAAATCACATAATTACTCAAAAATTCACGTTAATCAACTGAAAACCACTTTTCATGCTTTAACACAAATATAAGTCTATTTATCATGAGTTAAGGCTAAAACTATATTATTTACTAATTATTAACTCATGGTAATGAAGACTTATCAGTCCTCTTTCCAACGATGACTTATTCATCGATCAATCGGAGATACTTTACTCGATAGATTTACAATCTTTTTATTGCAAATCATTTAGCAATTTTAGTAACAATGTTCCGCAAATTACGTTGATGAGATTTTTGCCGATGATCCAACGATTCTGGTTGTTTAATCCTTCACCGGCGATCTACAAGAAAGTCACGATAATTAGATAAAAAATATGAGTTTTGGCTTTGGGAGGATTCGAACCCATGATGGTTGTTTGCCCCTTTTTGGGGAAGCTGATGCGGGTTTAGTTCCACATTACTTGTGCGTCGAATTTTCGGGCGAATATATAGTAATATTACATTTTCAAGCAAGTCCCTTTCTCGTGCGTGTACGACCATTCTTTGCCCCACAGTCGGCTGGCCACTAATGACGTGGAAAAAGAGTGGCACACATGTGCCCCTATGGATTCAAGCCGCTCGAACCCCTACTTGCGGCTATTCCCTGACTGCACTTCGGACCCACTTGTGGGCTCAACTGGTCGGTGAGTCCCCCCCATTTTGTCTTATTTTTATTTTAATTTCTTTTTCTTCATTTATCTCAAAAGTAAGACTGTAAAAATCATATAAATTCGTATAAAATCACATAATTACCCAAAAATTTACATTAATCAACTGAAAATGACATTTTATACTTTAACATAAATATAAGTCCATTTATCATGATTTAAGTCTAAAACTATATTATTTACTAATTATTAACTCATGATAATGAAGACTTATCAGTCCTCCACACTTGGGGCCTTGGGGTTGTCACCGTATTGATAAAAGTACTAAGACAATCGCGCGAGGTTGAAACAACCGTTAATGACGGTGAAGGGCAAAGGCGATGCAGCCAACGCATCCCCATTGAGATCCTTCCAAGCATGCTTATCAGCCCTCTGATGTGCCTGTGGGCATCCCCGTCGTCCGTGAGGCCTCTTTCTTGCATGAGGCACTATATGCTTGAAGCCACGTTGCCTCTTTATTGTTCCGCTTGCAGCACGTCGACATGGAGAGTCAAGGTTCTGATAGCTGAATAATCAAACCTAGAACCAGTTGAGACAGCTCAGATATATTTCATAATAATCTTACATAGGACTTCTCTTTATTGAGGCTGAATTGGCAATAAATATACCTTGGCTGTTCCTAGGTCATTTCAGAGCCGGAGGATCCTACCACTATGAGAGAACAGCCTATCGTGATTGCAGACTAGACGTAAGCTCTCCTCTGAGACGGGGCACCCAAGGAGGAGGAAGGACTGCAAGGAGACCACGTAAGTCCCCCACTGAGGTGATCGCTTCCACCCACTTAGACACATAATCAACAGCAAGCAAAATATATTTATATTTTTCAGCTGATGGGAAGGCACCCATGAAATCTATTTCCCATACATTAAAAATTTCAACTACTAACATTTACTCATGGGCATTTCATCTTTTTTACTCATGTTACTTATAGATTCGCATGAAATACATGTTCTTCTAAATTCTATAGAATCTCTAATGATTGTAGGCCAATAAAAACCACACTAATTTTTTTTTTCTGCTGTTTTTTGTCTAGAGAAATGTACTCCACAATTAGATGAATGACATATGTTAAGAATGCTATGATATTCTTCTTCAAGAACACATCTCCTTAAAATTTGATCATTACCTAAGTAATATATATCAGGATCATGCCAAAAATAATTTCTAATCCTAAAAAAGAAATGATGTTTTTTTTTCTTATCCCACTATTCTGAATTTTTTAGAAATCAGAAAATTAACAATATGTGCATATCATGGTGATGGTTGATGTTGAGCTGCCATCAATTGTTCATCTAGAAATGTGTCTTGTAAAGGTGCTGCATTTATTCCTGTATCACTCAATCTAGAAAGATGGTCAACAAGAACATTCTCGAAACTTTTTTTATCTTTTATTTCTAAGTCAAATTCTTGCAACAATAAAATCCATCTTAATAAACGTGGCTTTGCATCTTTCTTATTTAAAAAATATTTTAATACTGCATGATCAGTATAAATAATAATTTTAGCTCCCAAAATATATGATCTAAACCTTTCTAACAAAAATAGTTTAATTGAGCATCAGATATAGTTTAATTGAGCATCTTAATAAACGTGGCTTTGCATCTCTCTTATTTAAAAATATTTTAATGTTGCATGATCAGTATAAATAATAATTTTAGCTCCCAAAATATATGATCTAAACCTTTCTAACAAAAATAGTTTAATTGAGCATCGGATTTAGTTTTATTAGCATATGAAATTCAGTATAAATAAAAATTACTATGGATTTTGACTCTTTTGATTGTCCTAATACGGCTCCCACTATATAATTCGATGCATCACATTATTTCAAAAGGAAGGGACTAATTAGGAGCTTGTAAAATGGGTGCCTCAGTAAGTAATCTTTTTATTTCAGAAAAATACTCAAAACATTTCTCATCAAAATTAAAAGGCACATCTTTAGATAATAACATGGTGAGAGGCTTAGAAATTTTTGAAAAATCTTGAATAAATTTTCTATAATAACCTGCATGACCCAAAAAAGATCTAATCTGCTTTATTGAATTCAGAGGTTTCATTTTAGATATAATATCATTTTTTGCTTTATCCACCTCTAAACCCCTTTCACTCACAATATGACCCAACATAACTCCCTCTCTAATCATAAAATGTGATTTCTATCAACTCAAAACTAATTTGTTCTCTATACATTTCTTAAGTACATGTTGTAAATGATTTAAGCATTCATCAAATGATTCACCAAAAATAGAAAAATCATCTATAAAAATTGCCATGCATTTTCTAGTTATATCAGAAAAAATACACAATATACATGTTTGAAATGTGGTTGGAACATTACACAGATCAAAAGGCATGCATTTAAAAGCAAAAGTACCAAATTGACAAGTAAAAGTTATTTTTTCTTGATCTAAAGGGTTTATATAAATTTGATTATAACTAGAGTATCCATCTAGAAAATAAAAAAAGTTTTTTCTAGCTAATATTTCTAGAATTTGATTAGTAAATGATAGGGAAAAATGATCTTTTCTAGTAACTGAAATTAATGCAAGCCCTCCAACCGGTAGTTAATCTTGTTTGTATTTCACCCTATTTTCTTTTTTATAACCCTGATCCCTGATTTTTTTAGCACCACTTGTGTAGGATTAACCCATTTGCTATTTGAAATAGGATAAATAATATCAGTAATCAGTCACTTTAAAATTTATTTTTTTACAATTTCCATCATATTAGGATTTGATCTTTGTTGCGGTTCTCTACTATTTTTAGCCCTTTCCTATAGATATATACTATGCATGTATACACTCATATCAATGCCCTTAAGATCATCTATTTTCCAGCCAATAGACTTCTTATTTTTTCGAAGTACATCTAATAATTCTTCTTCATATTTATCACTCAAATCAGCTACAATAATAACAAGAAATGAATTAGTTTCTTCTAAAAACATATATTTTAAACTAGAAGGAAGAGGTTTCAACTCTAAATTAAGATGATCTTCCTCTTTTTTTTCTCCCAAATTTATATTCTCTATTTCCTCTAATTCTTTCAGCACAAAGTCATCAATAACATTTAGATCATCAAAATCATCTAGAAGATCTATGGTATGACAATCATATATTTGAGATTTCCTAAGATCATTTGACACCTCAAATTTTTTAATTTCTACTAGTTAATCTCTATATGAAATTTTCACAATACTTGTGGAAAAATCAATATTCATCTTTACTGTATGCAAAAATGGTCTCCTTAGGATGATTAGTGTATCATAAAACTGTCCATTAAAATCTATTTCCTACACTACAAAGTCAGTTGGAAATTCTCCCTTTAACTATCATTATCACATTTTCTAAAATACCTTTAGGATGTTTTATGAACCTATCAGCAAATTATAAGGTAACATTAGAAGGTTTAAGATCAGCAATATTAAATATCTTACAAATACTTGTAGGTAATAAATTAATACTAGCTCCAATGTCAAGTAATGTATTCTAAAAAATAGATCTATCAATATCACACAAAATTAAAGGGGCACCAGTATCTTTCAATTTATATAATAATTGATTTAATAATAAAGCACTAACATGCATAGATAATTTTTCTACTCTAGGTCTCCTTTTTGGTGTACACATTTCTTTCAAAACTCTAACATATTTAAAAATATATTCAATAGTAGTGAGTAAAGGAAGACTAATTTGCACATCATGTAAAATTTTCTTTATTTATTCATTGTGTTCTTTTTTCTTTCTTTGTTTAGGATCTAGAACTTTAGGAAATGGAATGGTTGTCCTCTCTTTTGGAATTTCTTTGGTAGAATCTATAAAATCCTCTTCTACTCCTATTTGATTTTGTTTTAGGTTGTCCATGTTTTTCTTTTCTTCTAATGTTTGGGGATAAGGATCAAGTAAAATGTTCCCACTCCTTAATGTATTTATTGTCCTAACATTTTCATTTTGTGGGTTTTTTTCTAGACTCATGCTACTAGACTCCTCTTGCTGAAATCTTATTGTTGGGCGGTTCCTTGAATTTTCTATGTGCTGATTAGGTAGTTGTCCCTCTTCTTTCTTATTCCCAAGAGCCTCTATAATTTGTTTCTATTACAACATTATTTGATTCAGAATTTGTTGCATCATTTGGCTCATTTGCTGTATCATTTCCATAACATCAAGTTGGGTTTGAGAGGACTAATTTTTTTGAAATCTATTTTCTTATTTTGGATGAAATTTAGAGCTTGAATTAGGTCTAAGTGTTTCTGAATTTTGAATATTATTTGGGTCTCTCTATGAAAAGTTATTCCTCCAATTAGGATTATAAGAATTTGAAAAAAGTTCCTTATTTCTATTAAAACTGTGAACTATGTTCACTTGTTCTTGCATAGGGTGAAATAATTGATCTAAATTATAGCATTAAAATTCAGAACAATCATTTTCACCATACATAAGACATGTACTATTTGAATTAAATTGAGGGTTAAGAGGCTTTCTAATATTGTCATTAAGTAAATCAAGTTTTTCTAATCTTTGATTAATCTGATTAACCTCATTTCGTAAATTAGAATTATTTTGATGATATAATTCATAAATTCTTCTCTTCTTATCCTTGTCATATAATTCAAAAGAGGCTTGATCTCTAAAATTTTCACTTAAATTCTCATAAAGACTATAAATATTATCAAGGATTTTCTGTATAAAAGCTTTTCCACATATAGAATCAACCATATTTCTATGTTGTTCTAATAATCCATCATAAAAAATTCTACTAAGTTGTCACTTGGGTATAACATTATGAGGACACTTTCTAAGTAAATCTTTAAATTTTTCCTATGTCTCATGCAAAGTTTCTTCTGGTCTTTGAGAAAAACTCTATATATATTTTCTCATATTTTGAGTTTTTCTTAAGGAATAAAATTTTCAAAGAAAAACCTATTTTATGTATTTTCAACTAGTTAATTCTCTATCTAATATAGGTAGCCAATGACTAACTTTGTCCCTAAGTGTACGAGGAAATAATTTCATCTTAATAATTTCGGTGTAACTTGAGGGAGATTAACTAAATCACAGACCAAATAAATTTTTTCTAAATACTAATGAGTTTCCTCTAAAAGCAATTCATGAAAATTAGGGAGCATTTGAAAAATTCGTGAATTTATTTTGAATTGAACCGTGAGTGTTAATGGGACTCTAATATTAGATGCTCTTTGAAATGAATTAGGGATATAATGATTTTTCATAGCCATAGGATTCTTCACAATTTGACCTATACTTCCTTTAAGATCTATCAAAATTAATTTTTCTTTTGGATTTTTAGTTTTGAATGAAATAATGAAAGGATTTTCTAGCTTTGGATGCAAGGATCTTCTACAATGCATAAAAATTAATAAATTCGAGGAATTTTTTTAATAATTGTTACCCTCCTTTAGTATGCTCCAGTCTTTACCTTGCTTCTCTTCATTCTTTTTTTTTAAAAATTTGTCAACAAGAAGAAAATAAAACAAGAGTTAATTTTTTTGTGTACTCTAATCTCGCCTATATGAGAGATTGAAATAAGCATTTTAATGCCCTTATCAAGTGACGTCATTATGATATATCTTTGTTATATCAAAGGGGTAGTTTAGGTATTAAAATCTTCAAAGCCTTTCAGGGGAAAGTGTGATATAAGTTTAGTCCCACATTGCTTGTGTGCCGAAGTTTTGGGTGAATATATAGTAATATCACATTTACAAGTAATGAGTCCCTTTCTCCCATGTGTAGGACCACTTCTTGCCCCACAGTTGGCTAGCCATCAGTGATGTGGAAGGGGAGTGGCACACATGTGCCCCCATCAGTCCTAGCCACTTGAGCCCAACTACACTTCTAACTCATTTATGGGCCTGGCTCGCTAGCAGGTCCCCCCCATTTTGTTCTACTTTTATTTTAATTTAATTTTTCTTCATTTATTTCAAAAATAAGACAATAAAAATCATATAAATTTATAGAAAATCACATAATTAGCCAAAAATTTACGTTAATCAACTGAAAACTACTTTTCACATTTTAACACAAATATAAGTTTATTTATCATGAGTTAAGATTACAAATATATTATTTACTCATTATTACTTATCAAGTCTTGGGGTCGTCATCATATCTATAAAAACACTACAACAATCACTCAAGTTGAAATAGGGGTTGACAACTAAGGACACAAGCTACAAAGCCATCCCATCTCCACTGAGAGCCTTCGATATGACACTTACCAGCATTCTGTTGTGCCTACAAGCATCATTGTCATTCGTGTGGTTTCTTTCTTGCATGTAACATTGTATGGTCAGTGCCTCATCCACTCTTTGTTGTTCTGCCTGTAGCATGTCAATGTGGAGAGTCAAAGTTCTGATAGCTGAATCATCAAAGGTTAAACCTGTTGAGATAGTGTACCAACATTTAATAATGATCTCACAAAGGATGTCTCTTTCTATTATGGGGGAGATTTTCATATATTTTGAGGTACAGTTAACTAGAAGTACACCTTGGCTGTTCCTGCATGATGTGACTTAGTCGTTGTATATTAAATCACGTAAATCTAAAATTTATAAAACTAGAAAATATGATTTTTCAGATATTTAAAAGTATTTCTGAATATATATCAATTATAATTCAATAAAACTTCCAAAAGTAGCGGTAATTTTCCAAATCGATCACAAGGATGTAATATAATATCTAGTAATTATTCAAAATTTTTCTCAATGAATACGATTTTCTATGAATTTTATATTAGGAAATAAAAAAAAAATATTTAAAATTTACAAAAAAGGAAAATAAGGGTGCGGACGTCAGGATGACATCAGCGCCCGACAAACATGAATTGAGCAGAAACAAAGTTCCGCCTGACGATTCTTATGTAAGTGATTATAGATGATTTAATTAATCAAATTAAGATCTGTAAAAGCGAGAAGAATCGTAATAGAACAAAGTATATTTTAGTAAATTAAAATCACAAAAATCATCACTAAATGAAGCGTAAAGTAAGTTGAAAGTAAGAAAATAGAGTTTTGGCGTCGTGACGGCGATGTGTCGGCGATGCACTAGAATCTTGAGTGTTCGGGAGGATCGTCATGCAGTGTTCACAGCCTCGAAGGCTCTCCTTGGACAAAGACGATGTGGGCAATCTCTAGATCTCCTTGCGAAGTCTAGAGATTAATGAAATAGGTCGTCAAATCGTCTCCGGCGGCTGTCACCCAGCAGAGCAGAAAAACGGCGACTTTGCGGCTCTCTGGCGGCTGTCACCTGATGGAGAGGAGTTGGATGGAGGTGGGGTGCGTGTCAGGGAGCTTCATCCTCAAGTCCACGCAGCAAGAGGAGGCTCTTTATCGCATTTGGTATGCTCTTAGGAGGTGGCAACTCGTCTCCCGGTGGATTGTCCTCTTCCCGATGATGGCTTGTTCATCGATCAATTGGAGATGATTTACTCAATAGATTCGCGATCCTTTTATTGCGACTCATTCAACAATTTTAGTAGCAATGCTCCGCGAATCGCATTGACGAGATTTTCGTTGATGATCCAGCGATTCTTGTTGCTTAATCCTTCACCAGTGATCTGTAGGAAAGTCACGATAATCAGATAAAAATATATGACTTTTGACTTTGAGAGGATTCGAACCCGTGCTAGTTGCCCGCCCTTTCTGAGGAAGGTGTGACGCGGGTTTAGTCCCACATCAGTTGTGCGTCGATTTTTCGGGCAAATATATACTAATGTTACATTTCTAAGCAAGTCCCTTCTCTCGCATGTACGACCACTCCTTACCCCACAACTAGTTGGCCACCGGTGACGTGGAAGGGGAGTGGTGCACACGTGCCCCTATCGGTCCAAGCTGCTTGCGGCTACTCCCCGACTGCACTTTCAACCTATTTGCGGGCCCGACTGACCAGCGGGTCCCCCTCATTTTATCTTATTTTTATTTTTTATTTCTTTTTCTTCATTTATCATAAAAGCAAGACTGTAAAAATCATATAAATTTGTGTAAAATCACATAATTACCCAAAAATTCACATTAATCAATTGAAAACCACTTTTCACACTTTAACACAAATATAAGTCTATTTATCATGAGTTAAGGCTAAAACTATATTATTTACTAATTATTAACTCATGATAATGAAAACTTATCATTACACTAGAGGATGCTTCTGCTATGAGAGAACTGGTTGTCATGACTGCAGACTAGCCAGATGATCTCCTCCAAGGGGGATCCATAGGAGGAGGAAGGCCCACAAGGAGACCATGTACGTTCTGGCTGAGGTGATACCATTTCTCATATGCCCCTCTACACTTGAGATGATCCCTCTATTAAATCACTTTGCCTCTCAAATTGACAAGCTGTAATAAGATTGTGCAATCCGAGCATTGAGAGAGAGAGAGAGAGAGAGAGAGAGAGAGAGAGAGAGAGGAGAGAGAGAGATTGTGTATGTGTGTGTGTGTGAGAGAGAGAGGAGATAGATAGAGATTGTGTGTGTGTGTGAAAGAGAGAGAGAGAGGAGAGAGAGATTGTGTGCGTATGTGTGTGAGAGAGAGAGAGAGAAAAGAGAGAGATTGTGTTTATGTGTGTGTGTGTGTGTGAGAGAGAGAGAGAGATTGTGTTTGTGCATGTGTGTGTGTGAGAGAGAGATTATGTATGTGTGTGAGAGAGAGAGAGGAGAGAGAGAGATTGTATATGTGTGTGTGAGTGAGAGAGAGAGAGAAGATAGAGAGGAGAGAAAGAGATTGTGTGTGTGTGTGTGAGAGAGAGAGAGAGAGAGAGAGAGAGAGAGAGAGAGAGGGATTGTGTGTGTGTGTGAGAGAGAGAGATATAGATAGATAGATAGATAGATAGATAGATAGATAGATAGATAGAGAGAGAGAGGGAGAGAGAGAGAGAGAGAGAGAGAGAGAGAGAGAGAGAGAGAGTATAGTCTTTCTCCAATAGGAAGTGGCATAGTTCATGTGGTTCATGAGGAGCTTGTAGCCAATCTCATTAGTTGGTTTATACAATGCTAGGTAGCATATCTTCATGAGCTCCGGCAACTCCTCCATCACTTGAAGCCCAAACCTAAAGCCTTTTAAAAGAGTCTTTAAATTAACCAAACTCTGATCTCCCCAACATGGAGAAGAAGGCAACCCGCTTTACTCGGGCCAAGAAACCTTTCAATGGCGTCAGTGTAGAGGGTATGTTTTTCCACAGATTGATCGCCACCATACAAGTCATTAAGAAAAAATGACAATTACAGTTTTAGCGAGCTCTATCTTGCACTTGGAGATGGATGGGTGGGAAAATATCCCCACAGTCAATAGAAATTCCTAAGGATGATCTCTCACGAAGCTCCCTCCACCACATTATAAACTTCTCTAGGTACTCTTGGTGGTTTAACTGAACCATGTTATAGTCTAGAGATGCAAGTTCGAAGATAGGTGATAGGTTCCTATTCGAGAGGATTTCAAGAGAAGTAAAAAACAGAATAGTATGTATCTTTGTAAGGACTGAACAATTGACAATGTAAGGGATCCTACCTGAAAAAAATGACAATTAATTTCAGTGTATTTAGTACTCTCATAAAACATAGAAGTATATTCAATCTTGATGAAATTTTTACAATTAAATTAGAGAGTAATAATATCATCTTGAGGAATACTCATGTTGGCAAGAAGTTAATGTAGCCAAATAACTTAGCAATGATAGATCCCATAGCATGATATTTAGCCTCAGTTGTGGAGCATGCAATATCCATTAATTGGGAGAGTCACCAAGAAAAGTACACCAACCTAATCCACATCAGAAAATACTCGAATAATCAATGTAGACATTGAAGAAAATATAATCCCATTAGATCATGTACTGCAAATATAACTAAGGATCTATAACACATCAGCCTAATTAATAGAAAAGTAGCAGAGTTAAACTAATTGACTATATGTATAAAAAATTAGATATTAGGACAAGTGATGGCTAAGTATACTAGTGAGCTATCAATTTCTTTATAGTTAGTTGGATTCTCTAACGAAGTATTATAATAAGGATAAAGTTTAACATTCAACTCAATTGAAGTATCAACTATGAAGGATCTCGAACTCGCCCGATGGAGGGCCTCGTCGTTCCGTGGCGAAACGGGCGGCTGTTGGAATCGTCGCGCGATGTTGGCTTTGAAAGCCTGGAAACGCTCCAAGGAAAAACCACACACACACACTCACGGAAGTAACAGGAACGAAGAAGAATGTATATGAATGAATATATCTATCACTATGTAAGGTTCGTTGAACACAGCCCTTTATATAGGGCAGCCAATCACTTGAACGAAGAGAGTGCATCTAACTGACTAATGATGACATGGCTAGATGTGAAATGTGGCCGCACCACCACCTTTATAACTTGTAGCGAGGTGCGGCTGCGATTGATCCTGCAGAAACAAACATAATGAACATAACAGAACGAAAAAACCAAATTGTCTGTTTCAAAACACCGTTATCTGTAATTGATGACGGAGCAGGAGCAGTTCCCCATCAATCTCCTCCCTGCTCTTGCTCCTTCGCAAGTATATGTTGTACTCCGAGACGCCTCCGCATTTCAACAAATCTCGTCCTTCTAAGAAACTTGGTGAGGATATCTGCCAGCTGATCCTTTTGTCTTCACGTAATCAATCATGATCCATTTTTCTCCAACGCACTGACAAATAAAATGATAATTCGTGTCAATGTGCTTCGTATGATTATGATGCACCGGATTCTTGCTTAGGATGATTGCCGATTGGTTATCCACAAGTAGTTTCACAATCCCTTCTGCCTCTCCTATTAACTAACTAAAAAATCGATTCAGCCACACGCCCTGACATGCGGCAGTAGTGGCAGCAATATACTCTTCCTAACATGAAGATAGAGCTACTGATTTTCGCTTCTGAGGCCCAGCTGATCAGCATATCACCGAGAAAGAAAGCATGCCTGGAGGTGCTCTTCCGATCTTCCTCATCACCAGCAAAGTCGCTATCACTATAGTTGACTAATTTTGCTTCTGTCTTCCCTTTCTCATAGACTAAGTCATAGTCTATTGTTTCTCTAACGTACCTTAGAATCCACTTAATCCCTGAGAGATGTTCTGAAGTAGGGTTCTCCATAAACCTGCTCAGTAATCCCACAGAGAAAATTAGGTCAGGTCGAGTGTGAGTCAAGTACCTTAGACTTCCGATGAGGCTATGGAAGTGGGTAGAATCAATTGACGATCCCAAATTCTGTTGACTGAATTTAATTCTAGCTTCAAGAAGAGTATGGACTGGATTGCACTCCCTCATTCTTGCAATATCCAGTATCTTGAGTGCATAGGCTCTCTGTGACAGAGTGATCCTAGCTCCTTCTTGAGCTACTTCAATGCCTAGGTAGGAGCAAAGCTGTCCAAGATCACTCATATGAAAGAAATTCATCATTTGATCTGTGAATTTGTTAATGTCACTGTCATTCTCACCCATTACTAACAGATCATCGACATAAACTCCGATAATCAAGTGAGATCTATTTGACCTCTTCAAGTAGACAGATTGCTCATAATTGCTCCTTGAGAATCCGAGTGAAGCAAGGCACTTATGTAATTTGAAATACCATGCCCATGGCACTTACTTAAGCCCATAAAGGGATTTCTTTAGTTTCAAGACATGGTTCTCCCTATTCTTCACCACAAAACCTTTTGGTTGCTTGACATATAACTCCTCCTCCACCTCTCCATTCAAAAAGGCTGACTTTACATCGAGATGATGCAGCAGCCATCCCTTCTGAGCTACAATGGCAATAAGAGCACATATCGATTCAAATCAAATCACAGGAGCAAATAATTCATCATAGTCGATTCCTTGTCTTTGGGAATACCTCTTCACAACTATCGCCTTATGCTTCACAACATCTCCCTTGTCATTCCTTTTGACCCTAAAAATCTATTTCTGTCCAATGAGATTGTAATTGGCCGGAGGACTCACCAATTCCCATTTTTGACTTCTATCGATGGCCGCCATTTCTTCTTTCATGGCATTCCTCCATGCTTCCTCTCGTGCTGCTTCACTGTAGGAGACAGGCTCTTCATGTGAGAGTAAACAATTAGCATCCTCTGAGGAAATGGGACATGTCTCAAAGTAAATTTGGTCAAGAGACCTGAACATTTTGGGCTGACTGTCTTTAGATTTAGATTGTGAGATAGAAAGGCCTTCTCGAGACTCATAAGTCTCACCTTCATCACTTTTGTTAATAGAGGTATTCTCTACTCCATAATCAGCAAGAAATTTTGGGAAAAAAGTAAGTTTAGAATCACTCTTACCCCTTTTTTCCTAGTTCCACTTGTTGTCTTCTTCAAAGATAACATCCTGGCTGATGTTAACTTTGCTGTTGACAGGGTTGTAGCAACGATACTCTTTCGTTCCCACTTCATACCCAATGAAAATCATTGGTTGACTGCGGTCATCTAACTTTTTCTACAGTCCTTTAGTGCATTTCACATGCATAATGGAGCCAAATACATATAGATAATCAATTGTCAGCTTTCTCCCGATCCATAGCTCATATGGAGTCAACCCTTGCAAACTTTTAGTGGAAGTCCAATTTAAGAGGTATATAGAGGTATTGACTGCCTCTCCCCACAACTCTCGAGCATCTCCTTCTCTTTCAGCATACTCCTAACCATGGACATAATTGTCTAGTTCTTCCTCTCTACTATACCATTCTGCTAAGGAGAGTAGGGAGCAGTCAACTACCTCTTAATGCCCTGCGAAACACAAAACTCAATGAACTCGTCAGAAGAAAACTTCCCTCCTCTATCTGATCAAAGACACTTGATTTTTGTATTCTTCTCTCCTTTAGCCAAAGCCTTAAACTTTTTGAGTTCATGGAAAGCTTCAAATTTGTGTTTGAGCATGGCTACCCACATTAGTTGCAAGAAGTCATCAACTACAAGGAGAAAATACTTACTCCCTCTTAATGTGGATGGGATAATTGGACCATAGATGTCAACATACACCAGCTCAAGGGGCTCTGAGGCTCTGAAAGCATAAACTTTTGGAAATGGAGTGCAATGTTGCTTCCCTACAAGGCATTTCCTTTAATGTGTGAAAATTCAAGTGGCCAAACCTCGAGTGCCATAGCCAACTTGAATTTTCTTCCCCTTTTGTGATTAGACAATGATTTACGACATTGAGTTTGAGCAAGTAAAGTCTTCCCTCCGTTTTGTGGACTTTTGCTAATAGAGCTCCATCTTGGTCAAAGATGGTCAAGTGGCCTCCAAACATGACCATCTGGCAACCTTCCTCATCAAGTTTGCCTAAGCTGAGAAATGTTAGCACATAGTTTAGGAACAAAAAGAGCTGTTTGTTAAAAAAAAATAAATGAAATAAAGGCTATGCGTTGTCTCCCATGCAACGCTGAATTTAATGTCTCTAGTTGGACACATTAATCTTATTCTTAAATTTCTTTTAATAATAAAATTTCTTTTTCTATAAGCCATTCATGTTCTATGTAATGTTTAAGCTACTGTCTATTTACCTTAAAGTTATGATCACTTTTAGGATCTTTAATTATTACAGCCCCATGATCATATGTCTATTCCACCACATAAGGCCATGTCCATTTTAATTTTAATTTTCTTGTGAATAATTTCAGCCTAGGATCATATAACCACACTTTTTGTCCAACATCAATTTTTTTTTCTACTAATGTATTTATGATGAAAAGTTTTAGTTTTTTCTTTATATATTCTATGATTTTCATAAGCTTCATTCCTCAACTCCTCTAGTTCATGTAACTGAAAAAGTTTATGCCAGCAGCTGATTTTTCATCCATACATAAAATTTTTATAGCCCATAATACTTTATGCTCTATTTCCATAGGAAGATGACATGGCTTTTCAAAAATGAGACGAAATGGGGACATACCTATGAGATTTTTATTAGCTATTCTATAAGCCTAGATGCATCTTATAATGCATCTATTTTTCTCAAAATTCTCTGAATCCCTATTTGCTACTTCAGCTTGCCCATTTGTTTGGGGATGATATGGAGTGACTACTCTTTGGTGTACTCCATTCTTTTTTAATAGTTCCCAAAAATATTTATTTATAAAATGTGTTCCTCCATCACTAATAATCACTCTAGGACATCCAAATCTTGAAAAAATATTTTCTTACATAAATTTCATCACGATTTTATGATCCTTAGTTCTAGTAAGAATAGCTTCCACCCACTTAGACACATAATCAACAAGAAGCAAAATATATTCATATTATTCAGCTGATGGGAAGGGACTCATGAAATCTATTCTCCATACATCAAAATTTTTGACTACTAACATGTCATGGACATTTCATCTTTTTTACTCATATTACCTATAGATTAGCATGAAATACATGTTGTACTAAATTCTATAAAATTTCTAATGATTGTAGGCCAATAAAAACCACATTGAAAAATTTTTGCAGCTATTTTTCATCTAGAGAAATGTCCTCCACAATTAAATGAATGGCACATGTTAAGAATGCTATGATATTCTTCTTCAGGAACACATCTCCTTAAAATTTGATCATTGCCCAAATAATATAAATCAGGATCATGCCAAAAATAATTTTTAATCTTAGAAAAGAACTGATATTTTCTATTCTTATCCCACTATTCTAGAATTTTCTAGAAATCAGAAAATTAACAATATGTGCATACCATGGTGATGGTTGATGTTGAGCTGCCATCAATTATTCATCTAGAATTATGTCTTATAAAGGTGTTGCATTTATTTCTGTATCATTCAATCTAGAAAGATGGTCAGCAACAACATTCTTGAAACCTTTTTTATCTTTTATTTCTAAGTCAAATTCCTGCAACAATAAAATCTATCTTAATAAACGTGGCTTTGCATCTTTCTTATTTAACAAATATTTTAATACTACATGATCAGTATAAATAATAATTTTAGCTCCCAAAATATATGATTTAAACCTTTCTAATGAAAATACTATAGCTAACAACTTTTTTTCAGTCGTGGTATAATTTCATTGAACATCGGATATAGTTTTATTAGCATATGAAATTATTATGGGTTTTGACTCTTTTCTTTGTCCTAGAACGGCTCCTACTACATAATTCGATGCATCACACATTATTTCAAAGGGAAGGGACCAATCAAAAGCTTGTAAATGAGTGCCTTAGTAAGTAATCTTTTTATTTCAAAAAAAGACTCAAAACATTTCTCATCAAAATTAAAAGACACATCTTTAGATAATAATATGGTGAAAGGTTTAGAAATTTTTAAAAAATATTGAATAAATTTTCTATATGAACTTGCATGACCCAAGAAATATTTAATCTATTTTAACAAATTCAGAGGTTTCATTTTAGATATAATATCAATTTTTGCTCTATCCACCTCTAAACCCCTTTCACTCACAATATGACCCAACACAACTCCTTGTCTAACCATAAAATATGATTTCTCCTAACTCAAAACTAATTTTTTTTCTATAGATTTCTCAAGTAAATGCTGTAAATGATTTAAGCATTCATCAAATGAGTCACCGAAAATAGAAAAATCATTCATAAAAATTTCCATGTATGTTTTAGTCATATCAGAAAAAATAGACAGCATACATCTTTGAAATGTGGCTGGAGCATTACACAAACCAAAAGACATGCATTTAAAAGTAAAAGTACCAAATGAACAAGTGAAAGTTATTTTTTCTTGATCTAAAGGGTTTATATAAATTTGATTATAACTAGAGTATCCATCTAGAAAACAAAAGAAGCTTTTTTAAGTTAATTTTTTTAGAATTTGATTAGTAAATGGTAGGGAAAAATGATCTTTTCTAGTAACTGTATTTAATTTTCTATAATAAATGTAAACCTTCAACCAATAATTAATCTTGTTTGTATTTCATCCCCATTTTGGTTTTTATAACTGTGATCCTTGATTTTTTTGACACCACTTGTGTTGAGTTAACCCATTTGTTATCTAAAATAGGATAAATAATATCAACAACTAGCCACTTTAAAATTTATTTTTTTTACAATTTCCATCATGTTAGGATTTAATCTTCGTTGTAGTTCCCTATTAGTTTTAGCCCCCTCCTCTAGATATATACTATGCATGCATACACTCATATCAATACCCCTAGGATCATCCATTTTCTAGCCAATAACTTTCTTATTTTTTTGAAATATATTTAATAATTCTTCTTCTTGTTCATCACTCAAATCAGGTGCAATAATAATAGGAAATGAATTATTTTCCTCCAAAACTATATATTTTAAACTAGAGGGAAGAGGTTTCAACTCTAAATTTAGATGATTTTTCTTTTTCTTTTCTCCCAAATTTATATTCTCTATTTCCTCTAATTCTTTCAGCACACAGTCATCAATAACATCTAGATCATCAAAATCATCTAGAA